ATTTTGCTTGCTTAAAAGTGATATAACTACACTTACGATGTGACATGAATTTTCTTCTGCTTTGTTCGACCAATCCAGTCAGCAAATTCAACTGTGTTTGGAACCTAAATAGAAATGTTACAGCTCAACTCCAAAATAAATATCAATCTGAGAGATGATATGAAGGTCACAACTCACAAGCTTGAGCTTTTTGTAAGAAGGAAAAGAAAAAAAAAAGTCTATGATGTATTTAAAAGATATTTTTGGCATTCAAAAACCATATTAACCTGGGCTGAGCCTTATCAGGTATAAGTGGTTGTATCATAGTAGCTTAGTAGAAAACTGGCACAACCATACTTTCTATGAAAATCACCTTAAGGTCAGAGTACTCCACTAATTATTTTAAGAGACAGTAAACTATAAATGGTTCTATTATTCTATTTCTGAGTTACTATAGTTAATCCATTAATGGGCTAATGGTATGTCATGCTTTTGCATACTTGAAATGATTCTTAATAATTTGAGTGACAGTCTTAGCAGTTGATAGCAACACAACTTAGATATCACAGTTGGGTGCCAATAGTTAAACACAAGTATTCACTAAATCCATACCGTTGCCGAAAGAAGGACAATGTTGATGTGCTTCGGGAGCATTATAATAACTTCCTCCCAAACTACACCTCTCTCTGCATCATTTACATAATGCACTTCATCAAAAATTACCTGATTGCAAAACCACGCACGGCACACGGCTCCATAAGTTTTTAAAATATAAGGTGGGAAGTTAAATATTACATTATGAACTATGAAGAATTGAGAACTGAGACAGCGTACCCATTCAATATCACGTATGATGTCAGCACCTCTGTAGAGCATTGAACGTAATATTTCTGTGGTCATAATTAAGCAAGTTGCCTCTGGTCTGATACTGACATCTCCTGTGAGAAGTCCCACGTCAAACTTCCCACAGAAATCTCGGTATTTTTGATTGCTGATAGTTTTAATGGGAGCAGTATAGACAGCCCGGGTGCAATGCTGCATAATAACATTAGCTGTCATCACAAGGACCATGCAAACATTGTTTTATTGAGATGTACTATATAGTAAGCAAATAGAAATAGCACAATGAAGTATGTACAAATCAGGCATTGCAAATATCGATCTACTGAGGAAACGCAAAACTGAGCTCTTATCAGAAATGCAGAATTCAAATCAACTAAAAGTAAATATAAGTTATGTTCATTTTTACAAGCACTGGGTTAATGAGGTACTCAAGTGAAGGGATCGGTGGTTTCAAATTAACGAAAAGTAGAATACCCAAAAGGAACAGTGAAGCAAGCGTACTTTTGTTGCTAAAGCGAATGCATACTCTGCAACAACCGTCTTTCCTGCTGATGTATGAGCTGCCACAAAGACTGATTCACCCTTCTGAAGATAATATATAGCCTATATTTGGCAGAATAGAAAGTTACACATCAGCAACTATATCAAGCATTTAGTAGCATATATTTTACTAACAAAAAGGTTATGGTAATTAGGGTCTGCTCACAATAAATGATTCCCACAGGAGATGTGGAGGAAAGAATGCATTTCTCATAATTTTTTCCTTATCCGAAAATTCAATGGCAAACCTTTTGTTTCAAAAATATGGGGCTTTTTACTTCTTTAGAGTGACAAGTCATAGGCCACTCACAGAAGTGGAATGCAGTTGCTGGTTGCATTGAAACTATTCTTTTTTACTATATGTGGTACTTGATAGGGAAAATATGCATAGTTAAAGTATTGCTGGTGCATGGAGTTTTTATCCTTCACTGGTAAAACATGGTTGTGCTATCAAAAAGTCCATGTTAACAAAATGTGCTTGTAGAAGAAAATATTCCTGTCGGTATTGAAAAATAAGACATTGAAAACAAAGGTGCAGACATTTATGAATAGCTTACCTCCTTCTGGAATTTGTCTAGTTCAAATGGATACTCAATTGCCATATCTGGAACAAGTTTATAGAAGTTAGTCACAATGTCTTCATCCCCACCAACAAGTGCCCAAACCTGCAAGTGAAATAGAAACAGATAAACATCACTACTTCATATCTATGCATCAATGAAATTTATGGAATGAGAAGCACAATTGAGAAAGTGTCCGACAAAATGAAACACGAAATGCACTTACCTTGCCCTCCTTTGCCATGCTGCCATCACCTGACCCACTTGAATCTCTGCTAGTATCTTTAACTGAGGACAATAACATTTGATCCAAGTCTGATTGAGGTTCAGAAACATCTCCTTGGGCACCACCTTTCTGTTTTTCAATGTCCAGATTTTCTATAGTTTCAGAAGCATTTTGCAGTTTGCTAATATTTTGTTTATCAACATCTGAAGTTGGAAAAGGGGGAAGGTTAGCATGAAACCAGAGATGACTTAAACCTTGTAGTAAAAATGGGGATGATGACAGTTATCATGATTTACCACAAGAGAAGATATTCATGTGAATCGAGGATATGATGTATGAGGATGATAAATTTACCATTGGTCTCCTCATCTCCAACCAATTGCTGAACATGATCTTCACGCGGCACCTTGTCGTCAGAATCTTCCTCCCATGCTATCTTGAATAGATCATCAAACTGCACTGAGTACTTATCCTGCAAGAACATGAGACATTCAGATTATAATGTATAATAGCAAAACTGGCAAATTGTGGAATCCTGAATTGTTTAGAATATGAACCGAGGTACCATGGTGTCATTTGATGAAGATGTGGATTGCTCATCTACACGCTCTCCATCCTGGTAACACTTCCAATGGCTTTTGTACTCCTATAGGAATATAGTGCACACAATAGCGGCACAGACGCAGCTTAGCACAATGACAGCAAACATTACTTTGCAAAACAAACCAACACACTATTAAGGATCAAACCTTCAAATTGCCCAGGTCCAATCCCTTGCGGAATCCTGGAGGATTAACCTGAGCTGGCCCTCCGCTCATAAGCTCGCGCACCCAATCCCCATTGCGTGCACCCTCTGGAAATGCCTTCTCCAAAGCAGCAGCCGCAGCCGCATCATCATGCAGGCCCCCTGGGCGGAACGGGCGGCTGTTCACGCTCCCCCTCACGAAATCCTTCGCAGGGCCAGGCATCCGCGGCGTTATCCCACCGGTGCCCGAATCAAACACGTCGCTCATATCCATCTGCACGGACTCAGGATCCCACACTTGCGACTCCTGCCGCGACGACGACGACGACAATGGCGGCCGTCGGCGGCGGAAGGGCGGCTCCCAGGCGGGCACGAGCATGGTGCGCGGGGCGGAGGGCTCCAGCGGCGGCCTAGCCAACTCGAACCAATCCAAATCCCACACCCTCGCGCCATCGGCCGCGGTGGGGAGGTGGAGCTCCGGGTTGAGGTAGTTGGCCTCGAGGTACTCCTTCACGCTGCTCGGGCTCTCCAGCGGGTACGCCGGCGGCTGCGATCGCCATCACACCTCCGATGGGTTTAGGGTTTACGCTTCCGCAACATTGAGTAAAACGCGTGATTTAGGAGGTGGGGGAGCAGTGGGTCGCGTACCAGGACGAACTCGGGTATAGGGCTGGGCGGATTGGGCGTGGGGTCGAGGCGGAGGTGGCCGCCATGGCCGGAGAAGCTGACGCGGAACGGCACCTCGCTCGCCGGCGACGAGGTGGTGAGGTCGCCCATGGAGGCCGCCGCCGGTGAGGAGGCGGTCCGTTTCCCTTTTCGACGGAAGACGAACTGGTGCTTTGGGGAGTTTCAGCTTTACCCGCAGAAACAATAGAAGAAATTGGACGTTCGATCACTGTTTGGATTGGATTTGTTAAAGTGTCACTCCAAATTGATATCAAACCGTTTCTTTTGTCATATTCGTCATTTCACAATATTTCTATTATTTTCTGCAGTTGACCTGATCAAAATATCCCTTTGATTATCGTCGGTTACTCCTTTGCCATCTCCATCTCCTGCCTACATGAACTAAACTTGTCGTCCGTTTATTGTTGTTGAAGGAGACGGCTGAAGACCTGAGCTCTCCCCGCCCCCGTCGCGGCGGCCGATGTCGTCCCCGCCGATGACGCGCCGCTCTTGCCGAAGACGAGCTCGGAGAGACCGTTCTATGACAACAACTGGTGCACAACCCGTCGCATCTGCCGCATCCAACCCGCCCTCCTTCCTCCTCCCTGTGGTCGTTACCAATGGCCCGCTGGGCGCGTCCATCTCATCTTGTTTAACTGAACGAAGGGGTATTTTGGGCAAGTCAAGTCCGAAAAAGGTAGAAATCCTGTAAAATGACGAATATGGAAAAACAATGGTTTGGCATTGGTTGGAAGTGACTTTTTAACGAATCCAATCCGCGGAGTGGCATTTGAGCAAAACCCTCTTTTGGCGGTGGTGGAATGTCCAATTTCTCGAAACAATACATACTCCACCTATTTTGAGTTTCACTGGGAGGAAAATGTTTTTTTAAAAAATATACTTTTTGTCACGATTTGCCAATAGAAATACCCTTTTTGACGAAATTTCACAATAATCCGTGCAACAATGTAATCCATTATTTTTTAAAAAAAAACAACCCACTAGATAAGGTAAACCATTTTCCATGTTGAATATTATCAAGTGATTGTATTGGTGTGTATTTTACCGCTCACCGACATCAACAAAAATTTGTAATCTTGTCAAAATACCATACTCATGGAGCATCAATCTTTTTCCACCTTTGCTCGTGGAGTAGCACCTTTTGCCATCAAAGTCTCACCTCTGCTTTATATTTGGACTAAATATCCAAATCACGAGACATAAAATCTATTACTGTGATGCTAAATAGAGTATGATGTTTTTCTGGTCAGTATTGTTTCTAGTGGATTCTTAATCTTACTTTAACTGCCTATTTTAAAAAGGTAATGGAAAGAGAAGTGAAGAAGAAGAAGAAAAAAAACTCTAAAATTAACAAACTAATAGCACTATCTTTAGGGGCCATATGGTTAATTTAGAGTTTTATACTTTTTCTAATCTCTCCGAAGATCCTACATCCATGGTGCTATCATCCCACATGCCATTCCCCATTCGCCTCATAGAATTCATCAATACATGCATGCATCTACATTTTTTTCTAGCTTTCTTTATCCAACGATCATGCAATGCTTGATCGCATGTCTCTGATTCTTGATGCTAATACAATAATCTATCAATCGTTCATACTCCATGTCATAGGGGTCGCCGGCCTTGGGATCCTTTAGAGAGCCCGTCAATCATAGCGACATTGGCTCTAAGCTCCTTGCAGGTGATGTTGAATCCGATGATGGGGAGATCATCAGGAGAAGGAGGAGGAGGAGGAGGCGACAATGTGTTAATCGATGACAATGTCCTCGACTCATTGCCATTGCCACCTCTTCCCATGCGGCCGACCCCACGATGCCGACGACATTCATCGCGGCCACAAAGGCATGTCATTGTCGAATTCTCAGGGCCATGGACACTGCAACCGTGGTCATCATCACATCTCAAGGTTCCATCATTTGAATTATATGATGAATTAATCATAATAATAAGTGCAAATCAAGTTATCAGTATGGCTTGGATTGCCAGGAGGAAGAAGAAGCAAAGGACAAAACAACAACGTTGGTTGAGGAGCTTGAGGGGAAGGCGGCCATGGCAGAGGCGAGATTGAGGCAAAAAGAGGAGGAGAATGCTGAACTGAAACGGAAGTTTGAGGGTTACCATGTTAGGTGGCTGCAACACGAGATTAGGCTCAGCTCTCTCAAGGAAACCATTGATGAACAAATGATTTCTCTACAGGTCAGCATCATAACACTATCACCAGCTACGTAATTAATCAAACCATTTTTGCAGCCATTCACGTGACAAAGTGACAATAATCTAACTAACCTCGATTGATTGTCTGAATCTCACAGGTGGCTCAAGAATGTGTAGAAAAGAGATCACGTGAAATGTTATCACTATATGACCGCCAAGAATCCTCGGAATCCTACGTGAAGATGTCTAAGGAAACATCGGCGAGGTTGGCGCACAGCTCTCGCCATTATGCGGGCATTGCTCGTGGTACATGCACGGAGTTCCGACAACAGAGCCAAGCACTCGTGGAGTCAAGGGAGCCATGGCAGCCAAGCACTCAAGGTGGGAATTCCATTGATGACCTCGAGAAGCTCAAGTCAAATTTTTGCATGTGGAAGAAGGATTACAAAGCTCGACTACGGAAAGCCATGGCCGCTGAGCTAGATTTAGAGGGAAGACATCGAAGCATATGCTGGATTTAACCACATAACGTATAATCATATATATGTGTGTGCTATTGTTTCTTGTAGTGATAAAAACTAGTGTGGTTTTACATATTTGATGTTTTTATCAAGGCATGCATTTGATATAAAGGTTGCTAAAATGCTAAGAACCTCCTATAAAGTGCAGAGTAAAAACACCAATAGAAATAAGAATGTTATGTTTCATCGCGTCAATCAAATCCCCGTACCAATTTTATGGTGCATCTATTTATTAAACAGCAAAAATCATTTGGTCTCATGGTTTAGATAAGTAAACATCTCAACGACCTTGTGTTGGAGACGGTATGAGCAAATAAAAACACCTTTAATACCCTTATGTGAGGAGGAAACTAAAAGAACTTGCTTACGCCTTGTATTTTATACTTGTTGACTTGTCAACCGAAAAGAAAGAAAACTTAAATATAGAGTTTTTTTTGTTGAGGTCAATTTTTCATATTTAACCTTTAAACCACTCATAATACATATACTACATTTTTTTGTTGAACAATTTCTCACAATATCACCGCTATTAAAGCTCGTGGTCACATGCCATGAAGGACTCAAACCAAAACCCATGATAGCAATTGACCTCCTACTACACAACTACACAAGCCAACCCAAGAGATTTGTAGTGATATCCACGTTTTTCTTGTTGCTAACCACAATTAGGGACGGTGGAGATTGTATGGACAGATCCACAATAATGTCCCTTCTTCCTTTTTCACCTCAAACCAACATCTGATTATGCCATCTTTTACTGTGCTCACAAACATGAGATCCCTTTCCCTAATTGGTGACAACCCTGATGCAGCCAAGGCAAAAGTTGGAGGAGATTTGGTGGCACACTGGCACTGGTACTCAACTCAAGATCAATCCAACTTTTTTTGACATCATAAGTTTTATGGATGAAATCACTTGCCTTTGCAACAAGATTTGGATGCATGTCATGCTGTGGTTCGATGTTGAACGGCCGTGTGCTTCAAAGCGGGAACGAAGACCACTGTAGGTGAGGGAGAAAGTTGAGGGATGGTGAGATGAGAGGGACAGCCATAGGTTATGAGAGGGACAGCCTTCTATTGTACATGCTCTTATACAAAATTGTCCTATAAACAATTTACGGTGCAGTTGTTCAACCACTGATGTATATATATAGTGGTGTAGCAGCTGTAGAATCGCATGGGTGCATCATCAGACCAAAGGTCAGGGTTAATTTTCAGTCTCAGAATCTGTCAATCAACATATTAGCTGGACAAATCCTGTAAAAACTAACCTTTATTGAAAGGAACAGCATGATTTGACAGCCATGGAGACGCATGTAGTAACCCCTTTTTCCCGGCGTGGCTGTGTACCATCCGCTGCCAATCAGAAAAAAAAAAGGAAAATATATGCTTGCTTTTCTCTATATTATCCGTCCCAGCTAGTACATCTACACGGTTATTAGAAAGTTCGCTCAAAATTAGCAGCAGTGAGGATATTATAAAAAGGTTTATTGTTTATTAACCCACTATCAAAACCAAATGCCATTTCAATTTGGTGCCTAATTATTTTTGCCCTGGCTTAACTTGGATAAACTAAGCAGGCAGTGAACGGAAGGCACTAAAAAGGGTCAAAAAGATTCATGCGTACCCCCCCGAGGGCAAATGTCCCATTTTTGAATCGGATCAAACTTCTAGTGTGAAACTTTATACACATAAACTTTATATAGATAAAATTTATATATATGAACTTCAATATCTAAATCAAACTTGGTTCCATTTTATACAAAGAAACATTCCACATTGAAACCTTATATACATAAGGTTTTCCTAAAATAGTATTTCTACACACAGAAGACACATCTAATTTCGACATGGCTCCAATTTCAACATCAAAACTTTATTTCTAATCAAACATTTTCTTTACATAGAACATTTTTACATATAAGCTGTGTTTAGATCTAAAGTTTGGATCTAAATTTCAGTCATTTTCCATCACATCAACCTATCATATACACACAACTTTTCAGTCATATCATCTCCAATTTCAAACAAAATTTAAACTTTGCGCTGAACTAAACACAAAACACAGCCATAGAAACATGAACCGCGCACACACATGTGCCGTGCGGAACACGCTTGCATATTTACCACGTCCCGCGTAAATGTTTGCATGCTACACCTCATAACACACACAATGTTTGCATGCACCGTTCCCGCGCAAATGTCCACGCATAACACCCAGCGCGCACATTTGCGTGCACCATTCCCGCGTAAATGTTTAAACGTTCGCGCATTACACTACACACTGTACACACATTTGCATATACCGCGCGAATGTCCCTTCATAAACACCCAAAAAAAAGGTGTGAAAACAAAAGGAGAAAAAAACCACGAGGAGGAGGAAAAATGGGAGGAAGGTGGAGAGGGCCAGCGTGTGAAAAGGGCTCGGCACCGTGCCGGCGACCCGGGCCAAAAAAGGCCCGGGTGATGCGAATGTGCGGTGCGGTGCGGTGCGGTGAGCCAGAAGTAGACCGGCGCACCGAGGCTGGGCTGGTAGTACACTACACTGGTGAACCCGTACGAGCCGCGTGTATTTAGCGAGCGGCAGTAGCACGGTGGAGACGGCACACGCACCGCTTCGCCCCGCCGAAGAGACGGACGCCTCCACACGTCTCTTCCTCTTCCTTGATACTGAGAGAGAGAGAGAGAGGAGGAGGAGGAGGACCAGCCATCCACCCGCGCGGCCGCGGCGAATCCATCCAATCCGCGTCGATGCGGCGGCGGCGGCGGTAGCGGGGAGGGGGTGGAAATGGTGGGGGATCAGGAGGGGAGGCGGCAGCGGCGGCGGGGGTGGGGGGAGGAGGAGGAGGACCGCATCTCGGACCTCCCCGACGCGCTGCGGCTCCAGATTCTGAGCCTCCTGCCGCTCAAGTCGGCAATCCGGACGGGGGCCCTCTCGTCGCGGTGGCGGGGGTTGTGGGAGCAGCGGTGGCCCGACCCGTCGTCGCTCGACGTGCGGCTGCCATCGGGGGGAGGAGCCGCGTCGGCGTCGGTGGCGGCGCTGCGGGCCGAGCACCTCGCAGGCATCGACCGGCGCGGGAGGCGGCGGATGGACCTCTTCTCGCTCGCCTTCCACGCGGGGCAGCTCGCGCCCCCCGAGCTGAAGCGGTTCATCGAGTACGCGGCGGCGTGCGACGTGGAGGAGGTGCGGCTGCGGCTCGACGGCGGCGGCGGGCGTGGGGCGAGAGGGGGCACGCGGCGGCCCGGCGCGCTCGCCGTGCACTTCCCCATCGGGAGCAAGCTCCTCGCGCGGCTGTCGGTGCGGGGGCTCCACCTCACGGCGTCCGCCAACGCGATGGTCGCCACGCTCGAGGTGATCCATTTCCACTCCGTCTCCCTCACCGACGCCGCGCTGCGGCGGGTGGTCTCCGCCTGCCCGCGCCTCCGCGAGCTCGAGCTCCGGTACTGCCGACACCTCCGCCGTATCGATTTCACCGTCGGGGCCTCCAATCTCAAGAGCCTCACCGTCGTCGACTGCTCCCGCGCCACGGAGCTGCGCGTGCCATCGGCGCCCCTCCTCCGGTCGTTCCGGTTCAGCGGCGCGTTCCTCTGCAGCAACATTTTCGGTAGCACCGCGGATTGTGTCGAGCATCTCTACCTCTGCTCCGGCGGGCCGGAGACAGGTTTGCCGCGCACCAACTTGCCGTCGGCAGTCCCCCGCCTGTCAAACCTCACCGTACTCACCCTATGCAGCATTGCTCTCCAGGTCTGCCCAAGTATCTATGCCGTCTTTGGTTGCGTTTCATTTTGTTGCTTTTGTGCTTATACTTGCACGCCTTGTAGTATGTCTCTGCTTCAGTAGCCACCCCCAACGTGGAGAAGAGCTTGAACAGCTTGAGAGAGCTCCAGCTGCTCATGTTCGGAATGGCCAACTCCAACCTCGCAGATATCTATAGCTTCCTCAAGGCCTGCCGTTGTCCTCAGTTGGAGAGGCTCTTCGTGCAGGTTGTTATTTCTAGGCAAAATGCATTTTGTTGCTAGTTTACTTATAGGTGTGTGCCATTTATGTACTTAACATATTGTGTTCAACATTGCAGCTCCCAACAAACACTTATGATTCGTTCACGACGAATTATTTGGAGGTAGCAGAGGAAGAACCGCCTGAAGGCGGATTAGAAAACCTTCGGTTGGTCAAGATGACAAACTTCAAGGGTTATCGCAATGAACTACGACTGGTGGATTTCCTGCTGAGGAAAGCTAGCCGTCTTAACAAACTGTTCCTGATTGCTCCCAAGGAGGTTCACCCACAAGGCCTCCGAAAGGTCCACTCGGAGGCACTGCCCCATTTTCTCAAGACAGATGTATTGCATCTTGAAAGAGCTTCAGCAATCGCCCAGATAATTTTTGATGAGTCTGTTAGTCCTCAGATACTACCCTTGCATTCGGAGGTCTTTGTCAGAGTTTAGCTGAAATAAGCAATTGCACCGTAGTTTAATTGCTGCTCCTTAATTATTACCATTATAGCTTTTAGGCAACAGACATGAAAAAGATCTGCAAGCATACAAAGTTTGGTATAATATATTTGCAATTTATGTTTTGAAATGTCTGGGTAAGATGGTTGAAATTTGTGGTATTCCAGTCCTCTTATGATCCTCGTGTTCTGGCAAGATGATTGAAACTATAGTTTGGTATAACATAATTGCAATTTGTGTTTTCAAATGCCTGAATTTTCCTTGTCCAAAATCCCCTCAAGAGTTAGCTTATTTAAAATTTGCTTTTGGCATGCCATCTAGCTAAAACATACACCAATGTGTGTTATGAACATAACTGTGTGTTATGTGGTACCAATTATCTGTAAGATACCATTTATAAAAATGATTTACCCTGGAGGTGGACTGGTATGTTTTGCACTCTAAAATTGGTGAGCTATTCTGTTGCCTGATCTTCATGACACATGTAAAAAAATACATTAGAGAAGAAATGAACACGGAGAAAGTGTCTTACCGATTATAAATTTGGACAAACTACAGAAGTTATGGACATCAATGTAGCATATTCAATTGTTCGTGAACGTGAAAAATATGGTTTGAACTTAGATAGGACAGGTGGCACGGATGACAGAACACGTGTTTCTACATTCAACTAATGTGAATTGATATGGGCTATGTGTTCTTTTTCCCACTCCTTGGACTGTATGTCACGAATTAAGTTACCTGTGCAACCTTAAGAGTGGTTTTCATTAGCGGTCCTCAGAGAATCCTGGTCTTGTATAATGTGTCTTATACATCTTTCAGCATGCCTTTCTTGCCTGTGAAACTGTGCGTATATCTTGTTTAAGTTGGTAATGCACGAAAGTTCCCAAGGAGTTTCTTAAGAAACAAATACTTTCTTAAAATTCGTATTCTGTGTATATTCTTGACTTATGTTCATCAATAGCAAACATATTTCAGTATAGAAGCTGAAAAAAAAGTGGCGCAGATGTACTCAAATAGGAATGTAAATTTGAATGAACTCTTGCTCTTCACTCTTTATTCACTATAGAGGTTCTTTAGTCAGTTGGACTCCAGTTTTTTATACTTCATGCAAATATATACTAGTATAAGCTTGTTTGATGATTTCTAGCATCTATGCTCATTTGGTGCTTGGAATAGAGGGAGTCCTGTACTGATGTTTATGCATTTCTATTTTGTGTGGTGGTTGCTTGCTTCCTGCTGTTATGAAATGCATCTGAGTTCTGAAGGAGTTGGTTTGATTCTTCTTTCTCTCCCTTCCTTTTCTTTCTTTCTTTCTTTCTTTTTAATTATTTTAAATGGATGGAATGCTTTCTAAATTCCAACCAATGTATTTAGTTTTCTGATCTACATTTATTTTAAGTCAGTGTGACAAAGTTACGATGAAAGATAGCTTTGTGTCGGCTTTGTATGGAAGCTGAATTACTTGTGGTGTTGGTGGGAGCCAGTTTTACTCGATACTAGCAACATTGACTTTTCATGCAATCATATATCTGAGAAGGGCACTGATGAAACATATGGTGGTAAGTTAAGTCATATGGAAGCGCTATATAACTCATGCTCAAAATGTGGTGTTGGGACTCTTATACCTGCTTTTTATTTGGGGCTAGTATCATGGCCTCTTAGTTCTGTTAAATACTTGAATGTTTGGGTCATTTGGATGCTGAGGGATGAGATCAATTGATGAACAGTTCTTAGCTAGCTTTGTTTCTTGGCTTTGCAGTGTTGGAGGAGGCATGACTGAATGAACCATTTCATGCTGATGATTTCCTGATGTAAGCTCACACTGCCCCTAAGAAGGTGGTATTACCCTTGGTCTGTTGGGTTAGCTGGGGGGACCTGGGTGGAGCATCTTTATGAAATTTCTTATGTGCTCCTTATATGAACTGAAAGTCATATCACCTTTTATTGTTTTGCATTTGCACCTTATAATGCCAGTGTGCCACATAGAACTATTGAGCCACACAGCATTGTGATTTGTGGAATGATATGGGTAATGTTGATAAAGGTATCCATTATGCTACAACCTATTTTATGCATTTTTATGTTGAAAAGCACTGTTACTAATGTGTTTGTATTTTGCTATATTTTGAACCCTTTAGGATATGAACCTTACATACATGTCTATTGAATAACACTTTCCTTGCCCCGCAAAAAAAAGAATAACGTTAACTTTTCTTGGGCTTAGTGATTTCTAAGCTTTATGGGATTCACACTTTCTCTGTCGTGTGTTTCTGTAGTAGTACTTGCATTTTTCTACCTACTGGTTCACAGGCGTTTAAAGGCTGGTCAACAAACAGTAACATACCATGACAAGAATAACTAGGCTATTGGTATTTAGTTGTGAGATAATTTTCTGTAAATATATGCATTTTCATTTTTTTTTGTCAAATCCTTCTCTTTGCCTTCCTAGGTTATGGATATTTAGATAATTTTCCATTTTGATGTCAAATCCTTCTCTTTGCCTGACACATTCAAAGATGACTTTATTTGATGACTTTTTCATGCTTACATAGCTACTTATGATTGTTCTCCAAAGCACAGTAAAATATCGTTACATCCAGAACAAATTTGATATGCCATGTCATAATTTCTGCAAGTTAATCCATACTTCTGCTTTATATTAATATAGATTCTTGGGTTTTTATCAGAAGTTGAAAGCAACGTTGAGAATTCCACCGTTTAATGTTCAATGCCTATTGACTCAAGGGGTTGTACACTACACTACACTAGAAGCACCTGTACAGATCCGATTGTGGCTGGGAGGACCAAGGAGATTTAGTTGTTTGGTAACCTATTGCACACAAATACTCACTTTAAAATCCTAATACTTTTGGGGTGATTTGTGTTTAATTAGACATTTTCATGCAAACCTAATCATTTCTTGAGAAATAATTTATGGTAGCACCTCCATTGATAAAATTTACCGTTGGTGATTTCTCAATACTTGAGAAATAATCTATATATTCTTTTATTTTAGTCTGCAATCTATCTAAAATTAACTTTTCAAAGATACATGAGCTACATATATCCTCTACTAACAGTGCCACCTTGCAAAAAAATCAGGAAGGAGGAGCAGCTTACAAGATCTCAAGGAATGTGATTGGTTACTTGGAACGCCTTCACATATGTCGGTGAGGAAATGAAGGGATGTCCTACTTTTTGTGATCTATGGTGGCATGGTGGGCCTACTGTGATTGCCCCTGTAGCAGAGGTACATGATTTTATTATTGAAGGTCTCCCACAACTTTAAGTTATTCAGTCTGCATGTTATGTTGAATATGTTAGGTACATATTTACATATGACAACCCCTATTTTCAATACTAGCTACAATTCTTTTTCAAGATGGCTACTAACTTGATTAAGAAAGACTGGGTAAAGAATTTCCTGTTACAAGTGTATACCCAGCCTCGTTAATATTTCTTATATAAACTGAAGTCAGCCTTTGCCAATTAGAATAACATCTTAGTAGAACACTATACTACCTCTGTTCTTGAGCAATAGACAATTTGACCATTCCATGTAGAACAAGGCAACAAATTTTGTGACCAATTTGCCCTTGGCAATTGTTAGGAGATGGTATTAAAAAAAAGAATAAATGGGAGGTGGGGGGAAAGGAATGGATCCAAAATAGAAGTATCTAGAGGTTTTCTCTATGGTGGAAGATTGATTTAGACCCACAAGTGTAGCCATGGGAAAGTAGGGGCAAAATTGGATTTTACCAATGAAAGTATGGTGGTGACAAATATTCTGAAACAAATGATTTGGTCAAATTGCCAGTTATTCAAGAACGGATGGAGTATTATTTGCCTCTGATAAATTCTTTTCTTATATCACTCATTTTGTTCAGTTAATTTAATTACATAATTTTAATAATAAGCTAGTATTACTTCATGCTAATTTTGGGCTTTGAGCTTTATAGGGTACTTTGTAACAGATGAGTTGTTCTGGAACAGTAGATGACTAATTAGCCATTAGAAACCAATGGTTTGGTTTGGCAGTCAACATGTACATACTAGACCAATTCCCTGGACCTTTTGCCCTAAAATAATATGATGACCATTGACTATATACATGGTAATACCAGCACCCTGTCCTTTTGGCCTTTTATACAAGGAGCTGAATGCATTTTTGGTCTTTTACTCCATAGTTCGATATTTTTCTGATGGTACTTCCCTGGTGTCAAAGCAAAGCCTGCAGAGGAAGCACAATTCTTATTCTGTATGATAATGATCAACTGCGATGAACTCATCAAACATCAGTTGGGGAAACTTATTCGAGGCTGTTGTTTGGGCTGCTGGTCTTGGAATCACCTCTTTTTTTGGATTTCATTCATATAAATGCCTTGTTGGTGATCATATATCATATATGGCTCATCAAGACATGAATTGGGAAAGGTTTGTTGCCCAACAGCTCAGGTGGTTTCTACAGTTCTATTTCCAGTCTTCCATGAGTATTTTCATTGTTCCATACGTCTATACTACTGACCTGTAATAAATATAATAATAAATAACCAATTATATGTCTGGTACATACATATGAATGCTCTCTCAACGTCTCTTAAATATTTGTGTCCTTTGCAGTACCTTGCTTTTCTTTTGTCCTTCCATTTTTCACTGTATTGTTTGCCTAGTATACCTGCCTTTTCATTTCTCCTCCCATTTCACTGTACCATTTACTTTATGATGAATGGTATGTGCACATCTTATTTAAATCAGTGTACAGCATACGTGCTACTGTGCTAGTGGTGGTCTATGTTGAAAGTTGAGACTACTTTTTAGTATTTGTATTCCTTGATGTCGAGCTATGTTGCTACAGGGACTACAGGATCAAGTTATTTGAAGTGGCGATTTAGAGCCATAATAATAATAATAATTAGTCCCCTCTCTTCCAGAAAGTGGTGCGGGCAGGTGGACATGTCTGGGTAGTGTTCACAATTCCCTTAAAAGGTGGGCTACAAAATCATGGGGAAACTTGTAAATTAAAAAGGCACAAGCAATTAGCCAATTACTGGTAGTCTTTGAGTCCTATTGGTGCTCTTCTCTTTCTTCACTTGGTGACCAGTTTTTGTATTTTATTTACCTTGCTCTTCAAAGGCTCAAAGCTACCAGGTTTCAGCATGAAGGAGATGTATGTTACTTCCAAGTTCATCCATATTATTTTGGGGGTTTAATTTTTAAGTAGTGGCAGCTGGAGAAGGATTTTACAAAGACGACTGGGTATATCTTGTTATCCCATATTGGGTTCTTCCGGGAGCAAAACTGCAAAAGCACTGTATTGCTGATTGGATGGCCCCCATTACAATCCGTATGACCTTTTAATATCTGATTCTGGAGGTAGCTGAGAGTAATAACCTTTGAGTATCTAGGAGCAGCACTAGCACGTACACTGCACGCTGCAAATTATTATACTAAAATGAAATGCATTTTCTAGGTATAAACATACTTCTATAAAATAATATAGCTGCAATTTTCTCCTATGGATTTCCTTTGTATGGAGAGGATGCACCTTTACTTGTTCTTTATTTACTTACTACCTCTGTCCTACTTAGACTTCAATTTTTTCTTATGAATCTAGACAAATATTTGTCTAGATGCATATATATCTAGAAATAAAGTGTGGTCTCAAGCTCCTAGTTTTTTTTTAATTTGTTCTACAGGGTTAGCGACGACAGTATGTCTAGCTTATCCAATCCTGAATTTAGGAGGGTACATCAGTAGTACATCACATGGGAGGTGGTGTGCCACTGGGATAATTAGGTACCACCCGTACTGGTCAGTGGTCGTACAGTCTCTACTACTCCAGCATGCTGGTCCATTTTCCCTGCTCAATGCTCACACCAACCAATTAGCTCTTTTCCAGCACGTGCACTTGCTCTTATCTTAGCTCTCCGTACCGTATCTAATCTCTTTGTAACTACCTTTATAAATGAATGCAGTACACAGCTAAACCTGCTGGATACAGACGAGCAGAGGGCAGCATGGGGAGAGTCTGAAACAGGTCCAGTACCTCAGGTCCTAACATGTGATAAACTTCTTTCACACCCTCTTATCATTTCACATTTGCATTTTACAGCCTATTACTGTTATGCATTGTTCACTTGAACTGTGAAAGGACTGGTCATTGGGCCATGGCTTGATGCAAACATTAATCTTTCCTTTAATACTTCCATTCCAAGTTGCTTTTGTCATGCATATTTTTGGGGTCTGTAGGTCCACCATGCAGTAGCGCTCAGATTCTGCATCATAGATGACCCCATTATACAGTGTTTCTTTCAATGCAAGTTTGTATGGTACTACTGCAATCTGAAAAAAAAGGGAAAAGAAAAAGAACTGTTTGTTTGGTGCCAGCCAGCTTTTTTTCCATAGGACAAAACAAAGAAGGGAAAAGGTAAATTGAATATTAATATTTTACTAAATAAAGGCATTTATGGAAGAGTTGATGTTTGCACATATCACAATGAGAAGCAGTTTATATATGATTATCAGGTGTAATCAACCCTACCGAGGTTTATATTAAGGATATGCTTCACACCCCAGCACTCCACCCACCTATCCCACTAAATCTAACCCACTTCGGTGCAGCAAAAGATGCCTCGAGCCTGTGGCAGGCAGAGCAGTGCAAAATTCCAATCGAAGAAACCAAAAGGAGGCAGCAAAAAGACAGATCAAATGGATTCACCAACTGATCCATTCATCTGGCCAGGCCAGCTGGGCTTTGCATATACATTGCAGACCACTAGAGCTATAAGAACCTTATCATTATCATTTACTAAACAGAAAAACTACTATCTGCATATCTTCAATTCCATGTCTCCAACTCCAAGAACCAGTTTTGATCCCAACAGGAGTGCAGGAATGGAGGTAGCAGAATGCAGTGAGAAGCTGCAAATTTTAAAGGCATCGGCTTCAGCATCAATGGCTTATTCGATTGTTCAGTTCCCAGTCAAGTGGCAATCCATCAAGTACAAGCTTCAGCAACTCTGTTCCAACCTGAATGCGCCAGGAGACGACGGCAGCTGCAACGAAAATGTGATTCTTGTTCAGTTTCTTCAGACGGCTACAGCAACAGTAAGTCATATTCAAGCTATTGCTTCTCAATGCAGCGATGAATCTTACAATGGTGGAAGGCTTCGTCTGAGGAGTGATTTGGACAGCATCAGCTCCAAGCTTGATATCCACCTGAAGGACCTCAAGGAGATGGTTTCCTCCAGAATTTCTGTGCGTTCTCAAGCTGTCATCGCAACGAGGCCTGCCATTGGTGCAAGCCTAAGCAACAAGAGGTTCTACATCAATGATCTCTTCTTGAGGGTGAGGATTGGGGATTTGGCTCAAAGAAAACAAGCCCTGGTCACCATTGGAGAGCTCCTATCTGAAGATATCGAGTATGTCAAGATTGTAGCTCTTGACATTGATAATAGCATCACTCTCCTGATCAGCTTTCTTGAATCAGGGGATGCATGCATTCAAGAACAGGCTGCAAGAATTGTCTCCCTTATTGCAGGCTATGATTCTTACAGAGGAATGCTTGTGAAAGCAGGTGTGGTTGCTCCACTTGTCCAGTTACTGGATAGTCCAAGCTGCACCAGCACTACTGTTTCATCAAGGGAGAGAGCAGCTCATGCATTGAGGGAGCTGACGAGCAACTCCGACAACGTCTGGGCCGTCTGCGCACAAGGCGGTGTCACCGTGCTCCTGATCGTCTGCGCCAATGTCGATAGCAGGGGCAAGCTGGTCAGCTCCGCTTTCGCGGTGCTGAAGAACCTGAGCAGGGTGGAGGAGGTGAAGATGTTCATGGTGGAACAAGGTGCAGTTATGGAGTTGGTGAAGCTGTCCCGACAAAAGGAGGAAGAACGCAAAGTTGGATCAGTTGAGCTGCTCCATTACATGGCCTTGGCTGATGCCAATGTCAGACAAGCAGCAATCAGCATGGGGATGATCCAATCACTCACTCAGCTGATGAACCCTGATCTTCCATACTCATCCAAAGCCAGGGAGGTTGCTCTCTCAGCCATTGCATTCTTCTGCCTCCCTTCCAAAGCTCTGACAGATGATCTCATCAGCTCCAATTTTCTTAGCTGGCTTCAAACCTATCTCAACAATGTTGACTATGCTGTCCTGGAATGCACCCTCAACATTCTGGTACGGCTAACGAGGATCTCCGAGGAATACAGCAAGATGGTTGGCAGGGCAGGGTTCATGACTGCCCTGGTAAGCTCACTTGGAGCCAAATCTTGTCAGGTCAGGGAGATGGCAGCACAAGTACTCTGCAACCTACTGTTGCTTCACTCTAACCGTGTAGTTTTCATCCAAGATGGTGATAATCTGAACCGGCTGCTGCAGTCGCTTGAGCACGGTGACGGCAAGACGATGGCGAAGGATTTGGCCATTTCTTGCCTCGTGTCGTTGGCAGAGACCAGTGCTGGAAGGAAGAAGATCATATCGTCTCAACATTTTGTCAGCTTGAAAGGACTCGCAGACTCCGGTGACCTTCCTGCCAAGAAGATCGTGAAGAAACTCTGTGCTAACAAGTTGCAAAGCATTCTTACGAGAATCCGGATCACATGACTTCCTTCTCGCGTTTACCTGATCGCTCTTCAGTTTTGAACCACAGAATTCATTGATTCAGCTTTTGCTACCCTGCGTGGCTGCGTGCTGTTCATAGTTCCTCTTTGCCTGTTACATTCTTGTTCAGTCCTCACTACTCATCCCTACAATTCTTTTGTACTATCCATGAAATTCTTTTGTGTAGATCGCACGGCCTATAATCAATCAATCGTTTGTTTGTCACATCCAACTTATGATTTTTGAAGCTTTCTGTAGTGTTTCATACTTTATTGCCCCCAATTCTTAGGTGCACAAAATTGAACACAAGTCGTTATGCCTTACTGCTATAAAGCCACATTCAATTCATGACCAGGTGATTTTACAAAACCAAACTAAAATATAACACAAGCTAGTGTTCCTTGGTACAAATAAATAAGAACTAAACGAAATTTCATCTTCTTTGCAGCATCCAGCAAAGATGCTAACTTGTAAACTTGCTAAGAATGGAAATCATTTTTTCTGGTTGACCTTGAAACCAAGGAGACGTCCCTACGATTTAGGGCGCTCGCGCTCGCCATGCACCCACCATTGCCGTCGCGCCGTTCGCCGAGGCCTCCCCTCTCTTAAGTACTCCTCTCTCTCTTCTCTTCCTCCATTGATTCCCTCCTCCGCGCAGCTCGCGGCTTCGATCGATCGATCGACCGATCTCCCACGTCGCCGCCGTTCGATCGATCCGCCGCCGCCGCCGCCGCCGGCCGGCCGGGCAAGATGCCGGGGGCCGTGATCGTGCACCACCACACGCGGTACAAGACGTACCCCGGCGAGGTCACCGGCTTCGTCTTCTTCTGCTGCCTCATCGCCTCCGTCGGCGGCTGCATCTTCGGCTACGACATCGGCCTCACCGGTACACGCAACCTCACCGGCCGCCGCCGCCGCCGCCGCCATTACATACGATTCTTCTTGGTTGTGGTTGACTGATCACGTCCATGGCAGCCGGGTTGACGTCGACGGAGTCGTTCTTGGCGATGTTCTTCCCGGTGATCTTCGAGCAGCAGCAGGAGCGGGTGATCACGAACCAGTACTGCAAGTTCGACAGCCAGGTGCTGACGCTGTTCGGCTCGTCGCTCTTCCTCTCCGCCATGGTCGCCGGCATCTTCGCCTCCCCGATGTCCCGCGCCTTCGGCCGCAAGTGGACCCTCTTCGTCGCCGCCGTCGCCTACCTCATCGGCGCCATCCTCGGCGCCATCTCCTTCAACTTCATCGTTCTCCTCACCGGCCGCCTCCTCCTCGGCGTCGGCGTCGGCGTCTGCATCCACGTACGTTGTCATGTGACATCGATCACCTGCATACCATAACACTCATTATTATTTGTATGTGAATTAAATAATTATATTTATTTAAATAAAACAATAACATAAGTTGAAATGATATAAATCTATAGATAAGCATGTAAGATTAAATTTAATCTACAATTAGAAAAAAAAAGAGTAAAATCAAACAGTGAATAGTACATTGTAATTGTAATGTACAACCCATAAAAATTTGTTAATTTTATTATTGAATTTTAACTTACATGTTTCTATAGTGTCTTATATCATTATAATCTATCTTATCAAACTTTTTGAAAATTTTATATAACCATTTAAACCGCATGTATACAGCTAAGGTGTAGAAAATACTCAAAATTATATATCAGTTGTTGATCGATCGCCGGTGATTGGCCTGCAGGCGTCACCGCTGTACATATCGGAGATGGCGCCGGCGCAGCAGCGGGGGATGCTGAACATACTGTTCCAGCTGATGATCACGGTGGGGATCCTGTCGGCGAGCCTGACAACGTACTGGACGTCGAAGATCGCCGGCGGGTGGGGGTGGCGCGTGGGGCTGGCGTTCGGGACGGTGCCGGCGGCGGTGATCGCGCTGGGGTCGCTGGCCATCCCGGACACGCCGGTGTCGCTCATCGCGCGCGGCGAGGGCGAGGCGGCGCGCGCGACGCTGGCCAAGATCCGCGGCGTCGACGACGTGCGCGCCGAGTTCGAGGACCTGACGACGGCGAGCGAGGAGAGCAAGGCGGTGGCGCACCCGTGGCGGGAGCTCTTCTTCGGCGGCAGGTACAAGCCGCAGCTCGCGTTCGCGGTGCTCATCCCCTTCTTCCAGCAGCTCACCGGCATCAACGTCATCATGTTCTACGCCCCCGTCCTCTTCAAGACCGTCGGCTTCCGCCAGGACGCCTCCCTCGTCTCCTCCGTCATCACCGGCCTCGTCAACGTCTTCTCCACCTTCGTCGCCGTCATGACCGCCGACAAGGTCGGCCGCCGCGCCCTCTTCCTCCAAGGTGGCACCCAAATGATCATCTCCCAGGCAAGCAAGCAACCACCCATTTCATCAAACACCTTGACTGCAAAACCAAAGATTTAATTTATTCAGCAAGCACTCACCCATTTCATCAAACACCTTGTCTGCAAAACCAAAGATTTAATTTATTAACAATCTTGTTTGATTTCTTTGCAGATCTTGGTGGGAACATTCATCGGATTACAGTTCGGGGTGAGCGGGACGGGGGCGATGTCGGAGCAGTACGCGATGTGCATCGTTCTGTTCGTGTGCGTGTACGTGGCCGGGTTCGCGTGGTCGTGGGGGCCGATGGGGTGGCTGATCCCGAGCGAGGTGTACCCGCTGGCGGTGAGGTCGGCGGCGCAGAGCGTGACGGTGGCGGTGAACATGTTCTTCACGGCGTTCATCAGCCAGATCTTCCTCACCCTCCTCTGCCACCTCCGCTTCGGCCTCTTCTACTTCTTCGGCGCCTGGGTCCTCCTCATGACCGTCTTCATCGCCACCCTCCTCCCGGAGACCAAGTGCGTGCCGCTCGAAGAGGTGGCGCACGTCTGGAGGAAGCACTGGTTCTGGCGCAAGTTCATCGTCGACTCCCCCGACCGCGGCGGCGCCGAGATGAGGAAGAGGATAGCCCTAGAGATGAGCTAGAGTTCTCTACTAATATACTGACGTGCAAAGCTTTTACGCGTTCGCGAAAAAGAGAAGAGAATAAAAGCTTAGCTAACATGAACAATGTTGATTGATTGATCTATCATTTCAGTTAAGCTAATTGATTAATTGCCTGATTATGATAGAAGAATACACATACTCTCTTCATCAAAAAGCTCATCATAGTATTTGGATAGGACATAATCTATAATGAATTTGGACAGGCGGCCTATCTAGATTATGTTGTATCTAGATACTAGGTTGGGTTTTTTTTACAGATGGAGTACTTTTCATAGCTAGGGGTGCAGCATGGGTTCACTCATTGATTAGTTGGTAATTAAACTTGTTGCCGATTCTGATGTTGTTTGTACTACTGGTATGTACTCTCTCTATCTTAAAAAAAAAGGCAAACCCTGAGTTTCCGTGTCCAGCATTTGGCCGTCCGTCTTATTTGAAAAAATTATGAAAAAAATAAAAAGGTAAGTCACGCATAAAGTATTAATCATGTTTTATCATCTAACAACAATGAAAATACTAATCATAAAAAAATTTCATATAAGACGGACAGTCAAACATTGGACACGGAAACTTAGGGTTTGTCTTTTTTTATTTTTTTGACAGAGGGAGTAGGACTGATCATAGCATGTCGTTGTAAGTGTACCATTTTGTTTGTTGTTTTCCATGTAAGTTTGTCACTTTGATGTCAGCTTGTTTTAATTTGTAAATGAAGAATTGATGACAAGTTTGTTTTCCTTGGGGCTTTGGTCCATAAATCAGTACTCTCAATTGAGCTTGTCCGCAGTTTATTGATGACAAGTTTATTTTCCCATGGAGACCTTGTCTGGCCCAATTTTCTCAGCCCATAATTTCTATTGGATGATTAATTTAGCTGTAAGAATAAAGAATAGATTTAAATTAAAAATATATATAAATAATTACAAAAATGTTGCTTTTTCACACTGCAATTTTTCCCATGGAGACCTTGTCTGGCCCAATTTTCTCAGCCCATAATTTCTATTGGATGATTAATTTAGCTGTAAGAATAAAGAATATATTTAAATTAAAAAAATATAGAAATAATTACAAAAATGTTGCTTTTTCACACTGCAAATATTGGACCTAAATTAATTCGATTTTGCTATATCTCACTCGAAAGATTTTTTCTTATCTCTCACTCGATTTTCTCACTCAAATTTACAGTGCATTTTCTTGTAAGTTATAGTGTAATTTATGAAACTTACAATGTAACTTTTATAAGTTACACTGTAATTTTTGAATCTTCGCATGTAAATTTTAAATTTTGTATTGGATTTGGTCTTTTTCTTGAGGATATGGTAATTTAGTGTCCATTATAGTGTTTCTTAATTGCTTTTTGCTTTTATTATATCTATCGGATTTTAATCCAAAGATTAAAAATATGTGTGATACGATTATAAAAATCTTTCGAAAGATGTATAGGTACTCCCAAATTAATTTATTTAAGTATAGTCAGGCCTTTTCTTTTCTTTTACTTTTTTTTTGGTGCTTTTCATTGTTTCTGTGGGCTTTGGCCTCTCAGAGTAGGAGATGGTGAGATGAGATATTGCCTCCATGATTCGTTATGTAGCTGTTCCTGCTATCACAAATCGGCCCAAGCCCAAGATATTTACCATCCCCGCCTTTTCGCTTTTGCTTAGCCCCTTTTCCCTTTTGCAAGTAAAAATCTGCCACAAATAACAGGGCCGAAAAAATCCGACTGTAAAAGAAGAAAAAAAAGGGTTTGCATATGCTCGAGGTATAATAAGGAGCACATATGTCCATCGCAAACACAACTGTGCGTAAATCAGCTCACTGGTAGGCATGTTTGTAGCTGATGCAGGATGAATTATTATAAGTGAAACTGAGTTTATAATAATTATTTCAAGACATAGCTGAGTAAATTAAATATTTAACCGTATACATTTCTTTTCACAAAAATTACCGATGAAGAAAGTTTTTACAAAAATCAACATATACTCTCTTCATTCAGATTTAGGACTAGATTCGTTTATTAGATCTAGTATTAGGTTCATTTATTTTCATTCAGATTTAGGACTAGATTTGTTTATTAGATCTAGTATTAGATTCGTTTACTTTAGAATGGAGGAGTACTAATGATGAACCCTGAGTTCCTCTCGACACTCAAGGCTGTTGTTGGCCCGATCTTTCGGTGAGTTGATGAAAACTACGATTTGGAAGAAACGTTGACGACCCGACTACAACCGTACAAGACGTTGCGTTGCGCCTTAGCGATCGATACACCTCTCCGTGAGTTGTTGATCTTGCCGGTGCAAATCAACCTTATTCCTACAAGCAAATCGAAGAAACAAGCAAGAACAAGATAAAAGCAATCTGAATTGCAAATAGGAGTTAAATACGAATGATAAGTTGGGGTTCCGAAGAACAAGCAGACGGACGGTCTATCCGACACGCGCGCTGCAAGCAAGTAGCAATGGCTAAACTTTAATCTAACAAAACCCGAGAAACCCTGAAGGGGTAACTAGCTATATATAGGGGTGGGAGGACGACCTAGGGGTGCCTAGGGTCGTGCTCCACCAGCTTAGGGCGCACCCCACATGGGCCCCACCTGGGCCGGGGTCCCAAATGAAGTTACAAGCCCATAGGCCCATTATAGGTGATGCAACACCTTGTTCCTGTGATTCTGGCCACACGAGATAGAATTCAGAGAAGAGGCTGGATCCGTTAGAAAGAGGGCTCCGAGAGCTTTCCATCAAGTACTCACGGGCCGAAAACGGAGGTCGTATGCAGATTCGGTGGCCGTTTGAAGTCAGCAGTGTAGTAGGTGGCCGAATCGGATTCCAGCACTTGGAGTACTTGATCTCGATATCTTCTTGTTCATCCATGATGTGAGCAATGGTTGCATCCGTGGTAGCCATGGTCACATCCATGGTAGCCATGGTCACATCAACTAATGTACCGTTTAGAAGCCTAGAATCGTCCGTGTCTGCGGTTATTTGTGATTCTGTGAATCTTAGCAACCAAACAAAAATTACCCAAAATTAAAAGTGGCAGTCTTACACGATCTGATCATTACTTGCCCCAAACTCAAGGCAAAAGTTTACAAGGTAGTAGTACATGATTGATGATACATAAGTTTTGCTCCATAAAAAAAGGACCGATTAGAACGCATGTGATTTTCACGAGGAAAACCACTTGATTCGTATGTACAGAAAAACGGTGGAAACCCCTGTAGACTGACCCGGCAAACAAGCATCATCAGTGCATGGATACTGGACCAAAAACACCATAAGAAATTAAAGAGAACGGAGCAAGCGAGCAATCAGCCAGCTAGTACTAGTACATATATATTGTACAGCCGTGATCTGGTCGGAGATGAGACGATGACCCGCCGGCGGCGGCCGGCCGGCGCGGCGGAGGCCCATCGATCGATCACTTGGGCCCCCAAAGCAGCAGGTGCATCACCTTGTCCGCCTTGCCGCCGCCGTCCGCCGCGCGCCGCCCCGCCGTTGCCGCCGGCGTGGCCGCGGCCGCGGCCGCGCGGGGTACCCGCAGCTGCTGGCCGGCGTCGCGCGCCAGCGCACGCAGCGTCGCCGGGAGCTCCCACCTGCTCTCGCGCCCGCTGCTCATGGCGAATCAACCACCGCTTTCTCCTTGGCCCTTCTTGCTATGCTATCTAGCTCGTGCTGCTCATCCTCAGTCCGGTCTCTTCTCTCTCCCAGCCACCTCACCTAGCCTCTTATACTGCCACTGCACTACTCCTGGTCATGAGTCACACACAATTTTACATTTTAGCCTTTTATGAACATTTATTTTATAAATAGATCTTTAAAAAAAACTTAATCTTTCCATCCAGAAATATAATATGGTACTGAATATGACACATTCCAGCATCATGACGAGTTTGGACAGATATCTTACAACTAAAATATATCCAATACTACCTTCATTCTAAAATGTAGCTATTTCTAGCACAGTACTTTGTCCCAAAATGAAGCTATTTTTCTACCTACCTTCCCCTCTCAACCAATCACAACCATTCTTTTTCACCTACTTTCTCTTTTCAACCAATCACACACCTTCTTCAATTATTCTCACATACTTTCTTAATACCCGTGCTAACCTCAAAAATACTTACATTTTGGGACGGAGGAAGTATGATACAAGATTGCTATATCATGTAACAGATGAAATATTCTGTCACCGAGCTACAGGTTTGAATATAACAATCTAAAGATGAGATACTAGTACTATATAGTTAGAATAGACTCCTTTCCGCTCTCTCGGAGAGACTCATAGCTCTAGTTCTACATTTTTATAATATGTAACGAAGAGATTAAGTCCTTGGTTAGTTTGGGAAAAATTTTAGATTTGGTTGGTATATTGGATATACGGACACATATTTAAAGTATGAAACATAGTTTAATAATAAAACAAATTACAGATTTCGTCAGAAAACTGCGAGATGAATTCTTTAAGTCTAATTAATTCATCATTAGCAAATATTTACTGTAGCACCACATTGTCAAATCATGGCGCAATTAGGTTTAAAAGATTCGTCTCGTAATTTACACGTAAACTGTGTAATTGGTTAGTTTTTATCCACATTTAATAATTCATGCATATATCTAAATATTCAATGTGATGGGTGAAATTTTTTGTTTTGAGAGCTAAAAAGGGCCTAAGTTTTTTAAGGATTTATTTATAAAATATGTTTTCAGAAAATGGCTAGTGTGAAAAGCCCAGTCCTGAGTCACCTCCTGCAAACTGCAATCAACAGGGGCAATAATAGTCAGCAATAAATATCAGCCACCATGATTGATGAACCCCTCCAAAATCGAGTGGCCGAGAGATACCCAAAGACGGGATTTTTATCCCGCACCCAACGCCTCGGCGCGGGATCACCACGCGCTTGGCGATCAGTGCGTACAGCGATCGCGATCGCCGGTGCGCGCGGGGGTGTATAATTTTCCACGGCGGCGAGGGGAGGGGAGGGGAGGTCGTGGATGCGGCGAGGCGGGCGGTCGGTGTCGGGAAAGGGGCGTGGAGTAATGCGCGTGTTTGAAAAACGGGGTCTCTCGACCAATCCGGAATGAACCAGTGGTTGGATTTGGGCTCGTTCTTCCGGTAAAGGGCATGTTAAGAGAAGTTTTTAACCAGCTGCAGGTTCTCTCGGATTCTTTAGCTATCCCAAATAGTCCGCATTATTATTTGGATTCAGATTCTGGTAATATATAATTGTAAAATCTAAAAAAATAAAATAGAAACTGTATTAAGCTGAAAAACCAAGTTTCTTCAGGTTATAAGAAGCTGACTATCAAACTAAGCTGGCTATCAAACAGTAGATTTAAGCTCCCTGAACAGGGTTTTTGTTGTGGTAGGGTTTTTGTTCCATTGTTTGTTATATGTCACATAAATAGTTAGAAAAATAACAAGTTAGATTCATACAAGATATATCCGTTTAAATTCAACTTCTATAAGTTATAATAAAAAAACACAAATATAATTGTGAATTTACGTTAACTCGTTTGAATTTAATATGTTCTTTTAGTTATAACTTGAAGAAGTGAAATTTAAAATTGCATTTTGTGAGACGATATATCCCATATTAATTTATTTTATAATTTTTTTCTTAAATTTTTCAGTGTCCATTTTGATGAGATACAATAAACAAGCAGATGTTTGGAGTAGGGGTGGACATTCGGTCTGACCGAAAATTTCGGTCTCGGTCTTTGGTCTTTAAAAAGTAAAGATCAAATTTCAATGCAAAAATATCAGGACCGACAAATTCAGTCTCGGTCTCGGTCCTGACCCAAATTCAACAACACTTTCATATACGCAAAGAAGCAATGGAAATTTTCAATACAAAAATCACAGAAAAAATGTAAGCACTTATGAGTAAATACTCTTATTAGGTTGTATGCCTAGAAGAAGTAGGATGCGAAAAATAGAGTTTAATCCTATTGAACATAGTGATTGTATGTTACATTTATACTTTTTTTTTTGTTAATTCAGTCTTTTTGGTCTATTCGGTGAGACTAACCGAATTGACCAAATAAAATTCGGTTTTTCACTTTCTAGGATTGAATTTTTCGGTCTCGGTCTTTTTGGTTCGGTCTTTTTCTGACCACCGCTACTTGGAGGATGAAAATCCATCTCCCGACACAAGTCCCAGCCAGGACGCACTAAGCACTGGAAACAGCTGTGGGAGCTGGAGTACCTTGTAGTCTCGTCCTTTGCTCTATGCCTGCGGTGACAATGTGAGGCTATGAGCAGTAAGCTGGTGTAAATAATTGAGTTAGACAAGTCAATAGAAATTAGTAGAATTAAGTAGTAGGAGTAATGGTATGTATGCTTCCGGTCATAAGGATTTAACTTGTAAGATAAAGGCTAATCAAACTTTTCGTAAGATCTTGACCATTAGTATTGCCGTAAACCTACTATACTTACAAACTTTTTAAAACATATAATTGTTGTTTATAGTGTTTGACAAAATGTCATCCTAAACGTCAAAGCAACAACTTGTTTATTTGGTTGACAAAACAGTCTAAATGCCCTTCAAAACTTTGACCGAGGGTGCATGTAGCCTCTTTTCTGGATAAATTAACAGGATCTGCTTATATGTAGGAGAGTTCACTGGCCTGTTAGAGCCAATGTGCTTGAGATTGTTGATGTGCTCCGTATTGAAGAAGTGGTTTCGGATGGTCCAAAATGTAACAAAGAAAAACTTATCTAATCCAAATTAAAAAGACTGAGTAAATAATAGTTCAAAATAAAATTTTAAAAATAAAAGATGATCCAAAGTGTAATTCGCTAAAAAGAAGAAGAAATCAAGAGGAGAAGAAGAAAAGTACGTATAAGAACCGCCAAACCTGGATGCATATCACTACCATTCAGGTAATACCGCCTTCCTAACCTATATGTGTGTAAGTACGTACGTGCGTAAAAGAAAAGTAGAGAAACGCTCAAGGGTTTTCCGACTAGTTTCACAAGGTGGTGGACTAGACGACCTAGATTCGAAGCCTTACCCATTCTAATTATTTGACATTATGTCCTTCCCTAATATTCGACCTGAGTTCAAAGCCTCACATCTTCTAATTATTTGATATTATTAGGTCCTTCTATAATATTCGACCTGGGTTCAAAGCCTCGCTCATTCTAACTATTTAATATTAGGTTCTTCCGTAATATTCGTGATTTTTAAAAAGAATAGTACGTTTTGAAGAAGAAGAAGAAGAGAGTAGTACTTAGGAACCACCAACGATCCCCTCCTATTCGTCCCTAGACTTCTCTCCTCTTTTTTCTCTCTATTTATTTTTAAAAAGTCTCCTCTCCTTTTTATGGTGTAGTTGGCTCAGCAATAACCATAGCTGCTAAACTACAAATTTAATTTCTAATTTATTTCAATAATTGTATTTCTCATGATTAAATCAATAATTTAAGATTATGAAAAACAGAAAATGAACCAACACTATAGCTGTGTGTACATCATCCAATTAGTCTAAAAAATTCAAGATAACTTTGCCAGAGTAGACGGCTAAATTACCACAATTCAGGACACATGTATGTTTTGAAAAAAAATAGCTTGTAGATCTAATAATTAGAGAAATTTTATAACTTCTAAGGGAAAAAAACAAATATTAACCATTGGTTTTCACTTAAACCGGTGGACCTATAGTTACCACTAGATTATGTATCTAGGAAACAACCGGCTAATCCCACCTTCTTAATCCCAATCCTGTACGTAAGTACATATTTATGCGTGTAAAAGAAAAGTACATACTTACGAAGTACTGCCAAACCCCATTCCCGTGCAATTCGTTCCGTTTGACTCCCCTGCTTTCTATACGGCATAGTTGGCTAGTCGGCTATTTTCTCGAGTAAGTATCTTCTTGAGTAGGTAAGAAATAGCCAACTTTGCCATATAGATAGGAAGGGAGTCAAAGCGAGCGAATTATTTGCATTGGCACGGACTATGGATAAAGGCGTCGCGGGGTACACAAGGACGACGACGAACAAAAACGGATTGTGACGATCGGAAAAAATGTGTATCATTCAATTTTAAGATGAATTCCAAACTAAAATTGGTAACTTGCTAAAGATTCGATGTAAATTATATAATACAAGAAAATAATATTATATGACTTAACTAGGCTAGAAAAAAACTTAGTACTCTATACAACATAATTTTATCGTGGTATTAACATATTCGTTATAGTCATCCATGTGAGCGGTTTAATATATACAACTAAAATTGCCTTTCCCCATTGCAACACACAAACTTTTTTCCTAGTCTTTTTTTTATTAATTTAGTAAAATTTATCTGAAAAATGACTGCATATTAGTGTTTTGTATATATATTAGTGATTTTAAATGTTGAGGTTTGATTTATGGTACGTCTCAGATATACACAATATCGTATTAAAGAGAGGGATACGTGTGAGATTACATAGCTATAAATACGATTTGGACCGTTCACCTACAAACTACTATACTTCCACTATTTGATTGCATGGCTCGGGATAATAAGGTTGAAGGACAACAAATTGGCCTGTGAAACAACAGTTAATTTGAGTTAATTAATCTTAGTATTTTTATTTTTAAAACGAAATTAATCTAGATTTTTTAACCTATAACATGGCTAGCTAGTGACCAGCGACAAGCTTGAACGGAGTATACAACCGCTTAGAGCAGGTACAATGCTATAAGCCACCTATAAACACATATCGAGAAGATAAATGATGATAGAGAAGATTTTTATCAGTGAAATAGTGAATGACGCTATGATTATACATGTTAAAAAAATATGAATTATCAACTTCAAATTAAAAAAAAAGAGCATTGCCGAAACATAATTAGGATGTGAGTCAAGGATGAAAATGAGTTGGATTCGGACAACTAATTGATGTATCATATTCTATTCCACAGTATCTTCATGGAGATTTAGACAAGGCACAGATAATAGAAGGTGTGAATGTCCGAAACATTAGTTTTTTATATATAAGTTTTTTGAAAAACAAATTATCTAATTTCAAGTTTATAATAATTAATAATTAATTAATGATACGCTAATAATTTGTCTCGTTTCAAGTGTTGGCTAAGATCAAACCGATGTCCCGAACGCAGCTTTTAGATTCTGAACTCACGAGAGTCTTTAGGTTAAAAGTCATGCTGTGGAGCTATAGCCTAAACAATATCGCTAAATATCTTTTTTTTAAAAAATAATATATCCTACAAATTCTCAATCACCAAGTATCCTACAAAAAATCAAAATGGTTCTACACTGAAACTGCATTTTTCTACGTACCCTCACATAACTGTGGTAAAAACAAATTGAGAACATAAAATACCACACAATCTACATTCACACCATATGCCCTGATACTTTTTGAACTTTGTTTTGGAAGCACTCTACTACTCGTCTACTGCAAAAGATAAAGAAAGAAAAACAAATATAGCCTAGCCACATATGCTGAACTCAACTCACGTTAAAAACTAAAACATTTGTCTTTTTCGTTTACCTAGATTATGTTTAAATATAATTCTTGGTGGAATAGTACATGATAGTATATTTACGTAAAACTCTATTATAATTTTTCACGATTATCTTTACTACTTTAACCTCTCCTATTATCCATAAAAAAAGAACCGGCACACTCAAAGGAGTGAAAAATATTATTCTACATCTTATTGTAACGTAAGGATATGGTATTAGTTTACATTAGACCTTATTCGTTCAATCAAAAAAAAATACCGAGGATGAAATTTTCACATCATATATGTGAAATAAATTCTACTTTCTTCATTCTAAAATGTTGCAATATAGAACGTGATTTAATGATAATAAATCTGAAACAGGTTACTTCCTCCATTCTAAAATATAATAACTTTAAAAAACGGAACACATTATAATACTCCATCCGTCCCAAAATAAGTGCAGCTATGGTTTTCCGCGTCCAATTTTGATCGTTCGTCTTATTTGAAAAAATTTTGAAAAAAAATTAAAAACATAAGTCACGAGCAAAGTACTATTCATGTTTTATCATCTCATAGCAATAAAAATGCTAATTATAAAAAAAATTTAAATAAGACGGATGATCAAAGTTAAGAGTGAAAACTCATGACTGCACTTATTTTGGGACGGAGGTAGTACTAGAGGTCACCCCGCGCGTTGCTGGGGAAATTTAAGCAATTACAAATGTCAAAATTTTGGATGAAATATAATCACCTTAAAAGGAAAAACCTAACCCAATTTATCACTGCGCGTGAGGAATATTTGTACAAATAAAAATAATCTTCAACCGTACCAAGTTCATAGCCTGCAAATAATATTTTTCAAACGTATGGCTTCGATATTGGTACCATTAATTGGAGGGAAACTCAACTGGCACTCCCTTCCACTCATATTATACAAAACAAATTAAGGGAATAAGTAACAACAAATTGCTAAAAGAAATGTTGATCCGCTGGAGCATGAGCATATATATAGCGGCAAAATAAACGCAGCAGCATGGCTAACGGAATGAAGGATTGATCGCAACGATCAAGTATAGCAACTGGACTCTGGACAGGAGGGCTTGTGGTCAGCATGTCAATCCACTGCGATGGTGTTTTCAGAGGAATCAGGAATAAAGGCCGAGTATTCACCTAATTCATTTAGCTAGAGGATGGAATATATGCAGTGCAAGTGCAGTGGAAGATGGAAGGCCTGCTGCGTGAGCCAATGAATGAATATCCAACGTTTTGGTTTCAATCAGGAGATGACCCGTCAGGAACAAACGGTTTAACTGTTGAATAGGCCCCTTTGTTAATTACTGTCGTGCATGATGATCGGAATTAAAAAAAAAACGAAGAGGTGCATCCCACTATCGCTCTTTACACCCTCATTTGCAATCTAGCGGCTAGGTGGAATCTATCTGCAATCCAACGGTCAGGTGGAATAGAGGTGATGTGGATCACTCCTGGAGAAGGAAATTAGTTTTAATTGTAGTTAGTGGGATGACCTATATAGATATATATATATATAGGATACTGTTCTTATTCGCAATATTAAAATATATTTCAATTATTTAAAAATTGTTTATATTTCTGGACAGACGAAAACAAACAATAATCCCCGTGTCCTCGCAGTGAGGCTCGCACCGCCCAGCATCCTTGGAAACAGAGTGAGCGTCCAAAACCGGCGGCGACGCGCTCCCCGTTTCGCCGCTTTCCGCTCATCTCGCGTATAAAAACATGGCGTCTCCCCTGACCACCACGCCTCCACCACCTCCGCATCACTAGCAAGCGCAAGCGCCGCGCACTGTGACCGAGCGGAGGCGGAGGCGGAGTAGCCGGGTCGGGAACTCGGGATGGCGATCTGCGGGGCGAAGGCGGCGGCGCCGTCGCTGGTGGTGGCGGCGAGCATGGGCGCCGTCGAGGCGCTCAAGGACCAGGCGGGCCTCTGCCGCTGGGACTACGCCCTCCGCTCCCTCTACCTCCGCGCCGCCGCCTCCTCGCCCAGGCTGCGTTCCCCCCTCTCCAACACCGCCGCCGCCGCCGCGCGGCCGCCGGCGGAGGAGGCCGCCGACGTGAGGCTGCGCAAGGTCCACCACCTCGTCTGCTGGGGCCCCAACTGATTTATATTATATATACTCATCTCACATCTTCCTGAAGAACATATGCCACTCGTCTCGTCGTCTTCCTCTGATCTCTGTGCAGTGTAGTGCTCTTCTCTTCTCTTTTAGCTGTGTTGCATCTCGATCGATCGCTTGCTTGATTGCTCCATCCTCCGTCTCTGTGATCTGCATGTTCAGTTTCGTGCAGATTCGACCCGTTTGTGAAAATGTTCTGCCGCTTACATGTATCTTCATCCTTATGCATGGAGATCTAGCTAGCCTCCTATTCCCTCTGTTCCGAAAATAAAATCAACTTCGTACGAGAGTAGACTGGAGTCCTTGTAGCCCTCCATTTTCTCATTTACTAATTTTGGAAAAAAAAATCAGTACCATCTTGAGATCTTGAGACTGGACTTAAAAAACCAAATTAAAGAGAAAGAGAATATGTTAGTTAATTGCATGGATATATACATGCTTGTATTATAAGACATCTGAAAAAATAGTTACGTCTTATGTTTATGTTTTGAGATGAAAGGAGTACTAATCAAGTCAAGAGCGCCTTAATTTCAGTTTTGTCATGTCTAATTACCAAATCGAGATGACAGTATTTGAAGACAAGAAGGGATGTGATAAAGCTACAAACCTGGGACAAGAACGCATCTTGTGAGAGTGAAGAGAGCTAACTTACCAAATGCATCCCTGCATCCATCCCCTGGTTCTCATATGAACTTTGTCGAATCTACAATGAGAATTGAAAACTAATAGTACTATAAGATTTATGGATATGGATATGGATTGTGTGTGCATCTGATGAACTAGCACAAACTAATTAATTTCCCCTCAGAGAGAGCAAAGGCGTGATTGGGTGCAGTGCTGGTGAACCTTTGAGCCAGTTTCAGACTTTCTTGCTAATTAATTTAGCCGGCCGGCAGGTTCATCAACGCTGCACTCAATAATGCCTTCCCTTCTCTTCCATCACCCATCGATCTCATCATGAATCTGCCAATATTCCTAGCTCTAAATCTCTAATCCCAGGAACAGGATGCATCACTTGGCTAGGCAGCTTCCATGCTTGTGCGTGTGTAGCTGCATCTGCACTGCATTTGTGTGTGTGTGTGTTGCTTTTCAGACAGGTCACCTCCTCCTTTTGTACTACTGCATCTGCACCGTGCCTAACGGTGTTGCTTGTACTACCATGGGATGCAGCAGCATCCTCGGATTGTACTAATTTCTATGTGTTGTACTTTGTCACGTCCTGATCGATCAGGTAGTACGTACTACTAATTCAGAGTTCAGACTTTAGATGAGCTCTCTAAAATTCCACATACATGTAATACTTGACAGAAAAATGGGATTTTTCTTATGAGTGCAGCATTTTTCAGAACAAAAGAATCATGCATACGCTTCTCTCCAATAATTCAGAGTTGTGGAGATGATTTGACCAATACAACGATGAAGTTTTAGGCAGGCAGTACAGCATGACCGTGACCGTCCTGAACCTGGGCGGACACGGCAAGTACAGACTATAGAGCAGTACAACTACAAACTGTACTGCATTACAATTTGCAAGTTCAGAATATGAGTGCCTGTCCTTTTCTGATTAAAGATGATTTTATCTCGGTTTCTGTTAGCAAGCTTTTTAAACTACTAAACAATGTATTTTGTACGATAACTTTCCATATATACGTTGTTTTAAAATATCAAATATATTCATCTGTCAAATTTGTAGTAATTGGAACTTAACTAATCATGCTTCCGTTTTACATGCGCTAACTAATCTTTATCAATAATCTCTTTGATAGTGCTAGTAGCCTAGTACTAATACTTTGTCAAGCAGTGTCGCAAACGAACACGTAAAACTATGAATACGATAGTAGGAGTACAGAATAATGTGGTACTCGCTGCATTGAAGTTTCGGGTTTGTATAGGCTAAACTTCTTCAAATTTGACCACGATCACAAAATATATAGTCTCTTCTAGAAGACGTTTTGACTTTGGTCAAAGTCAAACCACTTTAACTTTGATCAAGTTTGTAGAGAAAAGTAGTACTAATATTTTCAACCCAAGACAAATTTATTATGAAAAATATATTCAATTATTGATTTGATGAAACTAATTTAGTATTATAAATATTATTATATTTATATATAAACTTAGTTAAATTTGAAATAGTTTGACTTTGACCAAAGTCAAAACGTTTTATAACCTGAAACGGAGGGAGTACTATATAGCAGCATCTAACCACACCGAATTAGTTTCATCAAATCCACAATTGAATACATTTTTATTGTGTATTTGTTTTGTGTTGAAAATGCTGCTATATCTTTCTATAAAGTTATCAAACTAAAAAGTAGTTCGACTCCAAATTTCAAATTCTATATAGAAGTTTAATAAAAGGAAATAAATCTATTTTTCAAATTTATAATAGTTAATATTTAATTAATCATGTGCCAGTGAGATTATTTTGCTTCGCGTGTAGTACAAATCTTCCTCATCCAGGAGGAATTAGCTCCAAAGACCTTCTTTTCTTTTCTTCCCACAGAAAAGTTAGCTCTACAGATTTCAGAACTGCGGATTTGCAGTATACCTCAGTCTTGGGTCCAGTACACAGAAATGATAAATAACTACAACTCCAAATTTGAATGTGCAAACATCTCGCTATTGCCACCAGGGCATGGAAGATGCAGAATTGGTGAGCTTGTACTTATCTGTTGAGAATTTACACGAATTTCCTTTCAACAAATAAAAACAGCCGTATGCTAAAGTAGGCTTCTGAACAATATACTAGTTTTAAAGTTTCAGATTATCTGTATACTATGGTCCAAATACAAATCGTGCCCATTGTAATCAGGATGTTTCAAGTACTTACAAATAGTCCCAATATCAGAACGAATCCAGAAGGGGAAAAGAAAATTCTCAAACGTTATTATTGACAATTGATATCTCTGGCATGGAAGTGTCAGCAGCACCCAGCACAGCCAAAGAAAGTAACTAAAACTAAAAAGGCTGCTAGTTCATCTAAAAAAAAGACTGCGAGTTGCCCTCAAAAAGGGGGAAAAAGGACTGTTAGTTGAAAGGTAAGTTATAGATGGCCAGAAGCTAATGGTGCATCATTTGAACACCTCACATAGCAAAGAAATTCCTTTTGATGCACCAGAAGATGATCCTGTTTCACTGTTTGGCACATATATGAACATACACTGTCACTTAGATCCTAAAATTATGCATGAATGATAAACATGAAGAATTAGACTATGATGCTGAATCCTAGTGAGATTTGGTACCCAGAATTTGCCCAGATATTTGTTTGTATGTGAAGAGGTCTTGATGACAAAAGGTTAATCACATTACAATAATTATCTACTTCCTAGGCCGCCTTCGCCATCAACAATCTACAAATATGGTATCGGTTGCATGCAAAAATTTACATTTGGACTGGCCAACATCGTTGGTTACACTGAAACAAACTCCTGTAGTGCACAGTTGCTTGACTCATATATACATGTTCCAAAATTGACTCATATATACTTTGTATCCTTAGTAAAAATGGAATATACAATTATCAGAAGAAATACTGAAATGTAAAGAAGCTAGGGAACAAAAAAATTAAGCCAAATGGTACGAAATGGAGAAACTAGAACAGGGTAAACCTGAACAACGATCCAATGTATGTGAACAAGTTGTGACTCTGGCCTCTGATGGAACAAGCTCTGCAGCTGAAGTTGTATTGTAAACCTGGTCGTGGTATTTGCAACTGGTCACATGTTTTACAGGCGGCAACTGCGTTGGCAGCCTGTCCTGGCTTTTGTCGGCAATGTAGCGGATTAATTAGCCCTGTGGCTGCTGTGATGGTAAACGTGACGGCTGCTGCTCTCCTTGCATTCCTTGCATAGATTGCTCAGGTTGCTGGTGCTGACCTCCTTGCCATGCCCAAACTATATCCTTAAGTGCAGGCCTTATATCTTCCTTCATGAGCTTTTGATATTCTATAGTGTCCCCATTGGACTTTTTAAATTCAACTAAATGGAAAGATGGAGCAAGCTCAAAAACCTCAGCATCAAGCTCAAGTAATCCTTTTATTCCTTCCTTTGGTGCTACCAACCTCAGAACCCCATTTTCTTTTTTCTTAATTTTGAGCTTGAAGCGTCTGGCCAATTCATTTAGCTTAGCAAATATAGCTGCCGCCGGTTGCCTAGTGGTAAATCTCTCTTCCCTCCGGCCATATCTTTCTTCAAACAAATTGGATAAGTCAAACCCGGTAGACAGAGAAATGATGTCAAACGCGTTCAAGTTCGGGAGGCTTAATGAAGCTTGCTTTCCATCGGAATTACTACATTCTGGTGAGTCAGAGGTTGTGGCTTCACCATTAGTGTACACTTTGTCTCTTGATGACGCACGATTTCCCTCAAAAATACTGCATTCTGTTGTGTCAGAGGTTGTGGCTTCACCCTTATACACCTTGTCTCCTGTTTCATGTTTGCTCTTCAGTGCATTTACATCACTGGATTTTCTGTACCAAGCGCTTCTCTTTATCTTCGGGATAGAAATTCTAGTACTTGGATCTGGATCAAGTATCTTATATAGCAGATCCTTCAACTCAGCAGAAAAGGAACGAGGGCATTTGTATTCAGCTTTGGCAATCTTTCTATACATCTCTATAAGATTTGTGTCATGGAAAGGAAGGTAGCCAGATACAAGCACAAACAGAATTACTCCACAAGACCATATATCAGCCTTCGCACCGTCGTAGCCTCTCCTACTAAGAACTTCAGGAGCAACATAAGCTGGAGTTCCACAGGTGGTATGAAGGAGGCCATCATGTCTCTTGGACTCAGAAAGGGCACTTAAACCAAAATCCGAGACTTTTAAGCTCTCATTCTCATCTAGAAGTAGGTTTTCTGGCTTCAAATCACGGTGATAAACACCCCGGCTGTGGCAGTAGTCTATACCACTGATCAACTGATGGAAATACCGCCTCGCAACATCTTCACTGAACTTTCCCTTGGATATTTTCTTGAAAAGTTCACCGCCTTTAGCATACTCCAAAACAAAGTAAATTTTGCTCTTGCTTGCCATCACCTCAAAAAGCTGAAGAATGTTTGGATGCTTTACTAATCTCATTATTGAAATCTCCCTCTTTATCTGCACCATTAGCCCAACCCTTGTTACCTTCTCCTTATCAATCATCTTTATTGCAACGGCCTGTCCGCTTGTGAGATTCCGAGCATAATATACCTTGGCAAAATTTCCCTGTCCTAACTGCCTACCTATTTCATAGCGATCCATCAAAATTGTCCTCCTGTCATCCATTGTAGCAATCTATTTCAAGAAAATCCTCTAGGCACTACTTATAGAACAATATATTTCAAAAGGGAGGGCTTATAAATGACTAAATGAACACTATCACCACCAAGGTCGTGTCCATCAAAGATATAATGCCACGATCTTCAGTGGTTCAGAGACCAGGGTACAGAAAAAATCATTATAACAGCATGCAGGCACTGCTCTTATTTGAACTCAACCGGACAGTTGGTGCAAAGCTTTCCGGTGCACTAGCACACAATTCGGCCTTTTCAAGGACAAATATCTTCTAGTGTCACCTGTTGAAAACAAAACGGAGAACGAACAAACTGAATCAGGGCAAACATATAATGTGAATGTAGATCCAATCATCCAAAGGTAAATCAAATTGAAAACAATAATTCACTGTAAATGCGCATTCACATTCCCTTTTTTTTATACGCAAGGAGCGCATCTTTGTATTAAAGAGTAAAATTATTTATAGGCACATTCCCAAAGTTAGGATAGCATTACGAATTTAGTAAAAAAATTGCAGGATTCCCCATTTCACTATGATTTTGAATACCCACCAAGCATTCCTTGTAAGAAACCTAAAATCACACCAAACAAAACATACTCCAAAACGACAAAATGACAAGTACTACAAACTAAGCAGTGATTCATCCTAAAAAGGTAGATCACACGACGATTGATCTAGTGTTCTAGGACTTCAGGCTACTCCGATAAAGGAATCAACAAATAAAAACCTGCAGAATCCATTCATTCATCAATCCCCGGTAGCAGAGCAATCCATCATACTAGGGCGAACACCCAGCTCCCCAAACCCTACCTCACCGGGACACAGAGCTACAAATCCAGCCATAAACCAATCAAACTAACAAGCAATTTACCCTTCTCAGGCCTTAGCCGCAGAGATCACAACCACAAATAACCTAACCAAACCAAGAAACCGCAGGGAGCACAACATCAGCTGCAGATCTCTTTGCGGCCACATCAAAAACAACCAAGCAATCACCAAGGCTGATACTACCAACCTGAGATGAACTGGCCGCGGAGGAGAGGCGGGGATCCCGAATACTCAGGTGAAGTCTGCTCCAATCCAAGCCGGCGCAGCCACAGCGCAGCCGCCCTGCGCTTTGACCTATTTGCAAGCACAGCCTATTAATATTTTAATTAATTTTTAATTACCTTTTTTTGGTTATTTTAGTAGAGGAGTGGCATCTCCGCTCCGCGTCGCAGCCACATGCTCTGATGCCTCCAGAGCACAGTCCACGTTCGCACGGCAGCTCAGCTCTAAGCAGCGCAACGCGTCATCACGCCGCCCGGTGGGCCCCACAGCCGCCACGGGCCTGGTTGGTGGGCCGTAGCCCACGTGGGCCCACCGGCGGCAAGGTGGGCTTTCTCCTCGTGGCCCAACTGGCGGTGGTGGGCGGCGGATGGCGGAGGCTGGCGGCGGCGGCGTAACAGAAGGAGAAGGTGGCGGCGGTGGGTGCGGGAGGCGGCGGTGGAACCGGCGGCGCCCCCCAACGGCGGCGCACCCACGGCGGCGTCGGCGGCGCACCCCACGGCGGACCAACGGCAGTTGGCGGCGGCGATATGCACGGCGGCGGCGGCGGCGGAAATCTCGCTGGGGCGGTTAGGATTCTAACCCTAACCCGCCCCCTCCCCCACCTTTTTGCCTGCCGGCCAAATTGGGCCGGCCTAGTACTGTTCGGTGGTGGGCTGAAACCTATAGTTTCGGCCCACCACCCAATTTACCCTTTTTTTGTTTTAAATTTTTATTTTTAGCAGCCATTACACTTTAGTCCCTATGTTTTATGCAATTTAATAGAAACAGTTCATCAGTTGTTCACATTATTATGTAATGGTCCTATAGATCACTGATGTTATGTGTTAATTAACATAGATGTTTATTCAAATACCCCGTTTCACTAAATTTATTTGTTGTCTTAATAACATGCCTTTTGCATATTATTTCAAGACACACTCTACTTTCTCGCTTCATTAATTTATAAAATTCTATAAATTTTGTACTTTGATTTAGCAAATTCTCTTAATTATGTGCAACATGATTAATGGAGGATTTAATGCATGTTCCACTTCACATTTTGACTCGGAAATTAATCACATGTAGATGGAGTCCTATACTTTGGTCATCACGACCATAATTTAGGCAGCGAGTATCTTGCTCATCATCAAGTGGTCTACATTTTGAGATGATTACCCGATGGAGCCCTACAAATTGGCCGCACTGGTTATAACCTAGGCAGCGAGCATCTCGCTCATCTCACAGAGGTTTACATCTCATGATGATTACCCACATGTGTTATTTTCCGAGCATATGTTTTGAAAAATGAGATTATTTGAAATTTGATTGAACACAAGGTAGTGGAGTCCTAAACATTGGCTGCGGTATATTCACCAGAATATATTTGCCTGGAGACCATGTTTTAGGCAGCAAGTATAACTTGCCCACTATTAAGAGATCTACTCCACTGTTTAATTACTTGGAGATTATCCACATTGTGCCACCTAATTTCAAATCCTAACTCAAATTGTCAGGTCTATAACCTACATCTTTTCGAAACATTACAAGATATGAAGTTTTACATTTCGCATTGAGATTACAACCTCAATATCATGTTTTTATTAATTTACCTCTGTAAATTAATAGTGTTAATCATGATTATAGGGACACGGCAACTATAGAGTTCACCGAACTCGCCCTCGATGGGAGTAACTACCCAATTTGGGCTTCTGATATCAAAATAAATTTTTCTTCTAGTGGGATTTCACATACAGATTAAGAACCCAATGATTGGGATCCACCAGTTGAGAACAGAAAACTATATATTACCTTTTTCCTTCTGAGGTTCTATATCTATAAAGATCTCAAATATGAGTACATGTTGGAGACGAGCCCTCTCAACCTATGGAAAGCTCTAATAGAGCGTTATGATCAGCAAAAGGAACTCATTTGGCCAGAGGCTAATTATGAGTGGATTCATTTACGCCTACAGGATTTTAAACTGTGGCCGAATACAATCATGTTGTACATAACATTTGCTCCAAGTTGATATTTTGCGATAAGAGCCAACGGAAGCAGAGAAGATAGAGAAAACTCTATCAACTATGTTTCCAGAGGACAAGATATTGAACCAATAGTATCGCACTAAAAGGATTTAAGGGAAATTCCTCGAATACCCCTACGAATCTGACTGGAAAACGCAAACGCAACAACAGGCGCAAATCCAATGGTCGACAGAAAGGAAATAGGAAGGGTAAGGCACCACAACCTCGTGGCAATAGCAACATGCATTGCAACAGGTGTGTATCTGACTATCATGTCACTAAAGATTGCCGCATCTCAAAAACATCTTGTTCTCCTGTATCAGAAATCCCTAAAGGAGAAAAAGTCTTCTGAGGAACTAAGATTTGAAGCTCACTTCAATCTTACAAAAGAAAGACCTGAGGTTGAAAGTTCTCACTAGGCTCCTATTGAACCAGAGAACACCCTCGTTCTTCTCCCAGAGGATACCACTGCGCTTTCTGCAATAGATGATATGCTCATCGAATACTGCTCAACGGACCCACTTAGAGATTTATTGTAATCTCAGTGCGTCCCACTTAGAGATAAAGCTGCTTTAATCTCAGTGTGTTTAAGACATTATATTGATATCCTATAGTTTGTCAAAACAATATTGGTTGTAATAAGTAGATAAGTACAAACTCCCTTATATTATAAAGTTGTAAGACTTGATAGTCATTAGAGTATGTACTATTAACCTATGTAAACGTCATACTATGTATCTGATGTTTTCATTATTGTATGTATGTATATATTGTGGATAAAGAATTCTTCACTAAGCAATTCTTCTTTCACTATAGATGTCTAAGGATATCGCTCTGAAATTGTCCTTCTCTCATCCATTGTAGCAATCTATATCAAGAAAATCCTCTAGGCACTACTTATAGAACAATATATTTCAAAAGGGAGAGCTTATAAATGACTAAATGAACACTATCACCACCAAGGTCGTGTCCATAAAAGATATAATGCCCCGATCTTCAGTGGTTCAGAAACCAGGGTACAGAAAAAAATCATTATAACAGCATGCAGGCACTGCTCTTATTTGAACTCAACGGGACAGTTGGAGCAAAGCTTTCCGGTGCACTAGCACATAATTTGGCTTTTTCAAGGACAAATATCTTCTAGTGTTACCTGTTGAAAACAAAACAGAAAATGAACAAACCGAATCAGGGCAAACATATAACGCAAATGTAGATCCAATCGTCCAAAGGTAACCTAAATTGAAAACAATAATTCACTGTAAATGCGCATTCACATTTCTTTTTTTATATATGCAAGGAGCGTATCTTTATATTAAGGAGTAATAAAAGTTATTTACAGGCACATTCCCAAATTTAGGATAGCATTACGAATTTAGTAAAAAAAATTCAGGATTCCCCATTTCACTATACTTTGAATACCCACCAAGCATTCCTGGTAAGAAACATAAAATCACACCAAACAAAACATACTCCAAAATGACAAGGACTACGAAACTAAGCAGTGATTCATCCCAAGAAGGTCGATCACACGACGATTGATCTGGTGTTCTAGGAATCTAGGCTACTCCTATAAAGGAATCAACAAAGAAAAACCTGCAGAATCCATTCATTTATCAATCCCTGGTAGAACCCGTCATACTAGGGCGAACACCCAGCTCCCCAAACCCTACCTCACCGTGACACAGAGCTACAAATCCAGCCATAAACCAATCAAACAAGCAAACAATTTACCCCTATTAGGCCTTAACCGCAGAGATCATAGCCATGATTAACCTAACCAAACCAATAAACCGCATAAGCACCGCATCAGCAGCGGATCTCTTTGCGGCCACATGAAAAACAACCAAGCAATCACCAAGGCTAATACTACCAACCTGATCGAGATGAACTGGCCGCGGAGGAGAGGCGGGGATCCCGAATACTCAGGTGAAGTCTGCTCCAATCCAAGCCGGCGTAGCCACAGCGCAGCCGCCCTGGGCTTTGACCTCTTTGCAAGCACAGTTCTATTAGTATTTTAATTATTTTTTAATTACCTTTTTTGGGTTATTTTAGTAGAGGAGTGGCATCTCCGCTCCGCGTCGCAGCCACATTCTCTGATGCCTCCAGAGCACAGTCCACGTTCGCATGGCAGCTCAGCTCACAGCAGCGCAACGCGTCGTGCCGCCCGGTGGGCCCCACCGCCGCCACGGGCCTGGTTGGTGGGCCGTAGCCCACGTGAGGCCCACCGGCGGCAAGGTGGGCTTTCTCCTCGTGGCACAAAAGTCAGTGTGTGGCCGTGGCGAGGCCGGCGGAGGCAGCGGCGGCGGAGGAGGAGGTCGTCGTCGCCGGCAGCTCAGCTCAGCTCACAGCAGCGCAACGTGTCATGCCGCCCGGTGGGCCCCGCCCCCGCCACGAGCCTGGTGGGTGGGCCGTAGCCCACGTGGGCCCAATTGACAAGGTGGGCTTTCTCCTCGTGGCCCACAAGTCGGTGTGCAGCGGCGGCGAGGCTGGCGGCGGCGGAGGAGGAGGTCGTCGCCGGCGGCCGCGCGGTGACGGGTGCAGTGAAGTTCGGCGCGAAACCTCAAGAGCACCGCATTTTCTACGCTTTTTCTTTGTTTTTTTTTTTGGCTCGAGTGCGCCTTCGCCGAACAGATAAAGGCCACGTCTTTTCTTTTGCTTTCTCCTCTCCAAGCGAAGCCACTGCTTCTACTGCGTCGACTTGGAATTTTGCCGAATCTTTTTTTCCTATGCATTTGGCAAGACCAAGAAAACAAAAAGAAAAGAGATTATTAATCATGGCGACACGAATGGAAATGGTTAATAATCGCATTGAAATCTAAATCCGATCCTACTAAAGAATTAATTAAAAAATAGGAGTACTAATAATGGGCATAGATAGAGGGAGACCTCACTCTCAGCATAAAAAAATTCCATCTTTGCAGGCAGACGCAGGTGCACTTGCTTCAGTCACCACCTCCTCTTCTCCTTTGCCGACTCCTGAGCCATCAGTGTGGCCTAACTCGTGTGACTTTCAAAGTAAGAGTATCTACGACTTCGATTCTTTTATTGCCTTTCTGATTAATGAATAGTGGTAAACGAAGCAATAGGATTTGACTCCTGGAGAAGGAGAAGCTAAGATAGCACTGAGCTCTTTCTAGATACACATCCTTCTCCGCGGCCATTTCTTGGAGCAAATCTCATTTTGCACAGCCCCAAAGATTTCTTCATCTTTGAAGGCAAAAAAAAAGATGGTCCTTTTTCGAGGGAAATAGGGGGGAAGATGGCTATGAAGAGAGTGGTGTTTCTGTTGCTGCTTGTGGCGGCATCTGCATTGGTGAAGTCGTCAAGAGGAGGAGGAGGAGGGGAGGAGAAGTTGGGGAAGTTCTATGGATGGCGGCGCCATCTTTCTTCTGGACCAGCTGCCTCTTCGTTGGTTCTCAGTGGGGATCTCGTAAGGCGTCCATAAACCTTCTCCTTTGCATGCTAGATAGAAGTAATCGATTCAATAGCTCTAGTTTACTTTGCTTGATTTGGACTTGTTATCTGCCAAGAACTTCGAATATGACTTCCATTTTGTCTTCTTGAAAGTGAGGCATTCAGGCCTTTTTTGTTATTTACCGTTGTTATGTTTAGTATATTTCGTTATAACAGAAATATGACTGATTGTTTCTTGATCTTTATTGTGCTCACTTTAGTCAATCAGGATGAGCAGTAAATTTTACTTAGTTCATATATATTATATGAGAACAATTTAACAGATAGCTTGATGCATTAACAAATAATCCTTACTGTGATGCAGGTAGACAAAATATGGTCAGTTTGCTTACAAGACATAGTTAGCCCAGAGGATACATTTGGCTTTGGGGAATCATTTGCCTGGGATGAGTTATCGAGTCATTCCACGGAAGATGAACTGAAGGCAACACTGTTCATGGAACTTATGGCTCTTCTTCCACCTGAGAAATCTTCTTTTACTTATGATTGTATCCGTGCAAACTGCTTCAGCCTGGGTGTTCCACAAATATTCAGTGTTGCACTGAGCAACTATCTTGAGAGCCAGAAATCATTGGTCGGTTCAAACTTCTATCCGAGACGGCGTTTGGTAGATAAACTGATCGGAGATGCTCCTTCCATGGCTCCAGCTTTCGCACCATCCATGTCCTCTGGCGGTGAAGTTCACTCTCCCCTCTCTGTGGCGGAGGCACCACTTACACCTTCCAACTCTCTGAACATGGAACCTCCCAGCCCATATTATCCCAGTAAATCTGCACACAAGCATCAGGGAGTGGCACCTCCAGTTTCACCTTCAGAGGAGTATCATGACTACATGAAAGTAGTCTTGATCGCTGTTCTTCCAACAGCCGCACTCTCATTCCTAGCTGCATTTCTATGTTTCTACTGCTGTGGATGCAACAAAAGCAAGGTCTCGGTTGGCGAGCAACGAGATGACCATCCTCTTCTTCACTTGCAGTTCTCTAACTTGCCTGGTGAGGATACATCCCTTCTATCAACATGGTAGATTATTATTGGTATGGTAGTATATCATCTATCATTTGAATGGCAGGTTCGTCACCTGATGTGCATGTTCCTGCCAGCCCGCTTCATAAGGATGATCATGGGGTTAGGCCATCCAATGCTGGTGTAAGCATGAGCAAGTGCTTTCCATGTTGTTTTAAAACCTCAAGTGATGCCACAACACCTACACTAGTAACTGGAGGAACACAGGAGAACAATGCCACAAGTGATGCCCCTAAACTGATGCCTCCGCCACCCCCACCTCCTCCACCTCCACCTCCACCTCCCCCTCCACCTCCTCCGCGTCCACCTCCTCCGCCTCCACCTATCAAGAAGGGTGCTCCACCACCTGCACCTCCTAAAGCCACCATGGCAAGATTTCCTAAGCTGTCACCTACAGAGTCAAGTCGTTCTGAAGAGTCATCTGCAAGCGAGCTGGCCAGTGAATCGTCTGAAACTGAGGTGAATGCTCCAAGAGCCAAGCTCCGGCCTTTCTATTGGGATAAAGTTCTTGCTAATCCTGATCAGTCAATGGCCTGGCATGACATCAAATTTGGTTCTTTTCAGTAAGTTTTTAAATTTAGCAATGGCATGTATTCTAAGTTCATTTAGGCTTGCAACTGACGACTGCATTCTGCAGTGTGAACGAGGAGATGATAGAAGAATTGTTTGGTTATGGTGCTGGCAACCAAAACAATGTCAAGGACAAGGAAATTTCCATTGCAGATCCTTCACCTCAGCATGTTTCTCTTCTTGATGTTAAGAAATCATGCAATCTGGCAGTTGTTTTTAAGGCAATGAATGTGAGGGCAGAGGAAATTCATGATGCTCTGGTTGAAGGTAGTTGAACTATTGCATATATTTACATGCAGCCTACTTACCCATTTGCCAAAAAAAAAAAAAGCTCCTAAAGTTTCCATTATCGCTGTAAATACAATATGTTTGCACCGCCAAAGATAACATTGCACTTATAAATGAGCCTTTTGAAAAAATGGAATGCTCGTTGCATTCTATTTAACTGATACAAGAATTCGACTGCAACTATAGCAAGTTTACTTATTAAACTATATACTGTGCATTTCTAAGCACATGTATTTGTGGCCATCCTCTTTTAGTTTCTTGTCTGTCTTTGTGATTGTGGCCCATCTCATTTCATATCAGGCAATCACAGTGAAAACATGTTTCATATTGTGTATGCATTGGTCATTTACTATATCATATGTTCTCTTGTTCACTAGATGTAGCTGTTGAGGTCTAAGTAGTACACACAAAGTTGATGCTGTGCTGGTTCACTTCAATATACTTCTGACATTGTCTTCTGTCACATTATGTTATGAAGGGAATGAACTTCCTAGATTACTTCTTGAGACAATCTTGAGGATGAAACCGACTGATGAGGAGGAACAGAAACTCAGGCTTTATAATGGGGACTGCTCGCAGCTAGGCCTAGCAGAACAAGTGATGAAGGCACTAATTGATATTCCTTTTGCTTTCGAGAGGATTAGAGCTTTGCTTTTCATGTCCTCTTTGCAGGAAGATGCTTCAAGTCTAAGGGAATCATTCCTCCAATTGGAGGTAATCCATCTGAAAGTAGTTGACTTCTGTATTAAATCTGCGAAGTATTCCAACCTTTTTTCTCCAAGTGTTCAGTTTTTTATCTGTTTGTGCCAGGCTGCTTGCGGTGAACTCAAGCACCGCCTTTTTCTGAAACTACTAGAAGCCATTCTCAAAACTGGAAATCGTTTGAATGATGGGACGTTCCGTGGTGGTGCTAACGCGTTCAAACTTGACACTCTTCTTAAGTTATCAGATGTCAAGGGAGCTGATGGGAAGACCACATTGCTGCACTTTGTTGTTCAAGAGATCATTCGATCTGAAGGTGTTCGCGAAGCAAGACTCGCCATGGAAAATGGAAGAAGTCCACCATTTCCTAGTACTTCGGATGACAATTCCAATGAATCTCTACAGGAGGATGGCAATTACTACTCCAACCTTGGCCTTAAGATTGTATCAGGGCTTAGTAATGAGCTGGACAATGTCAAGAGAGTAGCAGCACTGGATGCTGATGCTTTGTCTACAAGTGTGGCAAATCTGCGACACGAATTATTGAGAGCCAAAGAATTCCTGAACTCCGACATGGCATCGCTAGAAGAGAACAGTGGATTCCACCGCTCGTTAGAAAGTTTCATAGAACATGCAGAGACTGAGACCAATTTTCTCCTGAAAGAAGACAAGAGATTGAGGATGTTAGTGAAGAGAACGATTCGATATTTCCATGGAAATGATGAGAAAGATGACGGTTTTCGCCTGTTCGTCATTGTAAGAGATTTTCTGGTGATGCTAGATAAGGCATGCAAGGAGGTTGGTGCTTCACAAAAGAAGGCAACAAATAAATCTCAAGCCAATGGCAACTCTAATAACCCATCATCCCAGTCAAATCCTCAGGAGCAACAGTTTCCTGCTGTTTTGGATCATCATTTTGATAGCTCAGACTCTAATGATTGAAGATAGATACAATCTTAGATACTAAGATACATACATTATGTTAGATATTTTATATTTTTTCGCCCGAGACCATGTAAAAAGTCCCATTTGCAGAGGCATTGTTCATACATAATCACATTCACATAGATAGATTTGAAACTTCATACATGCTATTATGCTATAACATTCAGTATCAAATCTGAAGTTCTGAACTCAGCCTATCGTTAGATTCTATTTTCTTTGGTAAGAGTATTCATATCCCGACCCCTCCCCACATGTGTCATTTCCCAGATATTTTTATTTTATTTTTAAAGTCAAACCTTTTCTTTTCATTTTTTGAAAGCCAAAACATTTTCAACCGTGTGATGGAAACCAAAACCTTCAGCACCCTAAAGACGAAAAAATAATTAGTAGGATATGGTATATTTCAGAAAACTGGATCTATTTTATCAATCTATCACTTTGCTACAATGTTATCCACGTATTTTAAAGAATTGCAATATTAGTGTATGGTTTTATCAAAAAGAAAGATACAACTTAATTTGTGTGACAAGTTTAAGTCCACATACACTGTCCATTATAAATTGGGTATATGTCATACTAGAAATGTGGTCCCGTGACCATGGTAGGTTTTTACTCTTTTAGTAGCTTTATATAGTCCAGTTCTTATAATCATGTGTATAGTGTTGGGCAAAACTATATCCCATCAGGTAGATGAGTTTGGGTCCATTCTATGAGCACCCGTCCCGTCTACCATGGGTAAAAAACACTCGTAGATCTAGCGAAAAAAAATTACAGTGGCCTAAGACCAAATCTTAGTATGAAATCATCTCACCTAACCACCTATCAATCCTACCAATATTCTCCATTGCCACACAAACCGCAAGTAAAAGGCAGTGCTCGTGGTGGCGGCTAGAACCACTCATGACTCATTATGCTCGTGAGTTGCTATGCGACCAAGACAAGACAAGGGAGGTAGCGGGGCTCATGCGGTTATAGGGGGTAGGGAAAACGGGATTGAGGAGTCACACTCTCATCACATCTCTAGTCTCCTTCACATCAGTCTCTTACCATTTCCCATTCCAATCGGTGGTGGATCCAGGTACGGAGGAAATCTTGTACCCATGACAATTGTGGGTGTTAGAGCAAAATGTTTTGACTTGCATAGGTGTGTGCGGGGTATTAGAACTGGCGGGTGTATTTGCTATATTTAGTCTTACACACATAGGGGATAAATTAGTAGTTATATGATAAATTCCGTTGCTAAAGTTACAATTTTATGAAAAATAGCCAGCTAAAGTTATACAAAGTGATGGTGTTTGCCAAAGGGAGTATCTAAAGAATTGCCACAAATTTTTTGAGTCAAAAACTTTCAGATATAACAACTTATATAAAACTTGCATTCAACTATGGTTTAGTTAGCTAATATTGGGATCTTACGTGTGATATGTGTGAAATTTTTTTTCCTTCATGCACAAATCGTAGGACGATCCGATGGTCACAAATTTGGAAGTTTTGGGAGTAGTTATTTTAGCAAATCCGTTACCAAATAAGGCTGTGTTCGGAGGAGGGGGTTGGGAACCCCTCCTCCTCGGCACGCAAAACAAAGTTCATTTTATTGCATGATCAATTAAGTATTAACTATTTTTTTAAATAGATTAATATGATTTTTTTAAACAACTTTCATACATAAAGTTTTTATATAAACCACACCGTTTAGCAGTTTGAAAAGCATACGTACGGAAAACAAGAGAGGTGGGTTGGGAAAATGGGGGAAGAACACAGCCTAAGCAGTTTTGTGAAATTTTCTCGATAATAGGATAAGATCTTCTAGGATGCACAATCCTACCCGTCCATTTCCGATCGGACGGCACCGGTGACACCCAAGAGCAACCCAGGCCGCCTCCTCTCCCCCAAAACGCGCACTCGTGTGCTTTCGCCTTCCATTCTCCAAACCCTCGCGGGAGATCGGAATTCCCCACCCCGGAGCGCCGGATCCACCACCGATCGTCGGCGGCGGCGGCGGAGGAGGCTGCGACGGCGGAGGCGGAGATGCTGGGCCCTCCTCGCCGCGGGCCGGCGTACAAGACGAAGCTGTGCGCGCTGTGGCAGCGCGGCAACTGCAACCGCGACACCTGCAGCTTCGCCCACGGCCACGGCGACATCCGCCGCCCGCCGTCCTCCCGCGGCGCCTTCACGCACCACCCGGGTATGGATTGCCCCCCTCCCCCCTCGCGCGCCCCCCTGTTCGTTGTTTGTCTTCGAGATCCCCCGCCCCTGGGTTTAGGGTTTCTGGTGTCTAGTGCAGGAGGCGGAGGGCGTTGGATGTCCTAGAATTTTTTATTTTATCGTCGTGATTGTCGATAAGCTTAGATTAGATGTATGCGTTGCTAGATGGCTAGATGTGAAATGGAAGTGCGGAAACCGGACTATTGGATTATGTCAAGAGTAGTATTTTCACAAAAGCCGAGTGATAATGTTATAAGAGTGAGCATTGGAAGTTTGGAACTAAGCGGCTGGTTCTGGAGAACGTGACATACTGGGCGGTAAGCCCGAATGCGATGTTTGGCTTCCCATGCAAAAAAGGAATGTCATAAAAAGTGGAAATTGCTGGAATGTTGCCTTTTAAGAGGACATTCGATACCCATGAAGGAGTTAGGACTTAGGAGAGAATCCAGTCATTGCTGTAAACCTTCTTTATGATTCGCGCGATAGTTTGCTGGCTTTTTTGTCTTGTTCTATTGCGTTTGTGATTTTTACTGTATTTCTTATACGAGTGCTTGAATTCAACCACCAGTTGCTGCAGATAGAAAATAATTCTAACAAGTGGAAGCTTGTTGCAGAATTAGGTGGCATTCTTACTGGTTGTCTTTTGATTTAATTATCATTCAAACTAGCAGACTCTGCAGATATGTTGACTCAACTGCTGCCAGAGGATAGCATGACCTTTTTCATAAATTCTTCACTTGGTATTTCGACGATTTGTGTTGACGATAATGCTTGTGCTGTACCAGAAGGTGAACTTGTGAGGATCTTGGATGATGCCTCCATTGAATGATTGCCAATAATATATTCAATGTGATACAATCATGCCATTAGCTGGCTTTGCAATTACTGGGTCACACATTATATGATTATGGTGCATCAGCTAGTTCCATTGGAAGTATTATTCTCACTGGTGATTCAAACATTTTGTGATTCTTCACAAGTCGCCATTGAAGATATCTGAGCAAATGCTAGTATATGTATGGGATATTGGGACTATGCCATTATGGAAGACCTTTCTTCATCATACTTGCTATATGAGGTTATTTATGGAGCACTCATCCATTTCACTTCAGACGATCAACATTATTATATTAATGGGTGAATCAGTGGTTTCTTGTCGTATCTTGGTATATGCTTGTGCATTATTTTTTGGCCCTACTTTTTTTGTGGCTAATGGCATTATCCTGGAGCCCCAGCTACTTATTGCTAATTGAATAATCTTGTAGCTCAATGGTCTTGGTAAGCTTAACAGGATTATGGGTGTCCTACTATCTATATATTACTTCCTTTTTGTTTTTTGTTTCATAAGTTGCTTCCTTTGTATAAAACTTGCACCTCCCTGACTTCTAGGGAGAAGAGATTATAGAGCCGGTGATTTCAGAGGCAGGATTGATAGGAGGTTTTCACCTCGGAGGAGGCATTCCCCTGGAAGAGAGTCCAGGGGTCATCGTCCCCTTTATGATAGAAGGCCATCTTCTCGAGAAAGAGGTAATAACTGCTTTCTTTCTCTGTCGTGTGTGTATTTGCATGTGTGTATACAACTGTTTCTGGTCGCTTCTACATACTGATTGCTTTTAAGTTTATGCTATTTATAAACTCATAAAAATGTGATTTCTTACTGCAGATTCTAGCTATTCACGATCTCCTAGCAGGAAGAGGTACATATTTCATTTCATCATATGAGCATGATCTTTTGAAGTTAAATTCTAAATATGCTGTGAGTGCATGTTAAAGCCCTGATCAAAGTTCAATTTATGGTGTCTTTGCTTATCTTTATCATCGATTTATTAGTATATTGCCTTGTCGTGTTTCTATTGGTCTTGCATTTTAGTTTTTCATCATTGTTAATCACCATTTGATATGCTTGAGTTAAGATCCACACAAGCTACAATTTTAGTTCTGTAGTTTTATATTAATGGTGCTGTAAACTATCATCAACATATTTGTTCCATTATAATGCTAAAATTATCTTGCTCAGAATGGTAAGGTTTTGTATTCTTCCTGCAGATTGTACCTGGTGATACTTACTATCTATCACTCAAATTATTTGTTTTGTTTTCATAGTCATAAGCATGTTTTCCTAAAGGTCATGCAAGCACTTGTATAAGCTGTATTTTGCGATCAAAGTAGAACTTGATATTTGAACACTGGCATTTCCGTTGGAATTGTGGTTGGGTTTACTAGATTTATTCTAGATGCCTTGAACATGTTGAGTCGTGCTGAACTGGTAATTTACTTTTCCACAATCTATCCTTTATTTCCAGTGAGAGGAGGCATGAAAAGAAGACTGACGATGGAGAAACCAACTCATCTAGGAGTTTAAGTCTCTCTGATAACAACGATGAAAAGAAAAAGGACAAATTCTCAAGTGGTGATGAGAAAGAAGACCACGAAAAGCAGGTATGAGAAAAATGTAATCAAATTCATGGCTTATACAAGCACATTTGGCACAATCTTCATTGCATAATTATGAATATTGTGCAGCTGAAACAAATACGGCTGGATATGGAGGCTTTGCGTGACGATAAAACTCAGATGGAGGTCAGTTTCTATTTGTCTCGCTATATTTGTTACAATATGGCACATGCTACCATGTTAACATTTTGACTGCCACTTTTTATTCACTCATAAAAAGGAGTTGGTGGTTGTGATGATAGGTTCCACCATCCCATGCCATTTTAAAAGATCTTTTGTGGATGAATCTACCTTAGTGTGTGTGTGTGAATTGTAGGATCTTTTGTAAAGGATTACATCTTCTGCACATGTAGACATGCATAAGATGATCGATTGACGCAAGTCATATATTCTATTTTAAATTTGTTACTAATTTGTCATATGTAGACATGTATTTTTATAAAAAAGTTCAAAACTAATGGCTTATTTATCTGTGGTATGCTGCAATGAATGAGCTTATGAGCACTATGCTAGTAATGTGTAAATTGAGAAATGGTAATGCATGGATTTCATCAAGTGTTCAAAGCGTAGGTGACTTTTCACTAGTCCAGTACTGCTGTGCCAACTATCAACTAATAGTGTTTGCATGTAGAACTTAGTATGTGGGTATTGTTTATCATCTTTAATTTCAGACATATTCTCCATTCTGTTCATGTTTGGCACAGAGATTGCACATCTTCCAATCATTTAATAGTAGTCATGCTTGACGAATTGGTTGGCAGTGCGTCTTTCCATGAATAACCCCAAGAGTACCCTCTAGTCTTGTGTCCACTTTGGACCTTCATTGACTTATTGTACTTGAGTTTATTTATTTTTGTCTTCCTGTCATGTTATATTTTCCGACTGAGCTTTGGAGCGGGTCAGCACTCAGCAGGCACATTATTATATGGTGCTTGCGCTCTTGTTTCAAATGCTTTCTATTTTATGGCTGTGCTAATATTTCAAATTTTCAATGGTGCTGCAAGAATTTGATTTCACATTGTTTTTAGCATCTCGTGAACACAGTACTTGCTAACTACTACTTTAGAAAAGACTCCTGCTTTTTTTTTTGTTTCATGGAATGATATTACAAAACATCCTACTTGGCCATGTCTCTCTTTTAGACTTTTAGAAAAAGTCAAGCTCTTAGAAATGTTACATAAATAAATGTACACTAATTTATAAATGGTTCCTTATAATTTGAAAAAAGTTTGCATTAAAGACACCATTTAATAATATTCCTACTTCATCACTGTTATGAGCATGGGCCAGGCCGATGCAGCAGTTTAGGCACGATAAATTAGGAATAAGTCATATAATGGTAGGAGATTATCTAGTTAGGAAAGAGATGAAGTTTATTATCTAGTTGGGATTGATTTCTATGATACTATAGACTATCCTTGGATGTCAAGCCTGTCCTCCCTATATATAAAGGGACCCCATGTACTCTATCATTAATCAATCAATGAATCTCTAAAGTTAGCCCTAATCCTCAGAGCCTCTTTTAGCTGAGCAGGGAGAAGCCTTGCCGCTGCTATTAGTGAGCGAGTGCCCTATCACTGGGTCTTCGGACCCTTACCCTAGCTACTCCATAACAGTCACTACCCATTGCTTGTACTTAGTTCCATTCACGTCTATAATGTTAGATCATGCTGAATCTTTGCTCCAAACTCTTAACTCTAGTCAACGCACTTACCTATTTGTAGGTCATTTTGGATGAGAAGATAGATGAAGTGCGCAAGATCTCTAGCAAAGTTAATGATCTTGAGGTGCAGCTTAGAAGGGAGAAAGATGAATGCCATAGGTACTTAAGCAATGTTTCCACATGACAATGGCACATTATCTTGACAGTATTATCCAATAGTTCTATATTGTTTTTCTATACCTTTGTAGGATGACCTCAAAGATGAAGAAGTTTATTAAAGCTCATGCTCGGTTTTTGAAGGCACAAGAAGAAGTGAAAAGGTGCTTTATGTTTTCATCATGTTTGGCCTTGTAATGCTAGTACACACCAGATTACTCCTTTTTGCATAACTATCAATCAATAAGTGTTCACCAATTGGAGTTATGCAGGTCACAAGCTCGTTTCGAGAGGCTTGGTGATTTGCTTGCTTCAGATATTTTGAAGCGTGGTGCTAATGAAGAGGGGTCCAGTGTCAATGAAGACCTAAACGAAAGGAGTCCTAATACTGCAGCAACTAAAAAGAGATCAATCCCATACTCAACAAGTGAAGAAGCGAAAGCTGGTATGTAGCTTAGTTTCTCGGGACACTCTGATTGCCAGGTTGTGATTTGTACAATATGGATCTTGGTGTTATGCAGCATCCAACTTTCCCCTTCTGTTAAACTGATATATGTACCTCTTTATGGAGTAACCAGTCGATCCTAGTATGAAGTAGTTCAAATGTTCCTTTATTTAATATTAAGCATTAAAATTGATGTGCTTAGTTTTCTTACAGTAGCACTGAAGGATGCCTAGTTTCTTTTATAATTGGATTTTAATTCTTTCTGCAAATTGCTGAAGAAGTGTCTTAATTATGTACTTAAACCTAATTGCTTGTCTCCTCAGTGAAGAAGAGAAGAGAGCGAGACTCTGATACAATGACTAGGTCAGATAAATATAGGTCAGATGTTACAGATTTTGATAAAACAAGTAAGGGGACTGAGGCAACCAAGTCTTTATATTTGAAGAAGAAATTATGGGAAGATGAAAAAAGTAAGCTAGGAGCCAACATTTTCACAGAAAAGGTGCACCATTTCTCCCGCCCGCTCTCAATTTTATGATGAACTACATATCATACTTAGTACACTCAGTCCAGTGCTTTGTTTAAACATTATCACATATTGCTAGCCTATGCATTTGATTGCACTGTATATATCTCTACTAGTGTAAAAGCAGAGTTGTCCTTCCTTCCCCTCTTCCCACCTACCGCGTACAGCGAGAGAGTGAAAAACCGAAAGGCCAAACTTATTACTTGTCTAAACAAAAAGCCTAGTTGATATTTGGAAAGTTCGGTCATTGCCAGACCTTGTATTGAAACTGATAGGCTTCCTTGATCATCAGGTCCTAAAGCCCTTCTTGGCTATGTTGGCATCTGTATTTATCTTTGTTTGATTGTGCTTATCACAGGCAAATATTTTGTTAACTTGCAGGTCAAAGGTTCTCCCGTCAGACATGTTTTGCCCTCCACTGGCATGGCTGCTCATGCTATTGATGATCTCAACGAAGCTATTGAACTGGAGGACAGACATGAATCCATAGACGCATTACTAGAAAATGATGCTGATGACAAAACTAGATCACCTGCTATTCCCCTGCAGCCACCACCAGTGGTACAGAATGCTTATGAGCAGGTGATTAAATTTTCACCTTTCCAAAAAAAAATATTGGACCTGCTTACATGCACGGTCAGCGGCATGGAACTGGACAGTGCATTTTGTTTATAAAAAATCGTTGTACTAAAAAAGCTCCTTTTTTTTCCCTGTGCATTTGCTAATTTGCTGAAAAAGCAAACTCATAATTTGTTTCATCTTTTCCCAGTATGAGGGTGATGACGAGGAAGTCGATGTGGAATAAGTGGATGGCCTCGTTTCTAGACAAGAGGCCTCTGATGAAGCAATGGCGAGATTAGCATCTTCCCCAGCTCCTTATAATTAGTACTATTAGCATCTTGGTGTACAAAGTGCTATCTATTTGACATTGGGAATTCAGCTTATATTTATCAAGAATCCTTTTGTAGTAACATCCTTGGCGCTGAGACAGCCTTAGTCAACTATGTGGAGCAGCCGTATAAATACTCCATAGAGTGTCTGGTTTGGCTAAGCTAATGACGTATGGTATGTGCGCTCCTTCTGCCCTGGGGATTGCGACGCCAGATGTGTCTACCTTCTTTATCGCTGCATTCAGTTAAGAAGAAGAAATGCCAAAGATGAACATTTCATGGTCATCTGGCTAGTCGAGCTGAGCGTGTAAACTGGGTAAAGCAAGATATCCTGAATTGAATTCCTGATGCCTTTGTACAGCCTCCCCAAGACCCGAAAAAGCTAGGGTTTGCTGCTGGCCTGGTGCTGCGGAGCGGGCATGAGCGCCAGCTTTCTCCCTCGCTGTTAAGGGTGTAATAAGGGGTTAATTTGTGAACCCGCTTATAAATCAAAATCTTCTCATGGCTGGTCGTCCTCGCTCTCCTGTCGTCGGCTTCTCCTCCATCGCCGATGATCATCACTCTATCATCAGCTCTATCGTCAATTCGTCTCCTGTGTTTCGGCCTGGCCAGATTAACCTAAGCAGAAAGAGCAGTAGTTTTATCAGTTGGTTATATTGACCCAAGCCAGAAATAGCAGTAGTTTTATCGGTTGGTTTTATAAGTCGTAACAATATGTATCTCACGACTTAAAAAAATAATATATAAAAATATCATGTTGGAAATATCCTAAAATTAACTTTATAATTTAAAATCGACTCAAATATCTAAATTTTAAGTTTATCATACCCGGGAGGTTATCCTCGTCGAGAGAAACCGACCCGGTTGATTTTCCTGTGTCTATATATATCGACCGAGTTGAAGCCTCAAGAGGAGGAAAGGATCGACCCCGACCCGACCCGAAGTCCCGACCCCAACCAGAGAGAGGCGCGCGCGTGCGGGTGCGGTGCGGTGCGGATCGGATCGGATTGGGCCGAGTCCCCGACCCCACACCACACACCCCCTCCTCTCCCCGTCCGCGAGGGCTCCGGCCTCTCCTCCCTCCCGCGATCCCCTTCCCCTCCGCCTCTCGCCGCCGCGCCGCGCCTCGCCGCGCCTCCAGCCATCGCCGTCGACCGCGCGCGCGCGCGAGAGGTTCGTCTCCGTCCTCCTCCATCCCATCTCTCTCCCCTTCCATGGATATTTCCTTCCTCTTCTCTCGGGTTTCTTCTCTTCTACTTGATGAGATTTTGTATGCATGTATGTATGTGTGTGCGTGGGGGGATTGGATTGATTGGATTTGGAGCGCGCCTTAGAAATTCGAGGGGTTTCCTGCGCTCTGTTTGCTTTGCTCCCTAGATTTGCCACTCCGATTTCAAACTCTTCGAGTACCAACCAACCCTTGCGGTATTTTTGCTCTTCGAATGAGGTTATGAGATCTCATGAGCCACTTAGTTTTCAGACATGCAGATGCGCGCATGTCGCCTCCATGTTGCCGGCGTACCATCTGTTTTTTTTTTCTTCTGTTATTTTTTTCGTTTCATAAGATTACCATGTGCTAGTAATTACTGTGAGTGATTTTATCAGAGACCCACTAATTTTTTATGCCTTAATTTGTTTTCTCTCATTTTTTGCAGAGCGGCTGTACGCGATTCACATGTGCGGTAATTTACCTGCCTACTGCCGCCAACCAGAAGTGGAATATACCCTATCCTAATTTTCTTTCTTCGGATGAAAGGTCTGCCAGTCTGCGTCAGCTATGGCACAGAGTTCGTCCCGGCTTCACCGCCTGCTCACATTGCTAGACAGTATCCTTTCTGCAAGACTATGGTTCGCTATGCTTGCAGTTTTACAGATGATCACACGCTATGCTAGGTTATACTCTGTACCGATTCTCTGATAAACTAAGCAAATTGCCTCATGAAATGTGCAAATTAGCTGGGCTAAAACGTACAGTCTATGCTTTTGCAGTCGAACATATATCATTTGATATCCCCTTTGGTTTATCTATCTATTGTGCAAAGTTTCCTTTAACACAACTAGCTGGTTCCACGCAAGCGACAAGGTTCGCTGCTGCACGGCAAATTGGAGAAATTGCCAAGTCCCACCCCCAGGAGCTAAATGTCTTACTCAAAAAGGTATACCAACAATTCCACCACCTGCTAGTTTTGTGGATCCTTCTACCTGAAAATGTTTGCTTAATATAATATGTGTAAGCTATGATGTGTGATGTGCGAAATGCCCAACTTTTAGTTTCTTCAATTCATGCTTCGCTTGCTTGGTAGCACAAAAATGAACCCTGCAGTTTTATGTTATGCTGAATTTTCAGTGGTGTTGAAGTTATAGATTTTCCTTTTCTCGGACATGCAGGATATCTGCATTATCATTATATTAAGAAGGAAAAGGGTAAAAGAACCCTGATTACAAAACACCCACACACCCCAGCTCTCAGGCTACATGCCTGTCCGTGCTAACAAGGACCACACGCAGAAAAGAAAACAGCGACCAAAACTGCCCCTCTTCAACCTGAAACTAAACACGAGGCTGTAGACAGTTAAGAAGGATAGCCCTCTAGCCTCAGCCAAACACCAAAACCGCCCCTCCTCTTCAGCAAGCAGGATGGCACTAGCCAAGTTTGGAGCAGCACTATTGAGGGCACATCGGTTTCGATGCTTCCAAAGCGTCCAAGCACCAAGAATGACTAGAGAATTAAGGCCCTGTTGCACTGGACCGTTGGTTGCCTCGTTGGTCCTGTTCCACCAAAATACCCTGACCAAAGCGCTGTCGGAGTGAGAACCAAAATTTCCTCGCGAAGACACAACTAGTGAGTAGATAGATGATTATTTCATCAGCTTGGTCGCAATGAGGGCGTTGAAGTTATAGATTAAATATCAAACTTTGAGGGATATATGATTTTGTGTGATGTCTGTTGTAAGATGCAATGCCCTCCCATGCATTGATTGATGGATGTTTGTTCTATGAGAAGTAACTATTACTGCCTTCATTATCTATTATATCAAGGTAGTAACATGCTCATCCACTGGAGAACAAGCTTGTTTTCTTTTTACACATGTTCTGCGGAGAATGGCTGGCTGATATTTATGCTTTTATGTTATGGTTTTAGGTTTCTCCATATTTACGTAGTAAGAATTGGGACACAAGGGTCGCAGCAGCCCATGCGATTGGTGCCATAGCAGAGAACGTCAAACACACATCGGTGAAAGACTTGTTCGCATCTGCAGAAGCAGAAAAACATGCTTCTGGGTTGTCTGGAATTGGTGATGTTGGGTCAACGTTGCGGCATGCTGATACTACTGCAACATCTGAGCTTGCTTTTGGAAGGTTTGTTGAGAATTCTTTGAAACTTTCCTAGTGCTTAGTAGACCTTCCCGCTCTTCTTTTTTGCCTAATTGGAAATGGACAAACTAATTCCGTTTAACTTCTTTTTACAGCTTCGATATAAACAGGGTGTTGGAATTTGGATCTCCTTTATTGGCATCAGGTGGACAGGTGTATTTTCTTCTTACCATTATTTTGCCTTGTCATATTTAATGAATACAATTAAAATACTGTGGTTTTTTTTTCAGGGCAATGTTATTTTCAGATTCAATCCATTTTTTTCTTTTCTGATAGTGTCATGCATCCATCTATTGTTTGTTTTTCTTTGCCATATGTCAACTTCTTGAGGGCTTTCTATTTTTCTTACTAGGAACATAGTGAATCGAAAGCACTTGACACTTAGAAGTAAAATAGATCAAGCCTCTTCCATTGCACTGAATTTTCGTTTTTGACATAAAACTGCATTGAATATTGTAATGTATAGGTTACTTACTTTGCTGCTAACTCGAGGAAAAGAATTTTAGTGGATAATGTTTAAATCTAGGAACATATTCTGAAGCTCCTCAATATAATTATTTCTCAAATTCTGGAGATACACACAAAATAACCTCGAATTTCTTTGTCTATACCAAGATTTTTTTAAAATTTTTGTTTTAAGGTGTACTTGGCAATTCCATTCCATTTCTTATTTGTTTATGGTTTCATGGTATGCAACATGTGAAAGCTAATGGGGATTATTGCTTTTGTGCTTGCTACTAGGAATATGACATTGCAAATGATAACGGCAAAAATCCAGCAGAGCGTTTAGCTCGCCAAAAGCAAAATCTCCGGCGTCGTTTAGGTTATACTTCTCTCTTACATCTTATTGTTGCTACTTTTTAATTTTCACTTTATGGCACTCACCGCACCACTGCCACAAGGTTCTTTCTATAGTGAAGACTGCACCTGTATTCTGCAAAGTATCGTTGTACTCTGATATATCTTTGAACTTTTTGTTGTTGTGTTGGATTTCTCATTCCTTTCATGTTTCTGTTCTAGTGCAGGTCTGGATGTATGTGAGCAGTTCATGGATTTCAATGATGTTATCAAAGACGAGGACCTTCTTGCCCAAAAGAATTATTGGGGTGCAAATATGCAAAACAATGGATTCTATTCATTTAATACTGGTCAGAATATTCAGCACTTGGTTGCATCTATGGTTCCCAGGTATCCCAAACATTCCAATTTTCGCTCCAGGCGATTAAGCGCCAGGGAGCTCAATATGCTGAAGCGTAAAGCAAAAAGCAATGCAAAAGATCATACAAAGGCTGTACCCGAGGATGATGACGTTGTGCCAAAAAGTTCTGGACCGTCTAACGGGGCCTCTTCTGATCAAGTTGGTTCACACAACACATGTTCTGTCAATTGTACTATATTTTTCTAAGATTTTAGTATCCTCCCGCACAATTTTTTATTTTTCTGGGGTCATTTATGAGATGGTCATTAATTCCACATTCTTAAATTATCGGGAGCCTTGGTAGAGGTTGTAAAACTTTGTTTCTGATTGTTCTCAATTGCTAGCACAAACTATCATGTCTGAATATGTGGCGCAGTGCAAGTAAGTTAAGTGCATTTGTGGGTGTGTGTTCTTCCATGCATCATGCATGTGTGGTTTGTTGACTTGTTATTGTTGGCATTCCTGTTTGGCAATTTACGCAGTTGCACTGGAGCATTCTGTTGGGATGGCTTTGTCTTCAATCTGTGATGATCTAATCACCCCACTTACATTTTTTCAGGATACAGTTGATGCAATCACAGATGAGGACAATCTGGAGTACAGTGAGAATGGGAGATGGCCTTTTCAACAGTTTGTAGATCAACTTATTCATGACATGTTTGACCCTAGTAAGTTCATTATCTGTCTTGTCTCTGAAATTTGTCCCATTCTTATCTCGCTTACAATCTTTTTACTGAGTGTTGTATTGTAGTTTGGGAAGTTCGCCATGGCACCATTATGGCTTTGAGGGAAATTTTGACGCATCAAGGTGCTTGTGCTGGAGTATATTTTCCTGATCTGAACTCACCTTTCGCTGACCTTGATGATAAAAACAATTTGGACTCCCTGAAAAGAGCACATGGTATTGATCTTAATGAAGACATTGATTCGGGACAGCTCGAGCCAGTTTTGAAAAGACAAAAGAAAGAGGAGTCTAATCCAGAGGTTATGGACATTCAGTTGGATAAGGAGCCAAGTAACGGTGATTATTCCAAAACAGAGGCAAGTCTGAGTACTGAGCCTACTGTATCTAGTGGTGAACCAAATCTTGCTCATGCAAAGGTTGAATCACCCTTCCAGGTTGATGGTTCAGCTAACCCATCTAAGGTGGATCCATATTGTACACCACCTCACGAAACACTCAACTCCATGCCCAAACTGAGTTCTACCCATCTCCCTGAAAATTCAAAATTTATAAAGCTGATGAAACTAGCGAACTACTCAGCGGTAAAAAATTGGGAATTTCTTCAAGACTGTGCAATTCGTTTCCTTTGTGTACTTTCATTGGACCGGTATGTATCTCTGGACTTATATACTTTTTGTGTGTATTTGGTTGTCTTGGCTATTAGTCTTATTATTTTTTTTTGCCTTTGTTCTTCCTGTAGCTTTGGTGATTATGTATCTGATCAAGTGGTTGCTCCTGTTCGTGAAACTTGTGCTCAAGCTCTTGGTGCAGTTCTGAAGTACATGCATCCGACTCTAGTATGCCATACACTGAATATTTTGCTGCAAATGCAGGTGTGTCCTGTAGTAATTATTTGTCTTGCTGTTGTCAACTTCAAAACAGTACATTCTCTGTTGTCATCATCATCACCATTTCCGTCCTTTTCTTTGTTCTTTCAGCGCAGGCAGGAGTGGGAAGTTCGTCATGGGAGTCTCCTTGGAATTAAGTATTTAGTTGCTGTTCGTCAGGTGATTGCTAATGAGAAAAACTATAACCTAATAGGCTAATTCAATCGTCTTTGTGCATATATGACCAGAGGGGCAGTAGTAGTTGGCTTGCTACCAAGTCAAGTTTTGCTTTTCATATCTCTACACTAGAGGAACTTAGGAGTTCTGAGAAACATCCTCTTCTGTTTACTAATATTTGTTTTTGACGCCTAATTTATGTGTAAAATTGCTATAATATTGTTTCCTTCCCCACCAGGAAATGCTTAAAGACTTGCTTAATTATGTTCTTCATGCCTGTAAAGCTGGTCTGGAGGATCCAGATGATGATGTCCGGGCTGTGGCTGCAGAGGCTCTGATCCCAGCTGCTGCTTCTTTAGTTAGACTAAATGATCAAATGCTACATTCAATTGTGATGTTGCTTTGGGATATATTGCTTGACCTTGATGATCTAAGCCCTTCTACAAGCAGGTATGTTCAATCATGCTTTCCTCATTTAGTAAACACATTGTTTGCGTAATGTTGAACACTGAGCCCATGTTATACATTATATGGTCCATCTACTTCCGATTTCTAATCTTATTTTGAATCCAGTCACCTGTTCCCAGATAAGGAATTTAAAATGTTGGATAGTTGTTCGTTGCTCTTTTATTCCGTTTAAAGTTGACTGTACTCATGCCACAATAAATATTCTGTATTTCTCATGTCCAAATTTCATTTTTGTTTCAGTGTGATGAATTTGTTAGCTGAGATATATTCTCAACCAGAGATGGTTCCAAAGATGCTTGGCACAACAGCCATAGGTGGAGACAACGAATTTGATCTAAACAGTGTAACTCTGGTTGCCGGTGAAGAAAAAATGGGTTCTAATGATAATCCTTATGTCTTAGCCGCTCTGACACCCCGATTGTGGCCTTTTATGAGACATAGTATTACATCAGTCCGGCGTTCTGCTGTACGAACATTGGTAAGAATTACATGGAATTTGAGATCCACTGTAGTTTGATTGTGCTGCAGTATCAGGTGCCCATTCGAGTTGAGTATGAGTTATATAAATGAGAAACAGAATTGTAATGAAAAATATCTGCAATAATTTACCGGGTGAAATAGCAGTTTTGAGCCATCTTGTGTATGTTTTCTACATTGTTTTGCCAAGAAAAACCAACCTATCCTTGGGATTTTGCCAATCTGGAGTTGGATATTCCACTCTGTTCCCATGTGCAATTGGTTTTTGCTGTAAGCTTCTGAATGCCATTTGTTATGCTTTCCTAGTTAAAAACCGTGAAGTTCAAACTTTTTGTAGGAGAGGCTTCTCGAGGTTGGGAACACCAGGAATTCAGCTAAACTATGGCTTGCATCTATATTAGGTGATGCGCTGCAAGTTGTCTTCCAGAATCTTCTTTTGGAGTCAAATGATGAGATTATTCGATCTTCTGAAAGGGCTTGGAAACTTTTACTTCAGGTTACTGATGTTCTGGCTTTCCGGGTGTTGTGAATTTACTCAATTCATAGAAATTTAATGATCATGTCTATTACAGGATTATAGTAACAAACAAAAATATTTCTATGCTTGTAGTGCCCTACGGAGGACCTTGAGTCTGCTGCAAGTTCATATTTTAGTAATTGGGTGCAACTTGCCACTACTCCATATGGCACAGCATTGGATTCTGCAAAAATGTTTTTGCCAGTTGCACTTCCACGAGGAAGTCGTTCAAGAGCTGCTGCAAAGATCAAATCTGCAAGGTTAGAACATGAAAATACGAGAATGATATCTTTTGGTTCTACCGGAGAGAACACTTCACAGGAAAAGCATTCTGAAGCTTCCTTGAGTGTTTCAAAAATAATTGTGGGGTCTGATTCGGACAAATCTGTTACTCATACGCGAGTGCTGACGTCAATGGCCCTTGGTCTGTTTGCCTCTAAGTTGCCAGAGGGGTCGTGGCAAGTTGTTCTTGGTCCACTAGCAAGCGATCTCATGTCTCTCTCAGGAGTCCAGAGACAGGTAAGAAAAAACCTTATGTTTTAGTGCATAAAAGCATTCAATTCAACTACTTGTTTTGCACTCATAATTTTCTATCGCTCCAGGTGGCTTCTATGGTTATTGTTTCTTGGTTTAAAGACCTCAGAAAAAGTGATCCTGCTGCGGTGGGTACATTGCTAGCTTTCTTATCCTCCCTGAAAGGGTGGATGTTGGACTTACTGGCTTGCTCTGACCCTTCATTTCCTACAAAAGATTCTCCGCTTCCATATGCTGAGCTTGCAAGAACATACAGGAAGATGCGCAATGAAGCCAATAATTTGTTCCAGTCAATAGAATCTTGTGCTCTTCTTAAAGAGTATACAAGCAACTTAAACTTTGAAGCTGACATGCTGAGTGTTGATGATGCTATTAACTTCACTTCAAAGCTTTTGTTACCATCTGAACCTGATTTTAGTTTGGACAGTGATAAAATTGTCTTGAACAATATAGAGTCAGCAAAACAAGGTCTATTGTCTACGTCAGGCTACTTGAAATGTGTTCAGGTATGTGAAATTTCTAATTAGGGTGTCTTCAGATTTATATTAATGTGTTAGAATTACTTGTTGCATCTGTCTAGTTCTGATTTTTTTTATCCTTTTTATTAGCAATATCATAAAATAGGTTTCCTTGTTTGATGATGTTCTGCAGAATAATTTGCATGTGACAGTTTCCTCTTTAGTGGCCTCTGCTGTAGTCTGGATGGCAGGGCTGCCTAGTAAGTTGAACCCAGTCATTTTGCCTTTAATGGCTGCTGTAAAAAGGGAACAGGTACGACATAGTATTCTTATGCTCTTAAATTTTGTCTTAGATGTAAGCTCAAATGGTTCCATATCATTTAGGAGGAAATACTTCAGGACAAAGCTGCAGATGCACTTGCTGAGCTCATTTTTAGTTGTGTTGGCCGCAAACCTGGCCCAAACGACAAACTAACAAAGAACCTCTGCACGTTAACATGCACTGATGCAAGTGAGACACCTCAAGCTGCAGTTATAAACTCAATTCAGGTTATTGAGGACCAAAACTTGCTGTCGATTGGTAAGCGTTTTAGCAATCACAAATCCAGGGGCCAGATGACTTCCGGTGGTGAATCGAAGTCGGAGGGTTTTATAAGCCGGCGTGGATCGGAGTTGGCTTTTAAGCATCTTTGTGAGAAATTTGGAGCATCCTTATTTGAAAAGCTTCCCAAGTTATGGGATTGCCTTACGGAGTTTCTTAAACCCGTCAAGACTGGAGATGATCTTATGAAAGAAGATCCAAGTATTGCGCAGTTAGGAAGATCTTGTGAGGACAAGGAACCGCAGTCCCTTATAAATAATATCCAGGTTTGTTTTATAAATTAATTTGAATTCAATTGGTTCCCTTTTGTTTTGGCATAAAACTGCTACATGATGTTGGATTAGACCATCATGTCATATCAATATGAATCAATATATCTTTGGTTACTTGCTACTATTTAGTATAAACTGGTTTGGTTCCATTTTCATCTCTTGCCATATTTCTAATGCCATTTCTGCTCCTCCTCACAGGTTGTTCGTTCGGTTACACCTCATTTGGCTGAGCCCTTGAGGCCTCAATTGCTAAGTCTCCTTCCCTGTATTCTTGGTTGTGTGCGCCATCCTCATGTCGCTGTCAGGTTAGCTGCTGCAAGGTGCATCACATCAATGGCAAAATCATTGACTGCTAATGTAATGGTAATTGTGATAGAAAATGTCATACCGATGTTGTCAGATTCATCTTCTGTCTGTGCAAGGCAAGGAGCTGGGATGCTTTTGAGCCTTCTTGTTCAGGGTTTGGCTGTGGAGTTGGTTCCTTATGCTCCTTTCCTTGTTGTTCCTCTTCTAAGGTGTATGAGTGATCCTGATGGTTCTGTTAGACAGACTGTAACTCACAGTTTTGCTGCTCTGGTTCCTTTGTTGCCATTAGCAAAAGGTTCTTTGTTACCGGATGGACTGAGTGAACGCTTATCTAGCAGTGCAGAAGATGCGCAGTTTCTAGAGCAGCTCCTCGACAACTCCCAAATTGATGATTACAAGCTCAGCATTGATCTCAGTGTTGAACTGCGAAGGTCTGTAACTATCTTAAAAGCTCCTTTATTGGAATGTGGCTTGACGACGTTATTCTACTTAGTTTGAGATAGTGTATTGAGTGCTATTGTGGATACCATACATAATAATACTTGTTATAATGATTATTATTTGATGTTCTTTTAACAAAATGTTGTGGATCGCTACAGGTACCAGCAAGAAGGAATTAACTGGCTAGCATTCCTTAGACGGTTCAAGTTACATGGAATTTTATGTGATGACATGGGTCTTGGCAAAACACTCCAGGCGTCTGCTATTGTAGCAGCTGATATTGCTGAGTCACGTGCACGGAATGATGAGCAAGATCCGAAATCTTTGATTATCTGCCCTTCTACATTAGTAGCACACTGGGAATATGAAATAGAGAAGTACATAGACAGCTCTATCATGAAACCTCTTCAGTACATCGGTTCATCACAAGATAGGATTATCCTCCGTTCTCAGTTTGATAAGTTCAACGTAATCATAACGTCATATGATATTATACGCAAGGATATTGATTTTCTTGAGAATGTCTTTTGGAACTATTGTGTGCTGGATGAGGGGCACATAATAAAGAACTCAAGATCTAAAATAACATCTGCTGTGAAACAATTGAAAGCACAACACCGTCTTATCCTCAGCGGTACTCCAATTCAGGTAAAATTTCATTCATGAATCTTGTTGGTATGCTTTTCGTCTAGCTGTTGCGGTTCGCTTTACATTGCACTTTTTATTTCATTGTTCATGTTCTTTGTAGATAATTCCATCGATCCAGTACTGAAATTGGTATTACTATTTATTTGACACATTCCACTATAATTGCAGAATAATGTATTGGAGCTCTGGTCTCTATTTGACTTTCTTATGCCTGGATTTCTTGGGACAGAAAAACAGGTAAATGTGCTATGAATTCAACTTTACTTACAGAACTGAAAGCTAAGAATTTGGTCGTTGACATGAACCATGCCTTTTTTGTTCAAGAACTTAGTTTAGTTTTTAACATGTTCCTGATTTACTCTTACGCTAGCTTCCAAGCTTATTAGTTAGTTCAGGAATAATATATGGATCTATGGACTTGCTAGTTAGTTCCAAGCTTATTATTAGTTAGTTTAGTTTTTTTGTTATTCACTGTGGACTTGCTCAGAGCGACAGGTGATATATGGATCTGCCTTATCTGGGCCGTTACACTTTCTTACATATGATGCTTGCAAATGATATCTATGTTTAGTTGTGTTATAGGTGCTAGGCTGCTTGATAAATCATTAGTAGTTTGATGACATGCATCTGTAGAAAAAGACATTGGTGACTATATTGTATTAATGTAAGTGGACATATATGGCTGTGTTCGGATGAGGGGGTTCCCAACCCCCTCTCCCTCGCATTCCGTGCGCACGCTTTTCAAACTACTAAACGGTGTGTTTTTTGCGAAAAGTTTATATACGAAAGTTGTTTAAAAAAAATCAAATTGATCCATTTTTGAAAAAAAATAGCTAATACTTAATTAATCACGTGCTAATGGACTGCTCTGTTTTCCGTGCGGGGAGATGGGTTCCCAACCCCACATTACAAACACACCCATAGAATGTTTTAACCAACCAAAGATGAAATTGTTTCTGCTTTCATGAAGGGGTGGATTTTTACTAGTCCTGACTCTTGATAATTACCTTGGTCTATTCTGATATGAAGTATTTGTGCTGAAATTAAATACAATGTTAATTATGCAGTTCCAAGCTACATATGGAAAACCATTGCTAGCAGCAAAAGATCCAAAATGTTCAGCAAAGGATGCTGAAGCTGGCATTCTTGCTATGGAGGCACTGCATAAACAGGTTTTTATCTTCTGTAGTAGACTTGAAGTCTTTAAAAATAACTGGGGGTTTTGAGTCTTGTGACCTTTGTTGACAAGTAAAAGTCATTTTGCTATACTAGGTCATGCCGTTTCTACTTAGAAGAACAAAGGATGAAGTTTTATCTGATCTTCCTGAGAAGATTATCCAGGATAGATATTGCAATCTCAGTCTATTGCAGCTCAAACTTTATGACAAATTCTCCAACTCCAATGCCAAACAAGAGATTTCCACTATAGTAAAAGAAAATGAATTAGATCAATCCACTTCTCAACCAAAGGCAACTCGTCATGTGTTTCAGGTACTGCAGTTAGACAAACATTTTAGCTTTCTCATTCTGCATTTCTTATGTGGTATCGTGTTTGCGTTTTAATTGAATATGCTTTTGTAATGCAGGCACTGCAATATCTATTAAAACTTTGTAGCCATCCTTTACTTGTAACTGGGGAAAGCCCACCTGATTATCTTGTGGACCTTCTAAAGGAAATCGGTATGGGAACTGGTGATGAGCTTCATGACCTACACCATTCCCCTAAACTTGTTGCTCTCCAAGAGATACTTCAGGAGTGTGGTATAGGGTCAGAAATATCAAGCCCTGATGCTTCTGCAGCTATTGGGCAACACAGAGTTTTGATTTTTGCTCAACACAAGGTACTGAGTCTGTTCTCTTATTGAGACTATGTATCCCTGTTTCTTTTGGTATATTTTCATCCTTGTCATGTTTATAAACATTCTTTTCTCCAGGCTTTGCTTGACATTATTGAGAAGGACCTGTTTCAATCCCATATGAGAAGGTGAGTTTTATATATTGTGATGTACATCAGCTTCATGAAGAATTCATCATGCCAGTGTGTTGTCTGTGTTGCAACAGATTTGAAAAAAATATATCATGAGTTCTAAACTGAAAAATTATATATATATATTTATATATTTTGAAAAATCATATAATATTCAATCAAACATCAATCAACAAAAAACTCAATCCATATGCACAAAAGACATTTATCCGGTCCTAGAAGATACGGTGAGATCGCAGTTTCACCACCACCACCAGTAGCAGATTCTTTTATATAGTAGAGATTAATATTAGCTGATGCAAATTATTTTAAGCATCTTGCTTTATGTTGTTTTATCTTGTGTTTTATTATGCTTGGATATTTGTACTTTCTAGAGTACTGCAGTGCTGTTTTATCTTTGAGTAACTGTAAATATAAGGTTGTCGTTGGCCTAGTTGATAACTGACTAAAAATACACACTTCTGTTTCTCAGTTTCCTGCCTGTGCTCATCTAATCAGCAAACTTTTGATATTCATTCAGCGTTACATATTTACGGTTGGACGGCTCTGTTGAACCAGAGAAGCGATTTGAAATTGTGAAGGCATTCAACTCAGATCCAACCATTGATGTGCTCCTATTAACAACTCATGGTAGGTTTGGAGAATGCCATATGGATCAGGGATTTACTCCTAGATATATATACTAGAAAAGCTATATCTGATTCTTTCCTGTTGCAGTCGGTGGGCTTGGATTGAATTTGACATCTGCTGACACATTGGTCTTTATGGAACATGATTGGAACCCAATGAAGGATCTTCAGGTTTGCTTTTGCATATTTTATCAACGATAAGGCTACCATTAAATTTCCTCCACCATTTTCAAGCTATCCTCTGTGAAACAAACGAACAATACTCCCCTCTTACAGGCAATGGACAGAGCACACCGTCTGGGTCAAAGGAAAGTGGTAAACGTGCACCGTCTCATCATGCGCGGTACCCTGGAAGAGAAGGTGATGAGTCTTCAAAGGTTCAAGGTGTCGGTGGCCAATGCGGTCATCAATGCTGAGAACGCCAGCCTGAAGACAATGAACACTGACCAACTGCTTGATCTGTTTGCTTCGACGCCTGCTTCCAGAAAAGTAAATCCCTTGTGACCATATATCTCGTATAGAAAAAACTTTTGTAATTTTTATTCTTTATTTGGGTTTATGATCCTTTGTCTATGGCCATACGCAGGCGTCTGTACTCCCAAGCAGTTCGGGTGGTGATCAGAGTAAAGATTCCAAGGGGAAATCTGGTGGGAAGGGTTTGAAGTCCATTCTGAATGGTCTGGACGAGCTATGGGATCAGTCTCAGTATGCAGACGAGTACGATCTCAACCAGTTCTTGGCGAAGCTCAACGGCTGAACACACGATCACCGGTCCTGTACAGTGTAAAGCGAATTGGGGCGTGTGATGAACAGGTTGGCAGATTTTGTTGGCAACCACAGGAGTCAGAAATTTTTTTGTTGTTTCATACGGAAGAAGGGAAAAAAAAAGGAAGATCGCAAGATCTAGAGCAATGTGGCTAACATATAGGTGCTTGAGATGGTGATCTCAAATTTTTGTCTTTTGAGCTTTTGGTTAGGAGGGTTTAGAGAGAGATAGAGCTAGTCTTGAGAGGAGTTGTATATACTATCTGCTCATTATAATAATTAATCAAAGGCTGCAGCTCCTTGTAAATTTTGCCTTGAGTTGCTTACTGTTTCTACCTTTTACTTGGCCTAGTAACTGAGCTATCCAGTGGTGTAGTAAGCCTGCCTACTGGGAACGCGGATCATTTTTGTCTCGCTAACATGTGAAAGTAATAGTAAGATCGGGTAAAAACGGAAAAGGGGTGATACATTCTTGCCTATCAATCCTTGCTCGTCTGAATCCCGTTTTGGCCGCTAAGGAAGTTCCCAAAAATTTTTCCTGTTCATTGTCTGAATCCCGTTTTGGCCGCTAAGGCCGTTTTGGACAAATGTATAGAGCACAAAATATATATTAAAAAAACTAATTGTACAGTTATGGAGAAATCGTGAGCTTAATCAGTTCATGATTAGCCATAAGTAATACAGTAACCCACATATACTAATGACGGGTTAATTACTTAATTTGGCTCAAAAGATTCGTCTCGCGGTTTCCAAGCGAGTCATGAAATTATTTTTTTCATTCGTGTCCGAAAACCCCTTCCAATATTTAGTCAAACATCTGATGTGATACCTAATTTTTTTTTCGTGAACTAAACGGTCCCTAAAAGGAAGTCATCTCAGCCAATGTGAAACTGATGACCTTTCATTCCCTTCTATTCTTTCATCGTTGTAATTGTGACATGTTAGACTATAACTTTCATCAGTTAGAAATTGATCCCTTGGTCTCCCTTTATTATTATTTTTTGTTCGACCCTTGCTTAGGCCATGTTTAGTTTCAAAGGTTTTCTTCAAACTTTTAACTTTTCCATCACATCAGAACTTTCCTACACACATAAACTTTCAACTTTTCCATTACATCGTTCCAATTTCAACCAAACTTCTAATTTTGATGTGAACTAAACACAACCTTAGATGCATATCTTTTCAATGTCCTTTGTTTCTACATAGCCTACATAGTAAGGGTAGAAGCGGTGTGGAAATTTTCTAACCATACCGATACAGTTTCCCTAAAATATTACATAGTCATGCTGTAGCAGCACTCGGAATATATATGATCTAGTTAGACTAGTTCTTCTCTCAACTTTCTCAGTCTCCCCTTTATTTTTCACACGCACGTTTCCCAAACTACTAAACGATATGATTATTTTTTTTTGAAAATTTTCTATAGGAAATTTGATTTAAAAATCATATTAATCCATTTTTATTTTTAAACTTAATACTTAATTAATCAAGGGGGTCAATCCACTGTTTCATTTTTCGCATAGGGAGGAGTTCCCAACTACTCCCTCCGTCCCTAAATATTTGACGCCGTTGATTTTTTTTAATATGTTTGACGGTTTGTCTTGTCAAAAAATTTAAGTAATTATTAATTCTTTTCCTATCATTTGATTCATTGTTAAATATACTACTATTACTCAAGTTTTTGAATAATATTCACAAAAGTTTTTGAATAAGACAAACGGTCAAACATGTTTAAAAAAGTCAACGGCATCAAATATTTAGGAACTAAAAGAGTACTACAAACGAACGAAGCCTAGGCTTCTCCATATAAGGCTGTGTTTAGTTCACAGCAAAATTAAAAGTTTGGTTAAAATTGAAACGATATGACGGAAAAGTTGGAAGTTTGTGTGTGTAGGAAAGTTTTGATGTGATGAAAAAGTTGGAAGTTTGAAGAAAAACTTTGGAACTAAACCAGGCCTAAATGAACATTCGATGGCTCCTCTAGAAACATTCTTGATCTTAGCATTCAGTTTGGAAGATGAAATGGCATTCACACGAGCATTGCAGATTTTCATGGTCCATCTGGCTAGCAGAGACCAGAGCGTCGTCTGCAAATGCATGATCTGAGCAAACCTTTGCAGTCTTTGCTGCGTTGCGTTGACGGTCAGTCAACCCACACACACACGCATCATGCAACACATTGACAGATTGGCCTTAACTTCACTCGGTAATTTATTTCATCGCTGTAACTATGGCATGTTAGACTACAACTTTCATCCGTTAGAGCAGGTACAATAGCAGGCTGTAAACATATTTTAATAAGATAAAAGATGAGAGAGAATAGCAGTGGGCTATAGATCTATAGCCAGCTGCAGCGTGGACTCCAAGACACAATGTGTGTATGACAGGTGGTACCATATATTAATAGTATAGTAAACAACTATCGTATAAATTACCTATTATATTGGCTATAAATAAATTAAAGTTAGTAGTGGGTTATACTATTAAACTTGCTCTTAGAAATTGATCCCCTGGCCTCCCTTTATATTAGTTGCATTCCTTTGAATGTTCCACACTTGTTTAGCGAATTAAATTTAAAAATATACTGTTAATTTATTTTTTTTTCTCGAAATTTTCAGGATATATTTTTTTAACAGAAATATATCGTCGTTCTGTCACAAACATTACACGAACATGACGACGCGGGCGAGACGGCGCTACCTCACACGATGAAATAGCTAGACCGAGCAGTACCAGCGAGCGAGACCGAATGGCTGGCCGATTCAAACTGTTTAATTATCTGATATTAATTAATCGCTAATTAGAATGATTAATCACTTGTTATTATTAATTAATTGCTAATTGGGTAAGTCTCTAATTATGCGGCAGCTCACTGGGCAAGCCGTTCGCTCTCTGCTCATTCATTGTGCGAGATTGCTTGGTCTCGTTGTTTCGTCACGTGAGACCGCGCGATACGCTATGGTTGCGCACAGTCACCGTGCAAGACCGTCCGCGTCATCACACCTCACGTTGTTTGAGATCGACAGTTTATTTCTATTAAAAAAATAAATCAACAGTATATTTTTAAATCAAATCTAATTACTTGTTTAGCTGTATATCTTTTCAAAATCGATTATCCCTACATAGCATATGTAGTAGGGGTAAAAACGGTGTCGAAATTTTCCAACCGTACCAATACCATTTCTAAGAAATATTACATGGGGTGTGTTATGTTGGGCTTTTCAACCTGCTTTTACTTTTGCTTTTGCAAAAGTTAAAAGCCAACTAAAGGGCTCAAAAATCATAAGTACTTTTGCTCCAAAGCTGCTTTTAGTGCAGTACAAATCTAAAAGCACCCCTACCCCTGCTTTCATTGGCTTTTGAGTAAAAAAAAATTACCCGCCTCTCTCATTATAAAGAAAACGGTTCGACAAAAATAAAAATTAATTACACAGATTACGTGTAAATTACAAGACGAATCTTTTAAGCTTAATTGCTTCATGATTTGACAATGTGGTGCTACAGTAAACATTTGCTAATGATGGATTAATTAGGCTTGATAAATTCGTCTCGTAGTTTACATGCGGATTCTGTAATTTGTTTGGTTATTAAACTATATTTAATACTTTAAATGTGTATATGTATATTTGATGTGACACAGTAAAAAACTTTACCCATAAATCTAAACACAGTCTTAATATTCTACGCGTGTCACAGTGTGAAATTTTTTGTTATGAACTAAACAGTTTGGAAGATGAAATGGCATTCGCACGAGCGTTGCAGATTTTCATGGTACATCTGGCTAGCAGAGACCAGAGCGTGGTCTGTAAGCCAGACAGCCCATATGCATGATCTGAGCAAACCTTGCAGTCGTTGCTGCGTTGCGTTGACGGTCAGTCAACCCACAGACACACGCATCATGCAACGCCATTGTCAGATTGGCCTTAACTTCACTCGGTAAGGCCTGGTTTAGGCCATGTTTAGTTCCAAAAACTTTTTTTCAAAAACATCACATCGAATCTTTGGACATATGTATAATAAAAAACTAATTGCACAGTTATGGAGGAAATCACGAGACAAATTTTATGAGCCTAATTAGTCCATGATTAGCCATAAATGCTATAATAACTCACATGTGCTAATGATGGATTAATTAGGCTCAAAAGATTCGTCATGCGGTTTCCAGGCGAGTTATGAAATTAGTTTTTTCATTCGTGTCCCAAAACCCCTTCCAACATCTGGTCAAACGTCCGATGTGACACCAAAAAATTTTCTTTTCGCGAACTAAACATACCCTTAAGTTTCCCAAATTTTTTTCCAAAAAACATCACATCGAATCTTTGGACACATGCATGAAACATTAAATATAGATTAAGAAAAACTAATTGCACAGTTAGAGGAAAATCGCGAGACGAATCTTTTGAGCTTAATTAGTTCATAATTAGCCATAAGTGCTACAGTAACTCACATATGCTAATGACAGATTAATTAGGCTCAAAAGATTTGTCTCGCGGTTTTCAGGCTAGTTATGAAATTCGTTTTTTCATTCGCGTCCGAAAACCCCTTCCCACATCCGATTAAATATTCGATGTGATACCCAAAAATTTTCTTTTCGCGAACTAAACAGGCCCTAACTCGACTCATTCACTCGCGAACTAAATAGGCCCTAACTTGACTCATTAAGGCTGTGTTTAGATCCAAAGTTTAGATCCAAACTTCAGTTCTTTTCCATCACATCAACATGTCATACACACACAACTTTTCAGTCACATCATCTTCAATTTCAACCAAAATCCAAACTTTGCCCTGAACTAAACACAGCCTCACTCACTCTAGTCCCAGTCAATCTAGGTGGCTAGCTGACAGCAAAAAATTTTCGCCATGTCACATCGAACGTTTGAACATCTGCATGAAGTATTAAATATAGGTTAAAAAATCACATATTGCGACTAATTTGTGAGACGAATCTTTTAAGCCTAATTGCTCCATGATTTGATAACGTGGTGCTACAGTAGACATTTGCTAATGATGGATTAATTAGGCTTAATAAATTCGTCTATCTGTTTACTGACGGATTCTGTAATTTGTTTACCTGAATACCTCATATGACACCCCGCCAAAACTTTACCCCCTCGATCTAAACACCCCTGAATTTGCTATACTAGTATATAATATTCTCCAGCCGGATCCTTCCTCTCGGACGCAGCAATGGCAATGACGATGCTCTTCAGTCTGCTGTTTTGCACAGCTAAGGCTACTGATGATTCAGGAGCAGAAACTGAAGCAGAAGCACTCCTCCGATGGAAGTCCACTTTGATCGACGCCACCAACTCGTTGTCGTCATGGTCGATTGCCAACTCCACCTGCTCTTGGTTCGGTGTCACCTGTGACGCCGCCGGCCATGTCACTGAGCTCGACCTTCTTGGTGCCGACATCAATGGTACGCTTGACGCTCTCTACTCTGCTGCATTCGAAAACCTCACCACCATCGACCTCAGCCACAATAATCTTGATGGTGCCATTCCAGCAAATATTTGTATGTTGCGCACCCTCACCATTCTGGATTTGAGCAGCAACTATCTTGTTGGTGTTATCCCGATAAATATTTCCATGTTGATTGCTCTCACCGTTCTAGATTTGAGCGGCAATAATCTTGCTGGTGCCATCCCGGCAAATATTTCCATGTTGCACACCCTCACCATTCTGGATTTGAGCAGCAACTATCTTGTTGGTGTTATCCCGATAAATATTTCCATGTTGATTGCTCTCACCGTTCTAGATTTGAGCGGCAATAATCTTGCTGGTGCCATCCCGGCAAATATTTCCATGTTGCACACCCTCACCTTTCTGGATTTGAGCAGCAACAATCTTACTGGTGCAATTCCCTACCAACTCAGCAAGCTCCCTAGGCTCGCCCACTTAGGTCTTGGAGATAACCACTTGACAAATCCAGAATATGCCATGTTCTTCACACCCATGCCTTTTTTGGAATTCCTATCTCTATCGAGACCTTTTACAGTGTTTACATTCCTAAAATGGCATAGATCTAACGGTTCACGATGAAAGGTACCTTATGAAAGGTATCAGAGGTAGAAAGGTACTAAGTATTAAAAGGTAATTGATAACAGGGCAATTATGTCTAACAACGTATGGACGTACCGAAAGGTACGGTGTAAGTGGATTTGAAGGTACCACAAGGTACCACGTAAGTAGTTTTTAAAGGTAACGTAAAATATGATTTATGTGGTGGGGACAAAAATTACATTCTCTTCTATTCGGTTTCCAATCTTCGGTCGTTCTGTTTGCGTCGGTTTCCAAACTTTGGTCCGATTTACGTGGTACATATCATATTCGCATGATCTTGATAATTATTTCCAGATAGTCATTAATTTACATAGCAATTTGGTGATCCATCGTTTGATGAATGTAATCAAAGATCGAAAGGACAACAAATTGAGAAGATTTACGCACCTAACAAGAACAAAACAAGTTCAATGAGGAAGATTTGCGAAAAAAAACTAAACAAATCGTCTGACAGATCGGGACCGTGCGGCCGCTTCTAGCTCCGGCGAACATAGGCAGTCCTGGACCACTTCCTCCGGGTCCTCTTCCTCCACCGCCCCTCCCTCCAACCACCGCCTCCGGCCACACGTCCACCGCCGGCCCTCAATTCTCCTCCTTTCAACTTATCGAAGAACACGTAAACCTTACGTACGAACAGAACGTATCTAAGAATGATGCAACGCAACATGCTACAAGCTAATTCCTTCGATACCTTCTCATACCTTTTTATATGTGTAAAAGACACATTTGTCATTCTAATATCATCATATTTACATTAATGCCACCTATTACAATATTTTCTTTCCATACCTTGCCCCTCGCAGATCAACGGCTCACGTCGCCCCACCTCCTTTACCTCGCAAACATCGTAAAATCCCTCATCTCTATCTTACAATTATCTCAACGGTACTTTTCCAGAATTCATCCTCAATAGCAATAGTTTGAGGATGGAGCACCTCGATTTATCGTATAATGCCTTCTCATGGTCCATACCAGATTCACTACCAAATTTGAGGGTTCTAGAACTGTCGAACAATGGATTCCATGGGACCATACCACATTCACTCTCAAGACTACAAAAGCTCCAAGACCTATATCTGTACAGAAACAACCTCACCGGAGGAATCCCAGAGGAGCTTGGGAACCTAACCAATCTTGAGGCCCTGTACCTGTCCAGAAACCGGTTAGTTGGAAGTTTGCCTCCCTCTTTTGCCAGGATGCAACAATTATCATTTTTTGCGATAGACAGTAACTACATCAATGGTAGTATCCCGTTGGAGATATTTTCAAATTGTACTTGGCTCAACTGGTTTGATGTTTCCAACAACATGTTAACTGGAAGCATCCCACCACTAATCAGCAACTGGACAAATCTACACTACTTGGCCCTCTTTAACAACACATTTACCGGTGCAATCCCATGGGAGATAGGAAACTTAGCACAAGTATATTTAGAGGTGGACATGTCACAAAATCTATTTACTGGAAAGATACCATTAAATATCTGCAATGCAACTTTGGAATACCTTGCGATCAGTGACAACCATCTAGAAGGCGAGCTCCCTGGATGCCTGTGGGGTTTGAAAGGTCTCGTTTACATGGATTTGTCAAGAAACACTTTTTCTGGGAAAATTGCACCCTCAGACACTCCTAACAATGATTCCGACCTACTCGCCCTGGACCTGTCAAACAATAACTTTTCGGGTTATTTCCCAGTCGTACTGAGGAATCTCAGCAGACTAGAATTTTTGAATCTTGGATATAATAGGATTTCTGGTGAGATTCCTTCGTGGATAGGGGAAAGTTTTTCTCATCTGATGATTCTACAGCTAAGGTCAAACATGTTCCATGGAAGTATTCCTTGGCAGCTATCACAACTCCCCAAACTACAATTGCTTGATCTAGCTGAAAATAATTTTACAGGCTCCATACCAGGTAGTTTCGCCAACTTATCATGTTTGCACTCAGAAACTAGATGTGTGTGTAGCTTAATTGGAGTATACCTCGATCTAGATAGTAGACACTACATTGATATTGATTGGAAGGGAAGGGAGCATCCATTTAAAGACATAAGTCTACTTGCAACAGGTATTGATTTATCAAACAATTCTCTCTCTGGTGAGATCCCTTCAGAATTGACAAATCTTAGAGGTATTCAGTCCTTAAATATTTCTAGAAATTTTCTACAAGGAAATATCCCAAATGGAATTGGCAATCTAACACATTTAGAGTCTCTTGACCTCTCTTGGAATAAACTCTCAGGCCATATTCCTCATAGCATATCAAACTTAATGAGTCTCGAATGGCTTAATCTCTCGAACAACCTTCTATCGGGAGAGATACCTACAGGTAATCAACTCAGAACACTTGATGACCCATCGATTTATGCCAACAACCTGGGGCTTTGTGGATTTCCTTTGAAAATTTCATGCTCAAACCATTCAAGTTCTACGACTACACTAGAAGGGGCAAAAGAACACCACCAAGAACTGGAAACTCTATGGCTGTACTGCTCAGTAACTGCAGGAGCTGTCTTTGGTGTTTGGCTGTGGTTTGGAGCACTGTTTTTCTGTAATGCCTGGAGGCTTGCTTTCTTCTGTCGCATCGATGCCATGCAGCAGAAACTTATGTAAAACATAGCTCATCTGAGTAATATGCTCTGCTTCTCATTGAGTCCACCTGAGCGTGTGTATTAGTGTCACATTATGTCAGCACTGCACTAAGATCTAAGGTTCAGTAGGTATTATCCCTTTATTTCAGCCATCGATGAGATGTAATTTGCTGTTGCCAGATTTAGCTTGTTGTTGTTGTCATGATGAACTCTTGTTATAAGCTTTTAGTGTAAGTCGGGTAGCATCCTTGGTCAGAAAAGAAAATTTACATGTTTTGATGATGAGACCAATTTCCTACATGGTTGTGTTTGAAGATGCAAGTAGCATGTAATCAAGGAAGTTCCAAATAAAGTAGAATACATCATGGCTGTCTTTTGATGTATTTGCAAGCTTTGTTATTACCTTTGGATGCATACAGACTTCATTTGACGCTAATTTGGAGAATTTTGTCTTATTTTCTGTTCATACTGTAAGCTGTATGTATTCTGTTTTTTTTTTCTCATCAGCTATAAATTACTGCAGTACACTTCTAAGCAAAAGAACACAGCTTTGCCGGTTGCAGCAACAATACTGAACACAACAAGAACACGCGTGGCAAAATTTCTATTACTAGAATTTCACCAAATTCCGACAAAAAAGGTGGAGAAATCATAAGAACAAAATCACGCTATCCACTGAAAATTTCCAGGAAGAATTGCAAATCAACTCCCCTTGTGATCAGTGGCCGCTGTTCACGACAGCGCAGTTCCTCCTGATCTCCCCCTCCGATCCGGTCTTGACCTGCACCGCGCCCAGCGTCGCCATCGACCGGCCGAACACCTGGAAGAACACCTCCGGCGGGCTCGCCACGACGCCGGCGATGTCCGCCCGCCCCGCCACGTCGGTGGCGAGCGCGGCGTTGGACCGGAGCAGGCCGCGGTGTTAGAGTATATGATAGTTAAAGTTATATTAGGATATGATTGGTTTGTTTGGATTCCTTCCATATCTATAATACTTCCTTATTTCTTCCTCCTATATATATTGGATCCCCTGAGACTCAATACAATATGTCCCACGTTACGCAGTATACCTCTCCTATACTATACAACATAGTATCAGAGCGGGTGATCTAAGGCCAATGCCGCTCACGCTTCCGCTCGTCCCCCCCGGAGGGTTTCGATCTCCCGGGGGCGGCCACCCGTTTCCTTTTTTTTTCGCTCGTCGAGTCTTCGCGGCCTGCCTCCCCAGAGGAGTCAATCTCCGGGCTGCGGCCGCGGCCTGTCCGTCGTCATCTTCGCGTCAGCAGGCCCTCCGTCACCGTCCCCCGCGCCCTCAGATTCGTCTACACCGCCAGCGTGTACGTCGCCGGGTCACCCCTCCACCGGCGCGCTGCTCCCAACGGCGCCACCCCCGTGCCGGTGGCTCCCGACGCCACCAGCCTCCTCGACTCCGCCGCGACCACGTGGTGACCACCGCGCCAACGGCCGACCTCAGCTCCGCCCTGCCGGCATCTGGAGGACGCCAGCAGGGCCCTGCGCCTCACCACTGCCGGCCGCCACCAAGCTCCGGCTGCGTCGGCTCCCGGTCCCTGCCGGTCAAGCACGCCGCCCTCCCCGCGCCACGTCTCCAGGAACAACCGGTCTCCTCTCATTCCCTTCCAATGGTCTGTCTGCACGTGTCACATGTGTGGGTGGATAAGTTTTGGGGGGATAGCTGGCTACTGGTACGGCTGAGGCAAAAGGTTAGCTGGACTTTGGCCTATGTACCGGACCATCGAGCAACAGGGGATGCTACCGTACTGTTGCTGCTTGTATTTTTTTTTCGCCCACAAGAGACAATTCTTTTTAGCCTCTAAGAGACAAAAAGAAGAGCCTAACAAGGACCTTGAGATAACAGCCCATTCATAGAACGGGTTTGCGTCGCCCACCGCCTCGTCGACATCTACGCGTCTCCGATATCGGTATCGACTCTGCTTCGACTTTATCGTTCCGCCTCGCGCATCTTCGGCTTGATCACCCGTTCAAGCGCCCGGCTACAACGACTTCTACAACCGATCGGCATCAAGCACGCGTCTACACTATCAAACTTCGGGTTGCCGCTGCATCGCCCTCTTGGGCTGCAGTGTCGCCGCCCATGGTCCACCTCCACTGGTTGTTGGAACACTGAGAGGCAACACCTCCACTGCCTCGCCCGCGCGGTATTGGCAACACCGGCGCGCGTGTTCGTCCCGAGTTGTCCCCGGGTCTGGCAAATCCGGCATGACGTCTCGTCTTTCACGGTTCGACTACATCGGCTCTTCGGCATCATCTTCCTCAACGACTGCCGCGATTGTGTCACCGTCTTCGTCTCCCGCGCATCCTCGCGCACCTTGGTCCACGATGCCCCTCCCGTGCGTCCACGACCACTCTACGACGGCCCATGCGCGCTCCGCGGCTCGGCTACCTCGACATCTATTTTTCGACCACAGCACTCTTGCCGGTTTCTTCTCCAGTCTAAGTGTCCGCACTGCTCACGCTTGGACTGCGGGGGGATGTTAGAATATATGGTAGTTAGAGTTATATTAGGATAGGATTGGTTTGTTTGGATTCCTTCCATAAGTGTAATCCTTCCTTATTTCTTTCCCATGTACTCCTGTATATATCGGCCCTCTGAGGCTCAATACAATATGTCCCATGTTACGCAGTATACCTTTCCTATACTATTCAACACGTGGTGCCTGAGCACCGTGCGGTAGTAGCCGAGGTCGAACGTCAGGTGGCTGCCGGGGTCCATCTCCACCACGCCGTCGCCGGCTGTCCTGCACTTGCGCTCACGCAGGTTGGCGGCGTCCAGCGGCGGCGGGTCGGTGCTGTTGCTGTTGGCATTGCCAGCGCCGCCGCCGCCATAGAGGCGGTCGGCGAAGGATGGTGTGCGCACCTGCGCGATCGGATGCAATTTTTCAGAAATCATTTTACATCCAAGAATTCATTGTGATAATGTCACACATGTGTCCTCATTCTTGCACAAAAACAAGCTTGAATTTTTATGATGTTGGCTTGCTGTAGATCGCCATTTTCGGGACATGAATCGAGCATCCAAACGATTGGGTTGAAATGCAATTTTTTTAATGAAAAAATCAACGTAATTTTTCCCCTGTTGATTGTCAACAAAGAATCTATAAAATTTTCTCAAGACATGCATGAGAGAGTCTGCAGCTAATTTCAAATTTTCGGTTGATTTGATGCTCTAACATATGAGATTATATAAAGCTAATTTTTGTTCAGTTTATTATACCAGTCATAAATCATAACAGTATAAAATTGACTATAGTCACCAATTATAGTGACCCTCCCCAACTATTGAAACCAGGGTAATTTAACTCACAATACAGTATTGATAGTGGTATTTACTAACGTGACTTCTACGTGGCATCCCAAACATCAAATAAATTTAAAAACTAAGTAGGGCTCGCCTGTCAACCCCCCCCCTCCCCTCCCCTCCCTTCTACCCCTCTACTAACCTCTGTCCACCTCTCTCTCCCCATTTCTTCTTCTTGGCCTAACAGCAGCAGGGTGCCGAGACGACGACGGGGAGCAGCGGGATGATGGCGAGGCTCTCCTTTCTCTCCCACCCCGGTCCCTTCTGTCCAGGCGCTAGTGGAGGAGTGGCCGGCCGAGTGAGATGCGGGGTGGCAGTAGGCAGCGAGCCCGGGTGGTCCTCATCATCCTGGCCGGGTCGCCTGAGTTCGAGTTCTTGGATGGTGGGGAAGAACCCCTCCTCGTTCCAGTCCCTAGAATTCGAGTTCAAGTTCTAGATAGTGGGAAAGAACACTGCGAGATGACCACAGCATGCCTGCTGTCACCGTCGTGCGGGTATCACGGCCCGATTGGCTCCGCAAAGCCATTGCGTGGGTGTCACGGGAGCACGAATGAGCCGCTGTGGCACGTCATCCTCTCTCCCCTCTCCCTCGTACATCTCCACCTCTTTCCTCATATATCTCCACCTCTTCCCTCACTCTTCTTGTGGGCTCTGGCGGTGTGACGACCAGCAAGACCATGGGCAGTGCCTAGCGGAAGATGAACCAAAGATGGCAGCGACCATCGCAAGTCTCAACTTAAGAGTGATGAGCATGCTCTCCCTCCTCCCGACCACGCGCCAACCATGACGCTGCCGCCATCACCGCCACCGCGCCGCGCCGTGCTGCTCGACCATTATCCTCCTAGTTGTGCGTGCACCCTTATATCTCCCCTCCCTTCCCACTCGGGGATTCTCTCTCACTTTCATCTAGTGCGTGACGGAGCGCTGGCGGTACACCAGTCCCCCAGCCCCTTCTCTAGCGTCGGTGGCACACTAGTCCCCCAACCTCCTCTTTGGCGCCGGTGGCTACCTCCGGCCCGGGCCCTTGCCACTGCTCCCTCCCTCGCCACTGCCGATGGGGGGGGGAATGGAGATAGATATTAGATAGGGAGGGGGATAGTGAGTATGACAAGTGGGTGATATATTTTCTTTTTAAAAAAAATATTTTTTTTAAAAAAAAATCTCTAGTCACTTACATATGGACCTTCAATTTCTACTTTGTGACTATGCTACCATATCAACACAGAGTTGACCAAGTCAACGAGCAATGTCAGCGAAAACCGTTGAGAAAGTCAAATTGTACCGGTTTAAATAACTAGAGGTCCAAGGTATTCAAGATCACTAATTAGCGATCGATCGCCCCAGACGATCATTTTTCTTTTCATCACTTTCCCTTTTTTACACCATATAGTTTTTCTTTTGGTAAGTTTATATACTTAAAGTTTCTACATCTAAAGTTTACGCACCTAAATTTTAAACACCCAATTCAAATTTAAATTCGGATTTAAATTTGTAGAGCGAATATTTATAAGTCAAAAGTTTATATAGCCGATTTAAATTCAAATTCGGATTCAAATAATTTATATATAGAATATTTCTATACATAAAGTTTATGCGTGCAAAGTTTACGGTATAACCTAAAGTTTATCCGTTTGTAGAGCGAATGTTTATAAGTCAAAAGTTTATATACCTGATTCAAATTCAAATTCGGATTCAAATATTATATATATAGAATATTTATATACATAAAGTTTTATGCGTGCAAAGTTTTACGGTATAAAGTCTATGCACATGAATGAGAGTATTAGATGAAATTTATGATGAAAGGAGGGAAGGGAGAGGAGTATAAGGGGTTGATCTCCCGCCCATTTGGGGCTCGGTATTGAGGTTGTGGAGTACGATTAAGATTGGAGCCGTATTTGAGGGAGTCAATGTGGACTTATTGCAAGCCAGAAAGCCGACGTTTCCGCGGAGTTCTCAATTGGGCCCACAACGGCCCATATAACTTGGTCCGGAACGGGATTGCATGGTAGGAGCGGCCCACGTTGTGTGTGACGACGCCGACTCCCTCGACAGGCCGCCGCAGCGTGGCTTGCCACTACCCCCGCGCTTCGCTGTGTCCGCTTTCCCAGCACAGATCAAATGGCCGCCACCTCCGGCGAGCTCCTCACCCACGCAACCATGGTGCTCTCGCTCTCTCCGATTCTCCAGCACAAACCGACGGCGAGCTGCCCTCCTTATCCTCCGATGTCGGATTTAAGCAAAGGCGAGATAAGGATCTGCCATCTCCTTATAATAAATAGTACTATTAGCATCCATTTGATATTGGCAATTCGGCTTTGTGTATAACATCATTGGTGATGTGGAATGGTGACGCTGTCAGTCAGTCAGTCAAAGTAATCAACCGCGTGGGGTGCTTTTATCTCGTGAATCTTTCCTTTCCAAGATGGGTGGTGAGCTGCGCAATAGATTAGAGAGTTGGGTGCCCATTATCATTATATTGTCATTATAAATTCATCCATCCTGCAAAGTTTTTCTTGACGCCGAGCATGTCAATGGGCAAACCAATCCTCACTCAGTCTCGGTCTCTTCGCCCGGGTGACCGATAGTGGCATGTTAATGCAGCTTTAGCTTCCAACTTTCAGTTAGAAATTGATCCCACGGCCTCCCTTCAATTTTACTTTTTTTCTTTTTGTTTAACACTTGTTTAGCTTGCATATGTTTTTTAAATATTTCGTCAGTACATAGTCATCCTGTAGCAACACCCAGAATATGTGTACAAAGTGCTACCTACGGAGTATTTGACACTGGGAATTCAACTTATTATCAACAATTCTTATCTATACTAACATCCTTGGTGATGAGACAGTCAAGTCATCAACTATGTGGACTGTGGAGTGTCTTTATTCTGTGAATTTTCCCCCAGCCATATAAACATTCCATGGTCTGGTATGTCCCTCATGGTCCATCTGTCTAGCCGAGCCCGGAGCTTTACTGAGGCCGTTTTTAGTTCCTTTTTTATTTTTTTTAAAGTATACAGACACACATTTGAATTATTAAACATAGACTAATAACAAAACAAATTACAGATTCCACCTATAAACTGCGAGACGAATCTATTAAGCCTAATTAATCCGTCATTGGAAAATGTTTACTGTAGCACCACATTATCAAATCATGGCGTAATTATGCTCAAAAGATTCGTCTCGCAATTTACATGCAAACCGTGTAATTAGTTTTTTTTCCACATTTAATGCTTCATGCATATGTCCAAATATTTAATGTGGTGAAATTTTTGAAAGTTTGAAAGGAACTAAACACGGCCTGAGTCATCTGTACGCCTGCCAGCCCATATGCATGATCTGAGCAACCTTGCAGGCTCTGCTGCGTTGATGGTCAGTCAACTTCACTCAACAAGTCACTCACTCCAGTCCCAGTCAATCTAGGTGGCTTACAGTATTTGAATGAATTTGCTATACTATTATATAGGAGTATTCTCCAACCGATCCTTCCTCTCGGACGCAGCAATGGCAATGGCAATGACGATGCTCTTTAGAATCTGAGTCTTTCTGCTGCTGTTTTGCACAGCTAAGGCTACTGATGATTCAGGAGCAGAAACTGAAGCAGAAGCACTCCTCCGATGGAAGTCCACTTTGATCGACGCCACCAACTCGTTGTCGTCATGGTCGATTGCCAACTCCACCTGCTCTTGGTTCGGTGTCACCTGTGACGCCGCCGGCCATGTCACTGAGCTCGACCTTCTTGGTGCCGACATCAATGGTACGCTTGACGCTCTCTACTCTGCTGCATTCGAAAACCTCACCACCATCGACCTCAGCCACAATAATCTTGATGGTGCCATTCCAGCAAATATTTCTATGTTGCACACCCTCACCGTTCTAGATTTGAGCGTCAATAATCTTACTGGTACGATCCCCTACCAACTCAGCAAGCTCCCTAGACTCGCCCACTTAAATCTTGGAGATAACCACTTGACCAATCCGGAATATGCCATGTTCTTCACACCCATGCCCTGTTTGGAATTCCTATCTCTATTTCACAATCATCTCAATGGTACTTTTCCAGAATTCATCCTCAATAGCACTAGTTTGAGGATGGAGCACCTCGATTTATCGGGTAATGCTTTCTCAGGGCCCATACCAGATTCACTACCAGAGATTGCTCCAAATTTGAGGCATCTAGATCTGTCGTACAATGGATTCCATGGGTCCATACCACATTCACTCTCAAGGCTGCAAAAGCTCCGAGAACTATATCTGCACAGAAACAACCTCACCCGAGCAATCCCAGAGGAGCTTGGGAACCTAACCAATCTTGAGGAGCTGGTCCTGTCAAGCAACCGGTTAGTTGGAAGTTTGCCACCATCTTTTGCCAGGATGCAACAATTATCATTTTTTGCGATAGACAATAACTACATCAATGGTAGTATCCCGTTGGAGATGTTTTCAAACTGCACTCAGCTCATGATTTTTGATGTTTCCAACAACATGTTAACTGGAAGCATCCCATCACTGATCAGCAACTGGACACACCTACAGTACTTGTTCCTCTTCAACAACACATTTACCGGTGCAATCCCAAGGGAGATAGGAAACTTAGCACAATTACTTTCAGTGGACATGTCACAAAATCTCTTTACCGGAAAGATACCATTAAATATCTGCAATGCATCTTTGCTATACCTTGTAATCAGTCACAACTATCTGGAAGGTGAGCTCCCTGAATGCTTGTGGAATTTGAAAGATCTCGGATACATGGATTTGTCAAGCAACGCTTTTTCTGGAGAAGTTACAACCTCAAGTAACTATGAATCCTCCCTAAAATCACTGTACCTGTCAAATAATAACTTATCGGGTCGTTTTCCAACGGTATTGAAGAACCTCAAAAACCTAACTGTGTTGGATCTTGTGCATAATAAGATTTCTGGTGTGATTCCTTCATGGATTGGGGAAAGCAATCCTTTGCTGAGGATTCTCCGATTACGATCAAACTTGTTCCATGGAAGTATTCCTTGTCAACTGTCAAAACTCTCCCAACTCCAACTGCTTGATCTGGCTGAAAATAATTTTACAGGTCCTGTACCAAGTAGTTTCGCCAACTTATCCTCCATGCAGCCTGAAACAAGAGACAAATTCTCCTCCGGTGAAACATATTACATTAACATTATTTGGAAGGGAATGGAGTACACTTTTCAGGAAAGAGATGATTGTGTTATTGGTATTGATCTTTCAAGCAATTCTCTCTCTGGTGAGATCCCTTCAGAGTTGACAAATCTTAGAGGCCTTCAGTTCTTAAATATGTCAAGAAATGTTCTATATGGTGGCATCCCAAATGACATTGGCCATCTACATGTTGTAGAGTCTCTTGACCTCTCTTGCAATAGACTCTTGGGTCCTATTCCTCCTAGCATATCAAACTTGACGGGCCTCAGCAAGCTTAATCTCTCGAACAACCTTCTATCAGGAGAGATACCTATAGGTAATCAACTCCAAACACTGGATGACCCATCGATTTATGCCAACAACCTGAGGCTTTGTGGATTTCCTTTGAAAATTCCATGCTCAAACCATTCAAATTCTACGAGTACACTAGAAGGGGCAAAAGAACATCACCAAGAACTGGAAACTCTATGGCTGTACTGCTCAGTAACTGCAGGAGCTGTCTTTGGTGTTTGGCTGTGGTTTGGAGCACTGTTTTTCTGTAATGCATGGAGGCTTGCTTTCTTCAGTCTCATCGATGCCATGCAGCAGAAACTTATGCAAACATAACTCATCTGAGTAATATGCTCTGCTTCTCAAGTTCTCATTGAGTCCACCTGAGCGTGTGTATTAGTGTCACATTATGTCAGCACTGCACCAAGATCTAAGGTTCAGTAGGTATTATCCCTTTATTTCAGCCATCGATGAGATGTAATTTTCTGTTGCCAGATTTGGCTTGTTGTTCTTGTGATGATGAACTCTTGTTACTAGCTTTTAGTGTAAGTCGGGTAGCATCCTTGGTCAGAAAAAAAGAACATGTTTTGGTGATGAGACCAATTTCCTACATGGTTGTGTTTGAGATGAAAGTAGCATGTAAGCCAGGAAGTTCCAAATAAAGTAGCATACATCATGGCTGTCTTTTGATGTATTTGCAAGCTTTGTTATTACCTGTGCATGCATACAGACTTCATTTGACGCTAATTCGGAGAATTTTGTCTTATTTTCTGTTCATACTGTAAACTGTATGTATTCTGTTTTTTTTTTCTCATCAGCTATAAATTACTACAGCACACTTCAAAGCAAAAGAACACAGCTTTGCCGGTTGCAGCAACGACACTGAACACAACAAGAACACGCGCAGCAAAATTTCTACTAGAATTTCACCAAATTCAAATGACAAAAGTGAAGAAATCGTAAGAACAAAATCACGCTATCCCAGGAAGAATTGCAAATCAACTCCCCTTTTGATCAGTGGCCGCTGTTCACGACAGCGCAGTTCCTCCTGATCTCCCCATCGGAGCCGGTCTTGACCTGCACCGCGCCCAGCGTCGCCATCGACCGGCCGAACACCTGGAAGAACACCTCCGGCGGGCTCGCCACGGCGCCGGCGATGTCGGCCCGCGCCGCCGCGTCGGTGACTAGCGCGGCGTCGGACCGGAGCAGGCCGCGGTGCCTGAGCACCGCGCGGTAGTAGCCGAGATCGAACGTCAGGTGGCTGCCGGGGTCCATCTCCACCACGCCGTCGCCGGCCGTCCTGCACTTGCGCTCACGCAGGTTGGCGGCGTAGGCGGCGTCCAGCGGCGGCGGGTCGGTGTTGTTGCCGTTGGCATTGCCGGCGCCGCCGCCGCCGTTGTAGAGGCGGTCGGCGAAGGACGAGCAGTGGGCGATGCCGATGGTGTGCGCGCCTGCGCGATCGGATGCAATTTTTCAGAAATCATTTTACACCCAAGAATTCATTGTGATAATGTCACACATGTGTCCTTAACTCCTCATTCTTGCACAAAATCATGCTTGAATTTTTATGATGTTGGCTTGCTGTAGATCGCCATTTTCTGGACATGAATCGAGCATCCAAATTTTCGGTTGATTTGATGCTAACTTACGAGATTATATAAATCTATTTATTTCAGTTTATTTACATTGGTCATAAATCATAACTGTAGAAATTATGACATTGCTGAACAAGTTAAGTCAGTTCAATGGTAGATAAAATTGACTAGTCATCAACACGAACTGACAGATAGAAAGCAACTATTATTCGTGCTCCTTTTGCATGCAGACATGCAGATGCCTAGTCAGCAAACAAAGGATTGGAAATTCAGACACAAAGCTTTCCTCTCTGAAATTAATCTTACAGCTTCTACATTATGTCTCCCACCGACAGTGCAGATTAATTACATGCTAATAGTGTAGTTTGGATCTGATTAACTAGAGTAATCTGTTTAGTTTAGCTGATAACTGAGATTAATTACATGCTAACAGTGTAATTTGGACCTGGTTAACTAGAGTAATCCAAGTTGTTTAGTTTGTGCAGATAAGTGGTACTAAGTATCCTCGGTTTCATAATATAAGTTGTTTCGAATTTTTTTTGTCAAATTTCTTGAAAATTTGATCAAATCTCTACAATTATAAAAATTAAAGATATTTCCGCGATCTGTTATCTGTGTTTGAGTCGGTTTTAATTTTATATTTTGATTTTAATCTATAACTCTATCTCTTGTCTACTATTATAAAAATTGAAGATGTTTTTACCGGTACTTTGGTACGTCATCTTTGTATGAGTCGATTTTTAAGTTCGTTTGCTTTTGGAAATACAGATCCGTATTTGAGTCAGGTTTTAAGTTCGTTCGCTTTTGGAAATACAGTCATATAAGAAATCTCAATAAAAAACTCACATGCTAACTTGGCATGATTTTCTAGAAAAATATATATCCAAGCGAATTCTCACGGTGAATTTCAGAGTGAACAATAATAAGATTAAAATAGACTTCACCCATTACAACGCACGGGCATTTTTTCTAGTTTATAAAAAAAATATAACACTCATAACACCAAATTAATTTCATTACATCTAACATTTAACATATTTTGATAATTTCTTTGTTATAGGTTAAAAATATTGCTATGTTTTTCAAACCTAAATAAGTTTGGCTTAGAAAATAATCAAAATGACTTATAATATGATGAAACGAGGATAGTAATTAATAATGTGAATTAATGAATTCGTTCATAATCGTCACGTACCTGACAGCCAGACAAGGTCACGCACGCTGAGGCCCTTGGTGGCGAACAAGCCGGCGAGCTCCGGGAAGCTCATCGCCGGCGAGGGGATCTCCGCGAGCGCCTCCTGCATGCTCGACACCGTGCCATCCCTCCTCCCCGTCGGCACGCGCCACGACGGCCCTCCCTGCAGAGCATGTTCAGCATCGTCAGGCTCCGGCCAGTGCGCGCGGCGCGCGGCGACCGTGGCGAGCGCTCGAGAGCTTACGATGGCGGCGACGGCGTCGCGGGCGGCGAGCGCGAGGACGTCGGCGCAGGAGACGACGCCCGGGCAGGCCGCCTCCACGAGGCCCTTGACGCGGTCGATGAGGTCGAACCCTCGCAGCGTCTGGTTCGGCGCCGCGTCCTTCTCCGCCGCGCCGCCATTGCCGGTCGAGTTGAGGAGGATGGACGCGTCGCAGCCCTTTTTGACAAACGCACAACACATTCCATCAAACACATTGCAGACATTGCACGCGCATCAATGGCGGCCGCGCGGCGCGGCGCGGCGCACGTACCCTGACGAAGCAGTCGTGGTAGTGCAGCCGGAGGAGCGCGGCGGCGACGGTGGGGACGCGGCCGACGTGCTGCCGGACGTACTCCCCGACGATCCGCTCCGCCGCGGGGCAGCTCTCGTCGTAGAACCCCATCCTGAGCTGCGCGCGCGCGCCGCCGATCACGCCGGCGCCGAGGACGACGATGGCCGCCACTCCGAGCCGGATCACCGCCATTGGCACGCCGCCCGCGCGTCGCCTCCTCGTGCTCGCCATTGCCGCCCACTCGACTACTCAACTCAACTTAACTCAACTCAAAACTTGTGAAGTGAACCGCTTATATACACTAGTATTTATAGTCCTGAGCTTACTTAACAGACATTTCTTCAGAGAGTGAGATTACTTCAAACTTAGTTCGAAATCTATTTTTTGAGAGAAAAATGCAGTATAAAAAGCAGGGTAATTTAACTTGGATTCGCCAATGATTTTGAAAGGAACAGTGAAAAATATGCCTCCACATGCACGCACGCAAAATGGAACCGGGAGAAGCGTGTGACAGTGTCACTTGATTCCTCTATCTATTTCTTTCGCTTTAATTTCTCTGCTTTATATCTAGCTTCTTTTAGTCTTTTTCGAATCATGTTTAACTTTTGCAATCTTGATGATGAATTGATGGGTGATCGATTGGTACATCGTGGGTGGAAGAAAGAGCAAGAAAAGAACTTGATCCTTTCCTCCTCTTTCCTGCCATTGCCTTGCTTAGGCAAGGTTCCAAAGCTCTGAAGCTTCCTCCTCCCTTTTGTCAGACTTTTGGCTTGGATCATTTTTTGGATTGGAAAGTATTTGTCATTGCTTGATAGGTTGCTGTTTGGTAATTTTTAGTGCCACCACCGACAACAGGGTTGATCGGGATTGTTAAATCATGCATTCCTGGTCACAATTCGCAATCACATTCATGTGGAATAAAATTGATGAACACGCTTTGCTGAGAAAAAGGAAGAAGAGTGAACTAATACGTTTTTCAATTTCGGTGTATACATTATAAGCTTTATATTACCAAGGGGCAAGGGAAAGTTTAGTAAATTATCGCGTATGGCACAGCCACGGATCAAAAACAATGTGAGCTCAAATGCTATGTCTCGGAAACATGTCCACCTCTCCATCTTCTATTTGTGTTCCAATGCTTATGTCAATCAATCAGATTTTGGTGATGCACGCATCAGAGAGAATTTTTCCCCTAGCCGTGATTTTCCTTTCTTTCTAACGGTTTTGAAATTGCAAGTATTGGAGTATATCATCATTCTACTATTATCTTCCAATGCTACGAAATAGAGAAATCAAGCAGCGAAGAAACAAAAAGATGTTACATGAGATGACAAATTAAAGCCCAATTACCTCGAATCATATATCAAATTGAATGTCGCAAAGATTTCAACACACGCCTACAGCGTTCTGAAAAGAAAGCCCAAATGCTCATAGTGGCTCCAAATATAAATCAGGACAGCATAGTCCTTCCAGCATCACTTCCCTCCAGAATAATCTTTTATATCCCATAGGCCATTGCAAAGCTCATTAAGATAAAAGTAAATGACGATTTAATAAGAATATGCAGCATTTTCAAACTTGCAACTCAGATAAAACATCAACAGGAATGAGATGCAAATGAGCAAATTGAGCACATATTTAGGTTCAAATCCAACTTATTCATAAAGCATACTGCTGTCCCACAGGAAACTGTTTCATAAAACTAACATATCATACGGACTCGATGGTCCATTAAACCAGACACAAGTAGACATCAGCACCACAAATACTTGACGAACAGAGGCTCGGGACGACCAGGCACATCGGCAGCTCCACCAAACTGGCTGATTACTGACCACCACGGAGGCGGAGCACCAGGTGGAGGGTGGACTCCTTCTGGATGTTGTAGTCGGCGAGGGTGCGTCCATCCTCCAGCTGCTTGCCAGCGAAGATCAGACGCTGCTGGTCTGGGGGAATCCCCTCCTTGTCCTGGATCTTGGCCTTCACATTATCAATGGTGTCGGAGCTCTCAACCTCCAAAGTGATGGTCTTCCCAGTCAAGGTCTTCACGAAGATCTGCATACCACCACGGAGACGAAGCACCAGGTGGAGGGTAGACTCCTTCTGGATGTTGTAGTCGGCGAGGGTGCGGCCATCCTCGAGCTGCTTGCCGGCGAAGATGAGACGCTGCTGGTCTGGGGGGATGCCCTCCTTGTCCTGGATCTTGGCCTTGACGTTGTCGATGGTGTCCGAGCTCTCAACCTCCAGGGTGATGGTCTTGCCTGTGAGGGTCTTGACAAAGATCTGCATACCACCACGAAGGCGGAGCACAAGGTGGAGGGTGGACTCCTTCTGGATGTTGTAGTCAGCAAGGGTCCTGCCATCCTCCAGCTGCTTGCCAGCAAAGATGAGGCGCTGCTGGTCCGGGGGAATGCCCTCCTTGTCCTGGATCTTGGCCTTGACATTGTCGATGGTATCAGAAGACTCCACCTCGAGGGTGATGGTCTTGCCGGTCAGAGTCTTCACGAAGATTTGCATGCCTCCCCTGAGACGGAGGACAAGGTGAAGCGTTGACTCCTTCTGGATGTTGTAGTCAGCAAGGGTCCTGCCGTCCTCAAGCTGCTTGCCGGCAAAGATGAGACGCTGCTGGTCCGGGGGAATGCCCTCCTTGTCCTGGATCTTGGCCTTGACGTTGTCGATGGTGTCAGAAGATTCCACCTCGAGGGTGATGGTCTTGCCGGTCAGTGTCTTGACAAAGATCTGCATGCCACCACGGAGGCGGAGGACAAGGTGGAGGGTGGACTCCTTCTGGATGTTGTAGTCAGCAAGGGTCCTGCCATCCTCCAGCTGCTTGCCGGCGAAGATGAGACGCTGCTGGTCTGGGGGGATGCCCTCTTTGTCCTGGATCTTGGCCTTGACGTTGTCGATGGTGTCAGAAGACTCCACCTCAAGGGTGATAGTCTTGCCGGTCAGAGTCTTGACAAAGATCTGCATGCCACCACGGAGGCGGAGGACAAGGTGAAGGGTCGACTCCTTCTGGATGTTGTAGTCAGCAAGGGTCCTGCCATCCTCCAGCTGCTTGCCAGCGAAGATGAGACGCTGCTGGTCCGGGGGGATGCCCTCCTTATCTTGGATCTTAGCCTTGACATTATCGATGGTGTCAGAGGACTCCACCTCGAGGGTGATAGTCTTGCCGGTCAATGTCTTCACAAAGATCTGCATCTGCAAGAAATAATCACCAAACAGATAGGGTAAGAACTAGCACAAGATTAAGGACACAACAACGGATCAAACAGCAAACATATTCCAACAGAACATACATGTATTCAAAAAGATAGTAACAGGCACATCACACATGTATTCAGATAGGTAGTAACAGCACACGTATCCTGAACTTCAGAAATAAGTAGAATGAACTAGTGGCAATAATCTTCACACAGATAGTAAAAAGAAATTACCACAATAGATTATATAGATGAACTACAGATTGTAACATGATATTACTACAGATTGTAACATGATATTCTAATATAGTTCTTAGCATAAATTACTGGCAGATAGTAACATGAGATCATTATGACAGATATAGCGACAAGACTTCCTATTTACCATTGACAATTAATTAAAAGAGTTCATCATTATCTAATCTGTGAACATATGAAATCAAATCGAAACGCACAAGCTACATAATTGAACCATGTCTAAGAAGAACTACCCTACAGATCTACATCAAACACAAAACAGATATAACATATTAAAGCCTGTGTTTGCACCAACCCATGGCACCAATAACTCAATCAAGAGCGGAACAGTAGATCTGAACATGCTCGCAACAAGGCCTACAAGATGGAACACGCTACAAATCGCACCAATCACTCAGGCATGACTAGTTCCACAATTCCCCAACAGATCTACACCGATTTCCCCAATCGAATCATCCAACAATTCATCTAACCGTAAAAATTCCCCCCAATCATCAGAACCAACATCCAATCCCAAAACCTAACCACGATTCCACCTATCGAACCAACCGTGCCCAAATCACAACCATCAGATCTACAACCCCTAAACATCTCACGATAATCACATCGACAACCCTAACCACCAATCGGATCTAGCAACAAAACAACCTCACCCGTCCGAAATCGAATCGAAACGAAGCGAGGAGAGGAGAAGCAGCGTACCTTGAGGACGCGAGAGGATTCGATTCGACGACGAGAGCCTCGCGAGATTGGGGAGAAATTTTTCGGGGGTGGAGCTGATGCGAGGAGAGGAGATGAGGGGGCTGGTATTTATGGCGGTTGGGTGGTGGGAGGAGTCCCGTGCCGTGACGTCTCCGTCTGCTTGGAGAATCCGCCACGCTGAAACCACCGCGGTTTCCGGGAAGACGAGGCGGGCGAGCGAGCGGTTGGGAAATTTCGAGAAGATGCCGTTTGTCTCCGTTTGGTACACGTCTCGTTGATTTTTTTTGAGTGAATTACGCTTTGGACCACATTTTATTATCTATAAGTTTTACTTTGGACTACCTTTAAACATATCTTTTCACTTTGAACCAGATAAATTTGCTATTGTTGCGATTTGGATTTTTTTTTCTCGTGCAATCAACGACCTTAAACACATCAGCTCTAGTATACGGCCGATCTCCTCTATATATGGTTCATATGTTTGCTGAAAGGGAAGTTAGACATGACGAAAAGTTGTTCATGGTAGTCCAAACCACAACCCGGCCCAAATTGAAAAGATAGGTTTAAGGGTGATCCAAATTGAGACTTAGGTAATAAAAGGTGGATCAAAGTGCAATTTACTTTTTTTTTACTGTAATTTCTTCTGGCTGGTTTGTTGGTCGCCGTTAGGACCGGGTGACGCCGTCAACCCCGCGCCTCCGTATTTGCTGACGTGGGGTGGCGCGCTGGCTTCCGCCTTGACCCGAATTTGTTTTCCTTCCGTTAAAAAAATGGTTTTCCTTTTCTTAAAAAGGAAATAGTTTGTTTTTTAAGTCTGTGTATTAGGATTATTACACTTGAATTTTGGTATATGTGTAGGATAATTTACTGCATGTTTATAATAGAGTTGTACTATAGATGAAATAACCCAATTTTTGGTATAATTCGTGTTTGGTTGGAGGTCAAAATAACAGGTTATTTTGTGAAGAAAAAACTCCGTAGTATAGTACCATATCCATCATGAATACACATACTGCCTAGACGAGTGATTAGGATGAATCCATGTTATATTCCTCAAAATAATATAAACCACTTGATCTTATGATCTTATCCAATCTGTTCATATAAACTGGAGATATAAGATGGTGCATTTCCCTTTTGATTTCTTTTGTTGACGGCCATGAGATAGGTTTGCATCCACTGCATTTATATTTCGGACCAATACAATGCACCTATTGATACATGGGGACAGCTCAACTAACCATGATGCAAATTGCTGGTTGGTGACCAGTTCTTGGCATTATGATAATGATAGGATTAAAAAAAACAGTGCAATGTCTCGGAAAGAAACCATGACAAAGGGTACATGTTGCATTCCAGTTTCTAATGATAAAATTATGTGCCAGCAATTCAAAAATCATGCGTGTTCCCTACGCACCATTCTTTGCAATAAACAAGTGCATGCACAATATGATTGTGCTAAGGGTCAAGAACTTGTTGCAGTGGCTAAGTTTTGGATAAGACCAATGAACAAACAGTACTAGTAGTTTGTTTTATGAAATTTGCATTTCTGCAGCTGTTTTCTAACAATTTCATACGGCAGCCTATGCTGATTCACTTGGACATTGCCCCCTCCATAATTCTAATCTTTGGTTCCAAATAAAATCATGTGTAACCAAACTGTTGTAGTATGAATTATGGATTGGTGTCCTTTTTTTTCCCTCCGGACTCCTATTGGCAATGTAAGACTATATGAAGTATCAGATGCCACTCGGTTGGAGATTTAACTGAATTTGACATGAATAGGCAAGATCACACAAACTAAAGTGCTCCAGAACAAAAACATGCAGATTAGGCTACCAACACCAGCCTGAAACTGTTCATGGACTTGCTGCATACAAACAACACAGTATATACCATGAGCCCTACAAGGCTATATGAATACTGCTGAGAAAGGGAGAAAAAGGTGAGGTAAGAATGTAGAAATTAATAGATACTGTAAACAAACTGATATTCCAATACTACCATCATCTTGACAACAGCTTGCTTAAATCAGAAATCCACAGTTACCAACAGTAATATAACAAGAGTTAACTTCAACAGTATTTATTTGTGCAACTTAAAAGACACCATAGGAAGCCTTGAAGCTATCACCCCTATGCTGAAGTACTGAAATGAGAGGAAACCATGTCGTTCACTCCTTTTTCCCGACTCCATGAGACATGTTGTACACCCCACGGCCCTGTTTATAAAACAAGAAACATGTCACTGTCTGAACGTAAACAAGACCAGAGAAAACAAGCAACGCAGGAATCAATTAAAAGAACCCCAGACTCACTATCATAAACAAGCTGGAGGCGGCAAGAGCGAGGGGAATGGCAACGGAGGTGACCACATCATAACGCCCTTTCAGATACGTGTGCTTGGTCAAGTTCTGAAAATACTGCTGCTGCTTAAAGAGCCTCTCGCGCGGCAAAAACGGTGATTCTGTCATTCTGCATCACAACAGAAGGAACCAAGACAAATCTATATCAATATGGAAAGAAATTTATCTTTCTTATGGACATTTTTGCATATAAAGAAAAACATACAGAATTAGTATAATTACTGTATTTGACTTTGAGAACTAATGACACTAGAAATCATCACTGTTTTCCTTAAACTGCTTACTTAGAGGAGTACTAACTAACTGCTATGCAGCCATATATAAGTTGTTAAATTTCTCTCATTAGCACCTAAGTTAAAATAATGTTTTTTACAAATTAAAATACAGCTTTAAACATGACACCTAAACACATTTCTTCATGTGAAGCAAATCCATGTGTTGTAAAGCATACAAATTTTTTTTCTTTCATGATTTAAGCCTAACTAGCGAAAGTACCCCAGACAGCGTGAACTGTGATGCAGAAAGAGATTTTAAGCCAAAGAGGTTTCTTGGTCATCATCGCATAGTTTCATGGCTGAACATGGCTCATGACCAGGATTTTATAGAGTTAACAGTTAGTCACTCACAATCTTCAAATCACAAAACCTAAAAAAGGAGGTCTGAAGTATCAAGTATGCAACAAAGCATGCATATGTTACTAAGCAACATTGTATCCGAACAGTCTTACACCTATTCAAAATTACATGACCTCAAACATACATGACAAATTATACACCTAGAGCCTACCACTTCATTCCTACAAGCATAATACAAGAAGTTGACTTGGGCCCAAAACAGAAACAGGTTCGTCATTTGTCAAGCAAGATTGGGCCACACCAATACACAAGAATATTTTATTATGTGAGCATAGCTGAACAATTTCTGCGGGGTTCTGAAAATCATATTGGCATCAGAGTCAACCAAAGACAAACAGATGCTAAACACATACTGGTACAGATCCCCTAGATGTAGCCACGTCACCTTCTTCTCCCCTTTATGGTGAACACCCCTTCCTCCATGCACGATAGCTGAACACCTCTCCCTCTATATGGTGTTGCATAATTTTTCATTCACGCAATACATCTATCACATTTTATCGGTGAGGCAATGAGTTATATATTCGTAACTAATAAGACAATGAATAATTTTAAGTTACGGCATAATGCTATTTTGTAATTTTCACTGTTGATCAGCTAATGAAATACTCCCTCCCTTTTATATAAGAGAAAGGCTCTTTTGTATCTAAGAAAAAGGAGATAGTACTAAAATTAATTCAATTGCAGTAAACATTAGTGTCCAAAGTTTCTGAGAAACAAGTATATAACTACTAATATGTTGCTGTTTCCAGTGTGATATGTTTTCACACAAGATGTTCCTTCTCCAATCAAGGATTGGTTGTCAACTATTGATAGAGCCCCAGAAGCTAATAAGATACAGATTACAGAGTGGCATGTCAAAAGGCAGTATAGGTCCCGGATGCATCATGCATATAGATTGATGTGTTGCAGCGGAGTAAGAATATCAGGATCGAAATGATGTGTGACCCGCTAGAAATCAACCAATGGCTTAGATCAGCTGAAATCCACCAGATTGATTTGGAGGCAACTCCAGGGCATCTGCACCCAAACTGATACAGCGAGATACACATACAAAAACACGCGAGAAATTCCATCCACGCATCACCAAAAAAAAAAAAAAAGGGCCTCAGATTAATAACGCTCCACGAATCGCGCAGGTCGCACCAACATCAATCGCGTCAGGAACTCAAGAAACACGAACAGATCTGCTCCGCCATTAAAACCCCTCCTCTCTCAACTCCCAAGCCTCCCAACCATCACATCGAACATCGAAACAACGAGGCGGAAATACAGGAGGAGGGAAACACCGCACCTTGAGACGGAGGCGGAGGAGGAGGACGACGACGGATTGATTGGACGATCCTTGCAGCGGCTTGGGGGATTTTGGATGGATCGCGGCGAGAGGTGAAACGAAATGGGGGGAGGAGGAGGCAACGACGAAGAAGCAGGAACGGCGACCGAGTCGGGGAGGAGACGTCTTGGGAGGAAAATGGGCCGGATTACTTCTGGCCCAACACCAAATTTTGGGCCAATAATAAGGCCTAGTAGTACTATCAACAGCTGAGGGCGTGTTTGGTTAGCTGCATTTAAGACTATGGCTAATAGGTGGACGATTAGCTGGTATAGACGTGGAAGAGGAAAATCAGATGTGAGAGAAAGAAGCTGGCTCCTTTACAATCGTCCGCTTGGCATGAGCGTCTAGGTGCTTTGACAACCTAGATCCACGTCAAGAGATGGGAGATAGAGTGTACACTAAACCCACATAATATTAAAACAAAATATTAATACTAGAACAAGTGTGTAGAGCCTGCTATAATATAAGATTTAGAGCCGATGGTGGGCTCCTATATTATTCTTGATCTAAGGGTGGCTCACACCTATGTGTGACAGTTATTTGGTTGTCAGTATGACCGTCGGGGTCTAGTTCCAGCATTCCATTCATGCGAAACAAACACCTGATCCAAAATCGCTAGAAACACGAGGAGGTGAGCTTCGTTCCTCATGTAGGTTATGCTCGTGCAGGCACCAGGTCGGTGTAGGAGGTGAGATAGGGTCACACATTGAGTCATCTCTCTTTCTCCAAATGCTAGTTTGTGCCTCCCAATTTGTTGTCGCCTCCATCGTGCCCCCTCACCAGTGGATCCCCTTCCCCCTCCTCTTTGGCTATTTGTAGTATACGGTGAACCACAACCTCACAACCACTAGATCTGATGGTCGTAAGTTCAGTACTATTGGATCTGGTAGTCCCGACCTCAGTTTGGATAAAACATATGAGCCAAGCTAAAGGCATTCGGGTAACCAAACATACTCTTAAAATGTCATGAATTTTCATGTGGGGAATAAATTGATTCATGTGAAATTTGTATTAAGGGATGGTTAGGTTCTCTATTCTATAAAGATTCAGCGGCACCGTTACCTTTTCCCTTTAAGGTTGCGTTCGTTTGTGTCGGTTGGGAGTCTATCCCTCCGGCACGAAAAACGGAACAGCTTATTATCGCATAATTAATTAAGTATTAGCTAAAAGTAGCTTTAAAAATAGATTAATGTGATTTTATAAGCAATTTTCCTATATAATTTTTTTTCAAAGAACACATCATTTAGTAGTTTGAAAAGCGTGCACACGAAAAACGAGGGAGAGGGATTGAAAACCTGCAATGCCGAACACAACCTAAGAAGGGCTTGATTTCTATTAGTAGAGAAAATGTGGCCAACATTTGAGCCCGATTTTATTAGCATTATCAAAAATTGTGTTTGACTAAATTTTGATGAGGTGTTTAGTTTGGTATTACCAAACTGGATCAAGAACCAGAAAATTGCTCATGCCATCTCTACTAGACGTCTTTTTATTGTGATGCTTCTAATTAAACTGATGGATCCTAAACCTCTTAAACCAACCGTGTCATGTGACTAAGTGACAACTAACAAAGATCTCTAACCAGCTAAGTTCCACAAAAAAAAAAGGTGATTTTTTTATTTGAAACGATACGCAAAAACAAGAATAAGCCTTCAGAAAAAGAAAGAAAAAATGGAGCCGATTTGCCTGCCAACAGCTGATCCAAGCCTATCAGAGCTGATCACACATGATGATCATGCCACGATTGACTTGCAAATTTAACGGTTATGGATTGGTAGGTGCGAGGCATGACCGGATCCTGTCTCATTGGCGTCCATCATTTCCCAAAATCTTATCCAGCCAAATGTTTCTCTCCTCTCCTCTTCATATCACTGTATCAAAATGCATATATGATTCTAAATTTCTAATCTCTGTACCTATCCTAATCCGACAGGAAACAGCTTAATTATCCTACACTTACATGCCTGCAACACCACAGAAAAAAAATAGGCCAAAATGTATTGAGGGGAAGGGCTTAGCTGGCCTCTTTTCTGTGCCAAGAAACAATGCATCTCTATCTATAGCTTGCATATATCAACATATATATTATTTTTATATGGATCATAATGGAGGTTTCTTTTTGTGTTAAAAAGTTCAGAAATGAGGTGTTCATTGCTGTGATGGTTTAAGGGTAGATTAGTACTAGTGGATACATCAGTAAGCAAATCAGAGAAGGCTGACCAAGTTTAGACAGATTACAGATGGTAGACACCTGTTATTTCTGCGTGATGAAATGGCAACTTGAATTTTTTTTATTAAAAAATGAAATGAAGAGATACTTCAGAAAAGTTTTGATGAAGAGCACCAGGTTAATTCTGATATATTCTGATAACAGAACGATAGTGATGCCTAATTTTCCTTGCGTTGTGTTTTTAATTAGCTTGCAAGTGATGTTATTATCTGATACACCTCCAGCCACAAATGGATATTTAATATCAAATGGTAACACAAGCAACCTCTAGTGATTGGTTGCAGCTTGGTGGAAAATTTCATGGTGTGTATAGACCCTAGAAGATAAACAAAACTTGTTCATAATACAAAATTAAGTCATCAGGATCAGGAAGAGATATCCAGAGAAAAATTCAAACACATAGTGAATTAAGTGGAATGGGACAGATCATCATCCACCAAGTGTAGGAAATACGTTTCTTTGAGCCATAGAGGATAAGGCACTGAAGAAGTAGGTCATACTAGTTCCATTTGAAATGTCTGCATGTGTTGTGTTATATTGTTTTCTTAACTAACAAGCTTAGGCAAAAACAATGAGCAAGCAATGACAAAAAAATCCACTGGTTTTCTTCTTTATCCAATATAAAGATATGCAGCCCTCCTGAAAGTTCTAGACAAAAATGTGATGTAAAACTTCATCTGTTAAAGATAAAATTGGATATTTTTTAAATAAGAAGATGATTTGCTGCCATGTCAGTACCACCTAAAAAGAGCCATTCTATGCAATGATCCTTAAAAGTACTAGGACTATACTATACATCTGATATGTACCATATCATCTATTACAGAGTTAACCAGCCTATTGGCCTGAAATCTTTCAATAATATACCTACCCATTTGAGCTGCAAAGTTTGTTGTTTTACTTGTTTGCATGACAAGTCAGGTGTAAGACGGAAAAACTTGAAGCCTGACAGTTAATATTTATATGAAATCACCAGTCATTTTCAGGGAAAAATTATGCAGACACCAGCCTCTTAGGAAAATTATGCAGGAAAATTATAATATTTTCGATGTTAGTTCCCGTTGTATGGAAAACAAGATCTAAGTACAGCTAGAACAGTGCAACTGCGCAAGTTGTTTTTTTTTTCAGCAAGGCTTGAATGGCTCTCAAGAGAACTAAAATATAAAATTGGAAGAGGGGGAAGAAGGTGCAGCCAACTAACTAACTTGTGATCATATTTAAGCACTTGTCATGCTACCCTCACAGAAGATTTAGTTCCTCCTCTGCCTCTTCTCCATCTACAGAAAACTACTTGTGCTAATCAAGTTTTATCTTGTTTCTTCCCCATCTCTTTCTTCTTGTTGTTCTTCAGACTGAACTTAGTCTGAAGATTCAGAAATAAAGTGTGATTTTCAAAGCTTTGCTAGTTGCAAACGAGACACTAGCTTTGGAGTTTGGAGGTAAGCTGCTGTGCTTTCCTTTTGCCATATGCGATTCAAAATATATGAGTCTGTAGCACCCAAGCTAATTTTTTTCTTCACATTGGTAATGAACATTGTCATTCATGATGTAGGGAGATCTTGCTTGTGGAGAAACTCACAAATGGCGATAAAGATGAAGGGAATATTCAAAGGCCTGAAGATAATCTCTCAAATGTTCGGTAATACTCCTATCTTTCTTTGTTTCCCTATATCTCTGCCTGCTTACATTACTTAAGCTTGCATTTTGTTGATTCTGGTTTATAAATCCAGATTCAGATTCAAGAAAATGTAGTAAAAGCACAATAAGATAGTACTGTGTGTATAACCGTGAGAAATCACAGAAAGTGATCAATGTACAACAATAAGTTTATAACACATGGTTTCTTTTTCTTTTGCAGTGCATAAGGAGCATGAGATGGAAATTGGGTACCCTACAGATGTAAAGCATGTGGCTCACATAGGTTTGGGCACCAGTGACACATCTCCAAGCTGGGTAAACATACCAATACTTGACAGCCTTTTCATCAGATGATCAACTACTGCATTATGATTTATGAATGTTTTCTGTTTATGAGTTTTGCTTCATATTCTAGTATTTCTAATTATTGGAAATGTACATTTCTCACTTTCAGATGAACGAATTCACGGGAACAGAAGATTTATCAACCGGTTCTCTGAGCACAACTGCACCATCAAGGCAGACTTCTTGGGCCTCTTTAGGTATTTAATGTCCTCTCATCTTTCTATGTTTATCCTTCAAAAATAAAGTCAATACAACATATATAAAGGTTAATCAAACAAAAGATTCTAAAATATGAAGTTCCATTGGTGCTTTTGAATATGCCACTTGAGCCATGCCTGATATAAAACGTCACAATCATCCATAGTAGTCTAATTGGTCCTGAATCTTCAGAACTAATCATTTATTACTATATAAACGTTGGAAATCTTCTTGATCTATTTTCTAAGGACAAGTACTTCAGTAGTGGCACACCACTTACACCATTTTCTTTTTAGGTTGCTTGCATGTTTACAAGGTGCAATGAACAGATATACAGAAAAATCATCAAACATGGTATCCAAACATTCATGATGACCAAATAATATTTTTTATGCAGATTTTGAACAGCCAAGAAGCATGCTGCCAATTGAGATCTTGCCGGAGAAATCTGGCCAGGAGGCACCCTCCTGCCCTGACATCCCAAGAGGCCCAAGGAAGGTGAGAAGGAAGAAGACCAGAACATCATCACCTACCTCATCTGCAAGATCATCGTCCTCGAGGTCAAGAACCTCGTTCGCAACCGCATACGACGCATTCAACGAATCGCAAAGAGGGTTTCGGGTTGCCTGAAATTTACAGATTGTGTTTGAAACTACCATGAATTGTACATTGTATGTCGGTATAGGAAGAGAATTGATTGTGAATTGTTTGATTCTTTCTTTTTCTTTCTTTTCTTTTACAGTCAAGACATAGTTGGAAATGCAAAGGAAAATGGATTAACTTAATGTTTGAAGTTGTGTGCATCTCAAATTTTATACTTCTGACTAATTCTTCAGATTCTTTTAATGATTGGATGGCAGTCGGCAGATGTTAGACTTCAGTAGTATAATATTTTTTCCCCACTTCAGATTGTGGATTAAAAAAAAAGTTTTCTAACATTTTTCAATAACATATCAATATAAGTAAGCTTGATTCACATCATTTTTTTCTGAAACACATACAGCTGTGAGGGGGCTAATAATGCCATTGATCACGACATGCAAGGACCAAGAACAATTCGACTAACTTTTTTTCTACGCCAAGTTGCCAATTGCCAAGACAAACGTGCAATTGACATGATGCAACGTTTCATCATGCCTCAGCACTTTGTTCAAGGACTGTAATAATGTGATACACAGCTGATCTAATCATATAAAAAAAACACTTGGAAATATCATCAATCTTTATATCTCGTGATTATGCACTGCACTCTGCTTTCCTTGCATTTGGGCAAAGCATAACCTGAGCATCAAGGGCAAGAACCTTTTGCTACCTATGCAACCTTACAAAAAAAAAGAAACTTTTTGGGAGTAAATTAATCCCATTTTTACCCTGACATAACTATTCAGGTCTTTTGCGTTGATCAACTTAACCTGACCGTGAGTGCAATGCTAAGAGCAAAGTCATGGCCCTGCGTTGACCGACGTATCACGCTGTGCCACGTGTACTAACTAACCACATGAGAGTGATTTGACCCAAACAATCACTACATTGGAAAATGACTTTTTTTTTTCCATGTACCATGGACTGACTCACAAGCCATGAATATTCCAGTGTCACCTGGCTAGTCTTGAGCTCTGCTGTGAATGTCAGGTAGGCAACCATGGCATTGCAACAAGCACAAGAGACAGACAAGAACACAAGATGGAAGTAAAGGTGAGGTGTCATATGCTTTGGAAGCTAATCTCAAGGTGTCCATGGAAAGCAAAGTACACCACAGCTTGTAAAGCTCCCAGCCATTGAGGCCTACAAATACCCGGCTACCTAGCTTGGCCTCTTCTCATCCACCACAAGAAGTGAAAAGCTTCACTGAGCTTGATCAATTACTACTAGTTAATTACCTATAGCTAAGTAGTAAAAAAAAAACTAGCTGGTTTTGGTTTTTGTTGCAGTGATCAATGGTGAAAGGTACTAGTGGTTACAGCTATGGCCTTGGGCTTGCCTGCTTTGCTCTTGTGGTTGCCATGGCTGGAGCTACTCAGCTCAAGGTCGGCGGCGGCAATGGCTGGAGCGTCCCGGCCGCCAATGCGGAGTCGTACAACGATTGGGCCGAGAAGATGAGGTTCCAGATCGGAGACACCCTAGGTAATCAATTGATTAAATTCGAGTTCTTTGCGACAAATATTATTCCATGCATTTGTGATGAAGCTTTTGAGGTACTAGCTCTGTTTAATGTTACGAGTCGTTTTGACTTTTTTTTTAAAAAAATTACAACCTCTTTAGCTTCATCAAGTTTACAGAAAAATATATTAATATTTTCAACATATAACAAATAAAAACTATTAAACATATTCAATGGTAGAGTTAATAAGACTAATTTAGTGTTATAAATCTATATTTTTTCTATAAATTTAATTAAACTTTCAATAAACTGGACTTTAGAAAAATCAAAGCGACTTATAATAAAGGAAGTAGCGCATGATCATGGCGGATCATCATCTATGGACAATGGTTGCAGTGTTCGTGTACCCGAAGGACAAGGACTCGGTGTTGGTGGTGGAGCCGGCCGACTACAACGCGTGCAACACGTCGTCGTTCGACCAGAAGTTCGCCGACGGCAACACGGTCTTCACGCTCGACCGCGCCGGCGCCTTCTTCTTCATCAGCGGCGTCGACGCCAACTGCCGCGCCGGCGAGAAGCTCATCGTCATGGTCCTCGCCAGCCGCAACGGCACCGCCACCGCCACCGCGCCGTCTCCGCCCCCGGCTTCGTCGACCGCGCCGCCGCCGACGTCGCCTGCACCCGCCAGCCCGCCGCCGTCGTCCCCGTCACCTCCGCCCGCTTCACCGCCGTCTCCCAGCTCGTCGGGCGCCGCTGCTCCGACGACGCCGCCGCCCGCGTCGTCGCCTCCCTCCACTCCGACGCCAGCGTCGCCTGCGCCATCCGCGTCGTCCCCGCCGGCGCCGCCATCGGCGAACGCGCCGAGCGCGCAGGGGGCGAGGAACCCGAGCGCCACGTCGTCGCCGCCGCCCGCCGCGAACGGCGCCGCGCACGCCGCGGTGGCGGCATCGGGCCTCGCCGCCGGCATCATTGGCTACGCCATGCTCGCACTCTGAAGTCTGACCATGCAATCAGTGCAAAAGTGAAGCTGTTGTAATAACTTGAATTAATTTGGAGGGAGATGATTTGTGTACTATACGTGTGTGTGTATGTACATCGTGTGTTTGTATTAATTCGTTTTCCAAAGGATGAATAAGAACAAAATGATATCGAGCATTTGTGCCAAAATTTGATGTGTTCAAATCCAAATATTAACCCTTGTTTTTTTATTTGAAATTCGTCGCCGGCTGAAGTGCAGGCAACACGGCGCGTTTCAGCCGACGGGGGCGGGTACGGGGATTCAATCTCCGATCCCGGATAAATCGTTGGGCTGGGCCGGCCCAGTTGTACTTTCCAGCCCGTTTGTGAACCGTTAGATGGTCGAATCCATGACCTCATGCCTAACAACAAACTCTTCCAGTTTATGAACCGTCGTTAGATGGTCGAACCCATGACCTCATGCCTAACGACAAACTCTTTTCAGTTTAAATGTCAAAAAACAAACTCCTTTCAGTTTATGAACCGTTAGATCATGTGGAGATTCGTGCAGGAGTCTGCATATGGCTGGGGTCGACCCACGACATTATGCCTAAAGACAAGCTGCATTAACCAGTGAGCCTCGTGCGGATTTTTCTGTTGATTTTATAGCAGTTACATATAGGTTAGTTATAGTAACAATATACTCCCTCCGTTTCGAGAAATATTTGACACCGTTGACTTTTTAGCACATATTTGACCATTCGTCTTATTCAAAAAATTTAAGTAATTATTAATTCTTTTCTTATCATTTGATTCATTGTTAAATATATTTTTATGTAGGCATATAATTTTACATATTTCACAAAAGTTTTTGAATAAGACGAACGGTCAAACATGTGCTAAAAAATCAGCGGTGTCAAACATTTTGAAATGGAGGGAGTAGTTAAAACGGACATACACTCCAATTATACTACAGCTACATTTAACTTTGCATTTGAAAGTTCTTCATAAAAAAATTGTTGAATGTTGTACAGGTACTCCCAATTAAAAAATCATCAAGAGGTCCTTTGAAAAGAGTGATTTAGGTTGTGTTAGAGAGGAGGGGTTGGGAACGCCGAACACCACCTCTCCAGTATGCAAAACGAAGCACACATTAGCATATAATTAACTATAAGTATTAATTAAAAAACTTAAAAATGAATTAATATGATTTTTTAAAGAAACTTTTCTATACATTTTTAACAGTTTGAAAAGTTTATGCGCGAAAAATGAGAGAGGTGAAGTTGGGAACATTAACTTAAGAACATAACTTTTCTTTTTGGGGAATACAGTTAAGAACACAACTTATATGGGAAATAAATCAGCTCATGTAAAAATAGTTTCAAATTTCTATCCTTTCATCCGAAAATATAAGCATTTATATAGTTTTTCACGTGGGTTAACGAGAGGAGTGAAATTAAACGAGAATGGCCGGTTGAGATGGAAAAGTTGGTAGAGAAATTCAATAACTGATGACTGTGAATGATTGATACGATGTAGTAGGTGAAGATCTTATAATCTAGGATAAATTTTAAATGCTACAAACCATTGTATCTTGGAACTGATGCAACGCAATTGCACGCCAACTAACGAGCTGATTTTCTAATAAACAAGTAAATCATCCATCATCGTTCACCCGCATTTCATCTACTTCAATCTACATTGTTCCACCCAAATTCAAACGTAACTTATGATCTCTCAAATCAAACAGGTATTATAGTTTCTGGTGTTTCTCTGCTAATAAATCAGGATCAGACTAAAATGATCTCACATCTTTAAAAAATAAAATAAAAAAGAGAGGCCTCCTCCTGCTCTCTCCCGACAAATGACATTGGCTGTCAGGCAGCCTGTGCCCAAATCAAGAATCATATTCCGGTAAAATTATCCAGCTTAGCCCCGAGTATTATTCTGTCCAACTTTCCAAGCTCGATCGGCAAAGCATCGATTCGAAAGGCGACGCAGTTGACGCGATCGACGGGATAAACACAGCATGAAAAGCGATCGAGAGCCCCCAGCACATGCCCCTGCATGCCTGCACGCCCGAGCAAAACGTTAGCTTCAGCAAGGCACCGTGTGGCCTACAGCTTGTAAAGCCTCTCCCCGATCGATACGCCTACAAATACACGCGAGAAACCTGCAACCTGACGAAACCATCACCAAAATTCAGGCATCTATCGACAGAAGCAAGATCAGGTTAGTTTGTTCGTTGTGCATGGCAGCAATGGCGAGCAGCTGCAGTGTGCTTGTTGTGGCCTGCAGCTTCGCTGTGCTTCACGTCGTCGCCATCGCCGGCGCGACGCAGTACAAGGTCGGCGGCGACGGCGGATGGGGCGTGCCCGGCGCCGGCGACGAGCCGTACAACACCTGGGCCGAGAAGACCAGCTTCCAGGTCGGCGACCAGCTTTGTAAGTATATTTACAGTTAGCTGCTTTAAGATTCAGCCGTTATTATTTTTCGAGTGCACGGCAGATACATACTATATACACATAGTGAGGTGAGAATCATCAACTATAATGTCATCATCATTACAGTCACTAGTATATAGGTTCTACTCTTTTATTGTCCCACATGTCGGTGTCTATAATAATAATGTCATTATGATAGAGAATATGAACTCATAAGGACAGACCCAGCCCTCGGCCCCTAGGTCATGGCCCGGAGGCCTATGGCTGAACACCCATGTACCTTTTTTTTTTTTGCACCATGATGATAAAAAATTCAGTACACGTGCAACATTACAGTCACACTTTTGAGTCTATAGCATATGCGCACTGACACATACCACAACACACGTAACATCACACTTACACACCATGAATGTACCGATCTTATTGCGACATGTTAATAAGCATTTTTTTTAATGTGTATGCTAGTGTTCGTGTACCCGAAGGACAAGGACTCGGTGTTGGTGGTGGAGCCGGCGGACTACAACGCGTGCAACACGGCGTCGTACGACAGCAAGTTCGCCGACGGCAACACGGCGGTCACGCTCGACCGCGCCGGCGCCTTCTTCTTCATCAGCGGCGTCGACGCCAACTGCCGCGCCGGCGAGAAGCTCATCGTCATGGTCGCCAACGCCACCGGGAGCAGCGCTTCGCCGCCGTCCTCCTCGTCGTCGCCGTCGTCTCCCTCCGGTGGTGGTGGTGGCGGTGGCGCTCCAGCCGGGCAGGCGCCGCCGGGTGCTCCGGCCACGCCGGCGGGGACGAACAGCTCGCCGGCTAACGGCGGGGCGGCCGGCGGCGGCGCGAAGAGTGGCGCTGGGCTCACGGTGGCGGCGAGCGGCCTCGCCGGCTCTCTGATCGCCGCCATTGCCTGCGTCGCGATTGCTATCTGAATATCTGACACTTTGCAAGAGAAGATGCCGTTTATTCGTTTATTCAGAAAGTGAATTCTTCTGTTCGTTTGATGTAAAGGCAATGTACCTTTTAGTTTGTACTACTTGTTATTTTCCCTTGTATTGTATCTTTGTTTTTTCAGACAAACCATTATAAACTGAAGACATGCAATTCTAACATGGGAGGACCTAAAAAAACTGCCACAAGTTTTTGGAATAAAAAACTTTCGGATATAATTAAAGTGTAATTACGTTGTAAGTACATTATAACTACACTATAACTTATATAAAACTTGCATTTGCATTTGCCTATGGTTTGGTTAGTTAGCATTGAGATATCTTACACATGACACTTGTGAAAATTTCCAATATCTTTGTCCTTGGATAGCGGCAGATGTAAAAGAACTAAACTTCTATAAGAAGTTAAATAATGAGAAACTTTACAGAACATTTTCACAGCATATATGGTCATCGAGCGCCTATTCTAGCCCCAGAACAAAGGTAGGATGCACGAGTTTTAGGTAGCTTAGGTAGGATGACAAACACGGCTAGCTTAGGTAGGATGCACGAGTTTTAGGACCTCAGAGAGAATGAATCACCTCCTAATGCTAGCTTAGGAATGACTAGTTCTAGTACTTCATATAAAATGAAAAGGAAATGCTATTCTTCTGTTGACAGAAAATGCAGTGCCAAATGGATCAAAATTCAACTTTGCAGTATATCGCCAGAGGCCACACCCACATCGTAACATGTAGAAAGCATGCGCAGATAGCATAAGACAATCCAACCATATTATAAGGAACCACGAAGGTACACATATTGGGTTTGTTAAGCATGAAAACTGGAAATTTCCTTGAACCAAAACATAGCAGCCGAATTAACTTGACAGTCAACAATTCAGGACACTGAGCAAAACTAAATCTCTCTTCAGGAACATTGGGAGCTATGAGACTATCCAAAGAAGAGATGCTCCATGGCGACAAGTTGGCTGACAATACATCTACAGCCTCCTTCCTCTCCTACCTCCCTTTCTGCGGGTGCTGTCCGTGGGAACCGGGGTCACATCCTCTGCAAAAAGGATCAGACATACAATCATCACAATGTCTAAGGAGGATTGAAGCATAATGAGCCTGCTACAAACACTATCCACAGCATAGATGAAACAAATAACTATCTCTATATCCTTAGGTTGTATGAGTGAAACTCTGAATTTACCAATGCGACCAATCTTCATGCCAGAGCGAGCAAGAGCCCTAAGAGCAGATTGAGCACCAGGACCAGGTGTCTTTGTCTTGTTGCCTCCAGTGGCACGAAGCTTGATGTGCAGAGCAGTAATACCAAGCTCCTGGAAATGTTCAACAGAATTTTAAAAATACTTTTAAAAAGTCACTCAAGAACTGTCCATCTGTCCAATTGAGAGATAATGTTTCCATACAAACCTTGCAACGCTGTGCAACATCTTGAGAAGCAAGCATAGCTGCATATGGTGATGACTCATCACGGTCAGCTTTGACCTTCATGCCACCTGCAAGAATTCAGGGAATGGTCAATTTACCTCATCAGTAATTGCAGCTAGAGAACCAAATGAAATAAATAAACACAAATCATACCAGTAATGCGAACAAGAGTTTCCCTTCCAGACAAGTCAGTGACATGCTGCAGAGGAAAACATTGGTAAGAAACTGAATAGGTGGTTAGACTAGATTGAAGGATATATATAACTGGAAAAAGAAGTACTTACAATGAAAGTGTCATTGAAGGATGCGAAGATGTGGGCAACTCCGAACACATACTCTCCTTCACGGACAGTGGGTCCAAGAGTGACGTTCTCCTCCTTGGGCTCCCTGGTCTTCCTCTTCGACTGGAGGACGAGTAACAGTTAAGCTATGGAATGAGAAGGAACCAGCTACAGCTACATAACAATTACATTTCTACATGCCAAGTTGTGACAAAACTAATTTATGCCATAACCTGCCATACAAGTAGGTGTGCACAGTACACTAAGAAATTTTCATGCCTCTCATCAAGTAAACACAGAGACCTTCCTACATCATCCAAATGTTCACTACAAAACATACTTGGAGTATCTATCAAAAACAGTGAAACACCCTTGCAACAATTACATTTCTAAACATCATCAACACAAACCAGACCTTGTTCAACACAAAACTGCGAATCAAACGCCACACCAATCATGTGCTAGGGTCATACACGACCCAAAATTAGAACAGCAAATCAGTGAAACACCCTTGCAACAACTAAACAACCATTTGGCCATCACATCCCAGAATTGATACAAACCCTGTAATAATAATCTCCCTAACATGCCAGATGCTCTAGTACTAAGTTACAGCTCTACAAAGCCAACTCGCAGACCGTGCGTGCTACACAAACCTAGCATCAAAGCTGCAAATCCGGGCAGGAATTTGACCCGAGATGGGGAACAGGGGGGGACTTTGGCCTTACCATGGTGGGACGAGGCGGCGGAGATCGAGGCGAGCGCCGGTTTCCTCCTGGTCGTTGAGATCACGAGCTCGCCGCCGCCGGAGACACGAGAGAAGAGGGAAGGGTGGAGCAGCGAGTGAGCTTTATATATGGGCGCGGCGGCGCGGGGGCTAGGGTTTGCTGCGGAAGCAGCGGTGTCCAACTCTCCCGCTGCAAGTGGGACCAGGAGTGTTATGGGCTGGGCCAAGATGTTGTGGACGGCAATTGACGGCCCAGGTTAGCCCATGCTGTAGGGGCGGATGGGCCAAACAAGCAGAGAATAATTGGGCCGGTCAATGTGTGCGCTATTTTTTGAACAAAAATTTCATAGAGCCACATCTTTACACCGATACCAAAATTTGAATCTGAAACATAATTTTGACGTTGATTTTAAGGTTTTTCATAGTTTTTTTAACCTTGATGTTTAAGTCATTAAAAATAAATATGTAAATGTTTAACCATAATTTTTTTATCAGTAATGTACCGTTGATGTATTTACTAGCAATTGGCCAACCATGCAACGATAGCCTCACGAATGATTTTAGCTGAATATGTTATTTACATTCTCAGCAATCACTATAAGATATACATATGTTTAACCGTTTGTTTTATTTTTTTTTCTAAAAAAGAACACGTAGCTATCATTTTGTCTCATTGCGAGTTGATTTATTATTAAATATACTTAAAACATGACCTACATTTTTTTTCATATTTACCCAACTATCGACGTACGTCCAAAAGGCAATAATATCATCTATAAAAATCACTTGTCTCGCTGTTAAATAGTCACCGTATATGTCTGTGTCGTGTCGTTGTCACTGTGTGGTGAATATATGGTGATGGATGGAAACCAAAATGCTCTTTCCTCGTGTACGACGGTGTACACGAGTACGTCGCCTTCGTGCATGTGTGCCCGGCAGTTCACGGCATCGCGTCGCAATCGCAGCCGTTTGCTCCACACCACACAACACACATTGTACGGCGTTGCTCCGTGCGTAGCTTAGGTAACCTACCCTGGGCGGCCGGAGCCCGCCTCCACCGGGCGCCGGACACGTCGCCCCGGCCGGCGCCGTCGCCGTCGCGGCGCTCATTAAACCGAAAAGGCGCCGCCGCGCGCCGCCCACTAGCTCGCTGGGGAGACGCCGACGTGCGCGCGCGTGTCGCGCGCTCACGCGGCGCGGGCGCGCGGGCGGCATTAACTCCGCCGTTGAACGCTAGCGCGTCGCGTCGCGGCATGGCGCGCCAACGGACGCCAGCCATGTGTGTGTCTTGTCCGCGTACGTGCGCGCCGCTGGTGTCGCACAGTTGTGTGATCCCTATCTCACCGTAGCGTATGAACTGTATGTACAGTAGCTACCTGCTACTAGCTCTGTATAAATACATGTACTGCCTCAAGCTGGGCACTGTAAAACCGTGCACACTTAAGCCCACAAAAATCACAAGCTCTCGCAGTGTCACTAGCCACTAGTGTGAGGTTACAAACCAAAGTTTTTTTTTAGTTGTGTCATGGCGAAGGCGCAGGCGGCGGCGAGGATCATGACGGAGGTGGCGCCGCCGCAGCTGGTGTCGGTGATGCGGCGGAGGAAGCAGGTGGCGAGGAGCCTCGACACGATCGCCGAGGACGACAGGGAGCTGATGCACCAGGTGCCCTACGCCGGCGACGGCCACCACCACGGCGTCAAGAAGCAGGCTGCAGCGACCAGCTCGGCGAGCACCTTCGCCACGCCGACGTTGGCCTTCGAGCGGCAGCCACCGCCGGCGCCGGCGCCGGCGCCGGCGAGCGGGTTCATGAGGGGGCTCAGCAAGTGGTTCTCCAACAACGGCGTCCACGGCCAGGAGGGGTGGCCGGAGATCGGCCGCGAAGGTCACCGGCGAGCCATCTATTCACAGCAGGCGCACATACGTGGGCGCGCCACGGGATTGAATTCAAGTTCATTAACTAGCTAGTCGAGTTTAGTACGTTTATCAAGATGAGATGTACCCAAGTACCCATATGCTTAGTTATGATGAATTACGGCTTAAAACAATTTTGTCTCCTTGACAATAATAATATTTGCAAGACATAGTTGTCCTCTGAAACAAGGTATGAACTGTTACGTACCAACAAGTCAGCATGGTAGAGATGTGTACTGTCAATCTGTCACAGCCTAGTATGTCTCTGTAGTGGTCAAGGGAACATAACCAAGGGAGATGCGTGCCTTTTATTTTACTATCACTTGGAACATGAGCTTCCATGTACAATGTTCAGTTCTTAATTACACTGCACTAGCATCTAATACGCACCTATCGCGAAAGAATTTTGCTCACCCAGCCGACCTAGTAACAACACCGGAGAGACATTATGTTACACTCAAATGCCCTAACGTGAGCAACTAGCGGTCGAGCACCAATGCAAAACTATGATGCATCGGAAGCGTCTATGAAGTGAGGATATTCGTATTTAAGTTTTTTGTCCTGAATCAAATGAAAAACATATTGTACCACTAGTTTGCATCATATAATTGTGGATTATCATCAGCTCTCACTCCTGTTTGAATCTATCTCCTCCATATGATATGTATGTACAGGTATACAAGAGTAACAAACTGTTCTCTCTTACATTTACTGCTGATAACCTGCATAGTTCAAAATAGAACAATCAGTATTATAGTAAAAAATCATGGCAAAGTACAGTTACCACATACAATTTGTTTGGCAATAGAAGGAAAAGGATGCATACACCAGTGATATGAGGGCTTCTGTAGTATACTAATGAACATTGCCGAATGGGCAAATGCCAGAGAAACCAAGCTTATGACTTGAACAAATATCCTCTCATGCTTTCTCCAAGCACTGGATTGAAGGGCTGTCAAAGAGTAAACCAAGTCAGAGGCCAAAATAAGTTAAACATTCCATTATCCAAATGCATTAAACGAAAACCTGAAGCACCAGGGAAAAAAAAAAGGAAACTACAGGCCAACTGCAGCCGAATATGAAAGATGCTCTCCCATAAAAGCTGCAAAAGGTTTATTGCCTGTAGGGATATTTGGAACTTGGAAGCAAAGAAATGGGAAGGTTTTTGAGAATATTACTCCTGAAGAGGAAGGTTGGTTCAGAAGTATTAAACAGGATATTCTCCTGCATTTGTGTAGGATGAATGAGTCTCTTAGCCCTTCGATTCTTTCCTGGTTACAGCAGTTGTAGTTTTGTTTTGCTTTCTTTGTTGGTTTGTAAATATTTCCTCTACTAGGCAAGGCCTGGTAGTATTTTCCTTTAAAAAAAAGCTGTAAAAGTAAGAGAAGGCACCATCTAGCTACAGGGAGAACAACATGTAGAACAGACTAATGAAGAGCAGGAAGCTGCAATTAAATCTAAAAGCTAATGATGCAGTTTAGACATCCTGGAAATTTGGGATGAAAACAAAAAGAATGGTAGAAAACATTTGACATGATAGTGGTAAGATTTTCTTAAGCCCCTGCCATTACCCTATAGCTGTTGACTTGTTGTATACAAAATTATAAAACAAATGAAGGGCTGACCTTTTGTTGCTCAAAACATGTAGCAGCAAGCTCTTGTTGATGTTTCTAGCTACACCACTAACCACCCACAGAAGATTTTATCTTGTTCCGCTGAACAGTGCCTTTTCGAATTAAAGGGTTTTCTATTGAAAATACAATCAAACTGCCATCCTTGGTTCCTGCCAAGAAGCACTCCTCTGGAGTCACAACTAGTGAAGTTATAGTCTTCCCAGCTCCCTCATACCTCCATACAACATCAAGAGAATGCATAGAGCGAAGAACAATTTGTCCATGATCACCAGCACATACCACAAACTCACCACAACAACTTAGTTCCATGCAATTGAGACGGCCATTGGCTTCCGAAGAAGCAATATGTTTTCCATTTATGGAATACATATGCAAGGATAGGTCACTGTCGGAGTAAAATACTAGTCTGCCATGCTGCGATGCTACCAGTTTCGACAAGCCAGCTCCTGATGGATGTCGAATGGATCGAACATATTTTCCCTCACGCAATGTATGAAATATACATGTTCCATCTTTTGATCCACTGATAACGATATCTAGTTCCGTACTAACAAATAAGCATGTGATAATATCATCATGGCCACATAAAATATGATAAGGGCTTTCGATAATAACATGATCCTTAGTAGACAGATCATAATTTGCATTTCTTGATTTTTTATCAGCTGATTTTCCTCGGAATGCATGCCAGATCATAACAGTTGTGTCATAACTTCCGGTTGCAATTACACTTCCATCTGATGAAACTGCACAGAAGTGTGTTGACAGATGTCAAGATAAAAGCGAAAGAAATATCAGAGATACAAGGTTTCCTGACCAAAATAATATATCAAAAATGACAACATATACAATTAATAAACATCAAATTAATAATTACTAGCTGATAACAGTAAATATACATGATGCTGCCAGTTACTAATAAAATATTATTTAGCAAGCTCTGCTATCATACTTAGGCTGCGTTTGGTTGCAGGGGTTCCCAACCCCTCTCCCTCGTTTTTCGCGCGCACGCTTTTCAAACTGCTAACGGTGCATTTTTTGCGAAAAGTTTTTGTACGAAAGTTGTTTAAAAAAATCATATTGATCCATTTTTGAAAAAAAATTAGCTAAAACTTAATTAATCACGCGCTAAACGCTGCTTCATTTTGCGTGCCGGGCCAACCCTCACTCCTGAACACAGCCTTAATTTGCTAACAGAAGTTCACTAAATAGTGAGAACTACACAAAGCAAAAGAATGGAGGTGCAATTGCTAGCACTTACTGTTTAGTTACTAATAGTGGTTTAAGGTTGGAGCATGAAGAGTAGATTTAATATAATATACTGGATTATAAATATTTACCTACCTGCCACACAGCTGACAACATCTTTATGCTGCCGGACGCTCTGCACAATTCTTCCATCACCAAGGGAAATGATCTGAAAACTATTCTCCCAATTACCACACAGAATTAAATAATTATCACCATGAATTTGAACTGCTGTTAGGCATTGCCTTCCAAAATCAACGTTTTCGGCCAGGGAAGTGCTAATTTTACGGGGAGAAATTACATCAGAGCCAATTCCAAAGAAAGGTTCCTACAAGAATAAAACAAATTAATGAATAAAAACTAAATGTTATCAAAAAAGTACTGCTATCTTTGATTGTCATTAGGAAGATACCAGTGATCCAGAAAACGTGAAGTTTCCACCAGACTGCAATTGTGTAGTTAGCCAAAGCTTTACTGACAGTACAAGTCCTTCGTTCATCACAACAATGTTTGAGTCCAACAAGCTAACAAACAATACAGGTGATGAGGAGCTACTAGAGCTAGGGACAACAGAAGTCACTGTTATCGATTGTGGGGCAAAATATAGTGGGTGAGCAATTGGTATAGGGGGGCCTCTTCTTGGGTGTTTCTTCCGGAAAATTTGAATAGGTGTTTGTCCAAAATTTGCAATTTGGTCCTCAATAGCAGATTTCTGCAACATATCATCCATGTTTTCCAAATCAACTGCACCCTCGTATGTCAAATAGTAAAATATGTTTGCCGCCTGGTCCAAACAATGGCTACACCATTAGTAAGGTCATGTAGTGTCTGCGAGGAATGAAAAACTTGGGGGGGGGGGGTTGGGGGGGGGGGTGTCGGCGCTGACAATAAAAAAAGATTTCCTTTTACCTCAACAGCAGGCTTGCCGCGCTGTTTATAACCAAATATGAGGTCAATCCAGTGATGGAGATTAGAGCTTACATATTCACTTTCAAGAGCTTCGCGGTTGATATGAATGAATTCTTCTGGACAACCCTACACAAAAGTATTGCATACTGATATATTACCATATGAGTTATAACTTTTCAGCTACAGATCTTAGACAATGTATTATTGAACATTTTAACTGAATTGCATTAGTAAATACTACATTATAAAATATTTCTTAGGACTATACTTCTATTACTTTTACAGATACATCAGGTTAAAATCCTTGTGCTCGAAGTTTCCACTTGAATACAATGAAAGGTATTCCCCGCAACACACACACACAAAGAGAGAGAGAGAGTACAACGAGAGTTAAAAACCAGCTGATGTAATTACGTTATGAATTGTGATAAGCATAAAATCTACCATGATACAATGTTATTTGAAGCAAATGGAACACGTTTCTGACCAAAATTTTTATAACTGAAGTACAAAAAATTTCAAAACTATATGAAGACCACAGGATGCAACTCAACAGGGACATAAACCATTCTTATGGATCAACCGTATGCTAGCAGATTATGAATAAAAACTATACCGGTGCTCAATACAGGATTTTTTTCTGTTCCTCACCCAAGAAAAACTAATAAATATCATGATTTAATACATGAGCATGGATGCTTAGTACAATCATATGTGGAAACAGTTCGTTACCTTTGCCCATGGAGGGAGACCAACATTGCCTAAAGGTTCACCATCCTGCTTTACACCAAGGTGATAGGAATTTGAATTTTCAAGAAACTCGGGCATATAAAAGAACTCAGGTATAAGCTCTTTGACATCACTTGTATTTGATAAGCAGTTCCTATATGTACTTTCAATGCTCTGAAAAAGACGATCTGCGTGATCAAACTTTCCACCCTGTACAAACATGTAAAACAACTTTTAAGATAACATAATTTTCAAGCTTGTAGAAAGACTTAGAACAAAGTAAAAACAGTGCAATGTGCCAATATATAGTGCTGAGATCGGGCCAGCAAATAAAGTAAAGAAAAACCTGCAGATTGCGGTGCAGAGCAGTAAAAGGCTCAAGCCTAAGAAGGTAATAAAGAACGATTCCCATGCTAGAGTAGTGAGATCCATAATAAAAACTGCAGAAAGAAAAGAGACATAAGTTTGTTATAAAGAAGGACGCAAGAAAATGTACAGTGTATGTTTGATCAAAGATCAAACCTTGGTATATCAGGATCACAGAAATTAAGATATCTTTCTTCAAAAACCTGCATATTGAACATCATTTATTGAACACTATCAGAGGGAATGACAATAGGAAGTCACAGCAACCCATAGCTCCTCATCATACCTTAAAGCGTTTGGCATCCAAGGCACCAACGGGTTTTGACAGGTCACGGAAACTGGATGACTTGTTGAAATCAATTTTCTCTGACGAATAGTCAGACAATATCCAAGGGAATATAGGATATTGAGTTAAGTCATTGTAAGATCGTCCAGCAAGAGTGTTGAGAATCATTAGATACTCAAAATTGCTCATTTCT